AATGGGTACAGTATGTAAGTAAACATATAGAATCTGAGAACTTTTTTCAGCAGCCCTCTTAAAATTCCTGGTGGACAAATTGCAAGAATGTCCCCCTTTCGCCTTTTATTTAATATGATACATCCTGAACAGGACGTTTGGGAATACCAGGGGGCAATGGGTTTGGGAATGAGACTCGATGAACAGGAAAAGGCCCATTCCCTCCCCCACAAAGTTCCCAGGGACTGCAAAGCCCTGAAACATCTTACAGGACCTGCTGACTGGGGAAAACCTCCAGCTTTCAACCATTAGACTATTCATATTACTCCTAAATAAATCTTTAACCTATTTTCCCATTGATGGTTATATTAAATCCCAAAATGTCAGACTAATTCTTTACATAAAATAATGTTTAATTTATAATCAAGTATTGCATCTCTATTGGGTGTAGTCACACACCGTTTTGGTCTTGAACCTGGCTCCTTTAATATATCCACTCCTGGTGCACTGACATGAATGTCCTTACCATGCACCCCTATGTATGCCATTCCTCAGTGATTGATAATCACACACGACTTCTGTTTATCTCTCCGGGGCTCACAGCGCTGTGCTCATGGACTGAAGAACGCCTGAAGGAAGGAAACAGAGGAAAAGAAGTCATTCTTTCCGAGCCACTGAAGCCAGACCCAAGAGCAAGTTGTTTTGGGGGGTAGTCTGTCCGGCATGAGAGGCGGCTATTGTCCGAGTTGCTCCAGAGGACGGGGGGCTTTTGAGCGTACACTGGTATGGTGAGGGGGGGAAGAGTGGGAGAGAAATTTGAATTTCTGCTAAACTCCATCACAACAACAGGGATTGTGACAAAGAGACACTTTGATAACTCCATGGGCCAAGACTTGAACATTGCTTCTCCATGGTGATTATATGTAATAGGGGGCATTAATCATAGTAAATCCACCCACTGACATGTTTCTTCATTGTTCAGGCCTTGGATGATTTTGGTGTTAAAAAGAAGAGAAAAGGAAGATGAATATTAAAAAAAAAAGGCCTATAAAGGCTAATGACTGCAGTTTAGTAATGCAATTTGTTATCTCTGCTTGGGGCAATTGTAAATAAGGGAAAATGAGGATTATAGACACTGAACAGACACTTACACTGCACAAAAATCCCCAGTTAATCAAGTCTTTTCTGTAGGAAAGATGAATTAGAAAGATAATTTCAACCTTTTCCCAAAAGACTTGTTTCAAGAATCTTCCAGAAATGAGTGTCTGGATCCTTAAACTTGAAAGAATAAGGAAAGTCGCTGCTTTAAAATCAAGAAAACTGAAACTGGACTTTGCTGTAAAATTGTGATTTAGATTTGAAACAAGTAGAAGAATAATGGAGTTTTGCAGTGCAGCTCGCATAGCTTTCATTCTTTCAAATAAAGACTGTATACAGCCCTTTGAGCTCTTCCATCTAGTTTTGTGATGCCATGTTGTCTGTCATCATATGGATTCAGTGGCAAGTTACAGCTTCATAGAGTGACATGCTTTTCTGTGCTTGGTACTAGAGATCAAATGATTGATTTGCTTTCAACGTTTCAGAATTATTTCAGAACTAAGCTTAGAGCTTTGACACTTAATTACAGCCCAAAAACTTAGTCTAATGTATTAGAAGAAGGTGGATGTTACCGCCGTCAAACAGTGAGTGAAGCAGCACCCTAAAATCTTGAAAGATTAGAACTAAAATTTTAGCTCTAATTTTTGATAACCAATCCCAGGAGTCAAGTTGTTTGGTGTTCATTCCACCTTAGCTGGACTATTTGTGTGATGTCCGGCCTGGGTTATTTGTTGTTTGAAATCCACTTACCTTATTTACATTTACTCATTTAGCAGACATTTTTACCCAAAGTGACTTACAATTGAGGGACATCACTATGTGTTCATTGTTGTTTTACTTCCAGCCTTTGTGTTTTTTCCCACCTGTTTTCTGCATTACCCTCGTTTCATCAGCCGACTGTACAGCCTTGTCTTTGCACTGTAGTTAGTCACGCTTTCAGCTGTTCCAGTGTCCAGTTGTGTATTCCTTGTATATGACTTTTTGCCTGCTCCCTGTCTTCTTTGTTTGCCATGCTGACTGACATCCTGTGTATGAGCTCTGGCTTTCCAATAAAGATTTGGATTTTTTACCTCTTACATGATATTCTGTGTGATCCTTGAGTGCATTCCTGTGATTGTTACAGCGTGTGGTATTAGAGGGCTGGGTTATGATTCCTTCATATCTTTGTTTAGTTTTAGTTGATTTTCTTTTGGCTTTTTTGTTATGTTGTTTTTGGTTTATTGTATATTCATTTTTATCTGTATCAATTTCTGAGGAGGGAAGCATTGTCTTAATAAAGTGAGCTCAGCTGATGGATGGTGAGGGATTCCTTGGTTTTCTTCTCAAGTCTTGATTTTTTGAAGCCATGCACCTGACTTCACAGTATGCAGGACTTTTATTGAAATTAGTGCCTGAAGCTTGATAAACAAAATGGTTAATCAATTCAGTTAGAAAATAACTAATAAATAATAAATAATTGTTGTTTGCAGAACTATTTGAAGTGTAGAGAGAATAAATTATTAATCTTATAAAAGAAAAAAATATGATTCAAGTAATGAAAACATTAATCAATTGCAGCCCTAATACTGACTAAACAATTGATCTTACTGAGGTCATTTTTTGTCGCAGGGGCAGAATAATGAGTCATGAAGCAGGAAGCTACTACTGCATCCTGCAAACTCATGGACATCCTGCAGATGCAGAGACAAGGTCCTGAGAAGATGACTAAAAGAAGAGGAATGTCATGCCAGGGGCCTCCACAGTCTTAGTCACCCCATTCTTATCTCTCTGAGGTACATCAGTAAAATCATCACTGCCTCGATTTCTGCAGTGAGTCTTTTGTCCCTCTCAGTTTGCCATCACTCCCTCTATCGCCCTCTCAGCGTGCTGCAGAGGCAGCGAGGTTGAGGCGAAGGGCTTCTGTGGAATGCAGGGTCCTGCTCTGGGTCTCGACCAGTCTGCACTCCACTGATTTCTGCTGTTTAGAGTTTGTGTTTTCCCAGAGAAGCTTCTGGTCTGCCGCCTACCCCCTGTCCTCTTTCTAAAACACACACACATGTATTCTGAATGTAAATTTATGTGAGTCCAGTGTACTGGCTGGCAGCCAAAGTAATCACTGAATCTGAGGATCTGAACTCTAAATCCCAAAATAAACCACAAAATCTGGGAACATAACGTAAAAAGTCCCCCTCAACTTTGCCATGATGACAGATTTTCCAAGATTGTGGGCAGAGTGGTCTGTGCAACAATGGTTACTTTAGAAAGTTGACAAACTATGTTCTAGTGTGTGTGTGTGTGTGTGTGTGTGTGTGTGTGTGTGTGTGTGTGTGTGTGTGTGTTTGCCTCAGACTGTTTGTAGACATTATATTCTATAAAACATTATTGAATTCACCCTATAGCTCAAAGCTGATTAAATACAGAAATTTGAATGCAATGCACAAGGCTATATTTCTAGTATCAACAATTCTGCAACTGTGCCCTCAAAGCAGTGAGGCAGAAAGTAAGGTGGAAGTCGAACCTGCAAGTAATGTTTTTATTTTGTGGTTGTATGAACCATAAGCACAATTCCGCCTTAACCTTGAGGGAATATATAAACATTTTGGGAAATATGCTTCTTAGTTTTCAGTGGGGAGTGAGGGAGTTGTGACGACTTTATGAGAAGTTTATCTTCTAAAATCACACACAAATGACACAGTCTGTGTTGATTTTCAGACAAAATGGCTTTAAATTTGATATTAAACTGAATTTTAATATCAAAATTAATAATTTGTACCTTGGCAGTGCGGGAGAGGTTTTAAAGGAATACTTTGACATTTTTACACAATTGACTCTTCTTGTTGAGAGTTAGATGAGAAGATCAGTAACGTTCTCATGTCTGTATTGTAAATATGTACTTATAGCTAGTAACCAGTTAGCTTAGTGTAGAACAAAGATTTGAAGGGGGGAAACAGCCTGTCTGACTCTATGCAGTTCATCTTTGCAAGAAAAAAAAGCTCAGTGCTGAGCAGCTCAGATGGGGAGGATGAAGCACAAGGCAAGGAAGGAAATATTGTTGATATTGTTCAGGACTGCACTTTGTGTTTCATTGTCATTGAAATGGCACTGAGGTAATGGGAGACAATAGCTCAACAAGTGAGATCATGAACGGGTTGGGGACATTGGAAAATACTCACACACACACACACACACACACACACACACACACACACACACACACACACACACACAGGGATTTATATTTTTAACAATTTTTATTTATCAAATCTATTTTTTTAATCAAAACACTTGAATTCCCTAAAAACAAACAAAAAAGCTACTCTAATTCCAAATTCAATGAGAACTGTGTGGGACACAGAATGCCATCAGCTGATGATGAATCAATTATTCTCAGGTGCCTCAATGCTTCCACTCTACTGTAGTTTTATTGGTACAGCTGTTGCCAGTGTCAATATAACTGTTATGTTATTCATTATTAAACCATCACTATATCAGTGTAATACTATAATATCATTATCATACTACTGATATATTTTATTATACTATTGGGACTATTGCTGTATCTCATCACGTTATTATCATTTTCAATATTATTATTAGGCAATACTAGCAGCAGCAGTAATAACAGTAATTCTACTCATTTTTGTGTGTAGTTTATATGCTGCACCTTACCTTGAAATTAACTGAACATAACTAAACTCATCTACAGGAGAGAGAGAGAGAGAGAGAGAGAGAGAGAGAGAGAGAGAGAGAGAGAATCAGTCCATAGTCATAACTATAAACTAAACTTTTTGCAGTTTAATATGCATTTCATTCAGTAACAGTGTTCTTTACTGCAGTGCACGATACTGTGAATGAGCTAAATGAATATATGGATACGTATAAATTATTTTATTTTGTAAAACGCACCGGAAAGAGAATAGTAAGGTCAGCTGACACGACCAAAACAAACATGGCGACGAGGGGAAAAACGGCAAACATATTGAAGCTTTTTGTGTGTTTTTCCTCGTCTTTCTTGATTTTGCCTGTTTGTTTTTGCACATTAAATCTTTTGTAAAGTGACTGCCTGAATAATAAATAGTTTCTGGAACATTTTCTGAACGGAGAGCAGAGGCGAAACCCCCAAAATCAACGGAAGTTCCTGGCTATCTTTTGAAACCAAACATCCGCTTCTGTGTAACGCGTGTGTTTATGGTGTTAGCTCGTCATTTTAGCCGAGCAAAGATGAAGCGAAAATGAAAATCAATTCAGTTTATCGTTTAACAAAACGCGGAATGGCGTGCGGGTTCGGCTAACACACGGGACGAGCTAACTGCCTGAACAAGATGTAACGTCCGAGTGTCTCACTCTGAGCAAATAATCAGGACATGGATTTTGCCACGGAGACCACCTGTGAACAAAGATCGATAAGCTGAAGATACATTACCATGGGTTTGGTGAACGTTGTCATCTCCACCATAGGAAAATGCCTGGACGCCGTTTGTTTACTCCTGGACCTGAATTTTCTCATCGTCCACACCGTGGTGCGGACTCTGCTGGGGGTTATCACCTTCATAAACAGCCTGCCCAACCTCCTCCTCGCCTCAGTGCTGGAGCTGGGAAACTTCATCGTCTTTTGCCTGGTGTCCATGGCAGAGGCGACTTCCAACGTCGCCCACAGCACTGTCACCATGTTAGGGAGCTTGGTGTTGGCTCTGGAGGGGCTGCTAGAGAGCCTCAAGATGGTGGGTTACCTGTCCATTCACGTCCTCTTCCGGGGGAAGGAGCAGTTGTGTCGAGGTCTGCTGTTGGTGCTGGAGGGCTGTGGCATCGCTGTCAGCCTGGTGGTCTATTTCACTAACACGGTGGTAAACTTTGCACTCATTGCCACTCAGAATGTGTACCTGGCGGTGGTCAGTGTGTGGCAGACAGTCTCCAGCCCGCTGCAGAAGGTGCTGGAGCTCACGCTGACCTCCCTCACTTTTCTGTACAGCAGCTTGGTTGGGACATCAGCTTTCCTGTGGTCGCCCTGTAAGCTGGTTTTGGACTTTTTGGTTTCACTGGTGCACATGTTCATCAGCATCTTCATACTGAACATCTACGGCCTCCTGCTCACAGTCACTATCGCTGTGACTACCATGGCTTACCTGAACCCAGCACAGACCCGGCAGGCTACTGTGCGAATTCTGGATTACATCAGTTCTTTTCCTGCTCTGCGCAGACTGCTTCTGGCTCTACACCACCTTGCCTCAACTTTGCGGAGCGCCCCACATGTGATACATGGTAACGTGCAACGCCTGCAAAGGATACTCCATCACCTCTACCTACTGGAGAGAGGACTTTGGCAGCAGCTGATGCGACACAGCAGTCAACTAGGTCTGGTGCTTAGGACACACCTCCACAGGTACAACAACAACAGAGTGCGAGGCGACGGCGACCCCGGCGAGGAGCGGCGGGGCCCACCAGATGGAAGAGCAGGAGATGGAGCCCACCAGATGGAGATGCTGGATTTAGTTTTCCCCTCCTCCAGTACAGACAGACCACTAAAGAAGCAGTCATCTTCAGGCAAAGACTGTAAACCTCTGCCTGCTGAGAATCTGCTGACTCTACTGAAGGAGCAGGAGGACAGGAAGAAGTGTGTAATCTGTCAGGACTGTACCAAGACGGTGGTGCTGCTGCCGTGCAGACACCTCTGCTTGTGTAGAGACTGTACAGACATCCTGTTGAGGCAGCCTATCTACCAACACAACTGCCCGCTCTGTCGACACATGATCCTCAACACTATGGACGTGTATCTATGAGGGACCAGTGGAAGTATATCTATGGGTTTTTGACACTAAGGAGCCTAATAATCAGTATCTATGCTTAATGTTTTACCACAATTGAATTGATGCTGTATGACTTATGTTTTACCAGGTTTTGTTAAAGGATACGTCTGGTGACATTCTATATTTATCGTGCTGTCAACAAATCCCATGATAACAGCAAAAGTAACAAAGCATTGATAACTCAATCTCCCAGTACTTTCTGCTTCTCTTCCCTGACTGTGGTACTCAGACCCAAGCCTATTCGTTCCAACTGAAGATATAATAAATAAACGCAATAAATCTTAAATAAAACAGCTCATAAATGTATTGTTTTATTATTTTTTTTAAACAACCTAAAACAACTGGCCTCTGCAGTTTTTAACAAATTTCACAGGAGTAAACAGAGCAAACAGGTGTAAATGGGCTGTGACTGGTTTTATCATTTGTTCTGGATTTATTGATAATAAAAATAGAGAATATCACCAGACTTATCTTTAAAAAATTGGTTTCTGATCTGTGTTCTCTGCCAGCAGTTCAGAAGAGAAATACCAAACACATGCACAGGCGCTGAAGTGCCACCACCAAATAAAGAGACCAGGGTTGCAACGATTATATAACGATTATTTCCATTATCCATTAATCTGCAGATTATTTTCTCAATTGATTGTTCAGTCTAAAAAAATATATAATAAAAGAAAAAACAAGCAAAAAATTTTTGTGAAGCTAGAACCAGCAAAGGTTTGGCATGGCTGAAACCATTAATCCATTTCCAAAATACCTGCAGATTAATTTTCTACCTATCGACTGATTAATCAACAAATCATTGCAGCTCTAAAAGAGACTGCAAAATCCTTTTCCAAAAATGTAGCTGGACTGTTTCACCACTGTCCACAATTAAATTTCTTTCGTGTGTGTGTCCTTTGCGCATTGAACTGTGGGAGAATAGAAGGGTTTTTTTTTGTATGCACACTAACTGTTTACTTCATTTTGTTGCTTTTAAAGTGTGAACACACAACATACTAAATATCCTGCTTAAAATAAGTCTGTAAGGTGGATTTGGGTCACAGCTAGAGTCTCTGTTTTGGCACTGTAATGCGCCTGTTTAAATGATTCAGTGTTGCCACGTTGAGTCTCAGGTCTTGTAGCCATGGTAACCCATAGTTGCCCCCCCTTTCTGATGCTGAAATGCTTACCACTGCTCATATCTTAAAAACAAACTGTGCTTTATTGCATGAGCATACAAGTGATTCCACACATGCTGTATATTTAACAGTGTATTCAATGCGACACCATGACTTTTTGTTGCAGTGGAAGCCTTTACCATTTAAATATATGTCAGTAAATTTCTGTGCTTCGTAGAGCCATGTAAAGAGTTAACAAAAAAGTCTCCTGTATTTTAGGAAAGTGATTTATAATTTTCCAGTCAGTGATGATAAAATACAACTTTATTCCATTTATTTGTTCTATTGATAGGGCTTATTCCAGTCTTCCATCAGTGGCGTATTACAGTCACCACCAACACATAATCCATAAAAGGTTTTCCCTTTCCATTGCCTTTGTAATAACACATAGATTTCTGTTTTATAAAAGGACCATAAACTAATAAGGCTTCACAATTTCATTTGCATTTGTTTTTCATTTGTTGCTGTTGAGGCTGAAGTGTTGATATTGATCAGTGTTTAAGGTTTACAGGGCAATTTTGTGACACCACTTAGTGTATTGATGTTGATGGTGGGGGGATATGCAGACATGTGGGGAAAGTGCTGTCTGTCATATGCCCTCATTTGCTTTTTGAAAAGTTCTTTTTTTTTTCTTTAAATAATTTGTATGATTAGAAGACATTTGATTTCTGCATTATATTTGTGACTGGAGCTAAAACATTACCGTTTTCCTTGCTACATTTCACAGATATCATTTATGAACGTGATCTGAATGTCAGTTGTCAAAGATTTCTGGAGACCAGACTGTAGTCATTATGGACTACTACTTCTCTCAGGTATTCCTAAAATGTCAGTGTACAGTATAGCATTCCTAACTAGAGATTGCAGTGAACTGAAAACCGGCTCACGTGACCATCATCTGTTGCTACCGGCAGCATGTATGACACAGTGTGGGACAATGTGATTTGAAGACATGAATGTAACATGGGTTTTTTATTGCTGTGGCTGCCACATAATGGCAAGTCCTCTGTTGATAATAAATAAAAAGAGACAAAACAGTTTCAGGATCTTCTTCACCAACTTAACAAACACATTATACATGCACATGTATAATATATACATATATATGTATATATTATATATATATGCACAACAGGAGACACATGTATATCAAACACTTGAGTTAATTTATTAGGGCTGCAACTAATGCATGTTTTCATTTGTTGATTAATCAATTAATCTATAGAGTGTCAGCAAAAAATGCCCACGGAAGTTCCAAGAGTCTGATGTCTTAAAGTGTCGTTTGTCCTGACAACAATCTGAACATATTCATCGTAGGATGATTGAAAAGAAAGAAAAACAGATTATATTAACATTTGAGAAGCTGGAACCAGTGAGTTTTTGCTCACAAAATGACTTAAACAATGAATCAATTATCAAAATGAGTCAATCAACTAATCAATCAATAGAATAATTATTTCAGATCTAAAATGTATGTACATTGAAGTAACAGAAAATAGTTCAAACAAATAAGCAGGGCAACTCTAATATCCTCCCAGCCACAGATTAGTTTACAGCAGCGTGTGCTTCTGCATTGGCAAAAAGGCACATATTTCAAGTGCTGGCCTCTCCGTCTTTTACCAAATTTGGTTTTACTGATTTTGCCACATTTTCATGATGCCCACACAGCCTGCTGTATGTCTGAGGGGGTCCCTCTTATGCAGACTGTGATGCATTCAGGGGGGCTGGACACATGAGATTACAATTTTTTTTCTAAGATAATGATATTTTAAATAGATAATGCAACAGCTGAATTCAGAGATAGGCTAGTTCATGTCTTGGGGCTGTAGAAGGGTTGCAGGGTTAGAAGGGGGGTAATGGTCATAAGGGACCACAATTCACCAGAGCTTTGCGGTTCACAGCTTCAGAGGCTTCATTCTTGTTCCCAATGTTCTCTCTAAAAATATCCCCAGCTCCACATTAGACATAAAGATAAAAGAATGGACTTAATGACATCAATCTAGAATATATTTGAATTTTAGTGGGGGTTTTTTCAATAAGAGTTTGATGTTATTAATGATTAATTGTATATTAATTATTTATATTATTATTATTAATCATCTTTTACTGTTGATTTGATCCTCTCATCTTTATAACGGAGGTTTCTACTTGATGACCACAAAGTAAACTAAATGTTGTTAACTGGGATCAGAAAACAAATCCAGGGGCTGTTTATTGTCTCCCGACCCACGAGTCCAGCCTCTGCAGTGTTTATGTGTTAGTTGTAAATGAGGATGGTGTTAACAGAGGAGAGGAAGTTTAATATCAGGGGAACAGCAGGGAGGAGTAAACTGAGGAGAGCTTTATACCCCAGGGATTCGACCTCTTCCTTCTGACCCTGGTGATCCTGACCGAGAGCAGTGTGGGAACATGTCAAACTCTAGTGCACTTTTCCCTGCATCACTCAGGCTCTACTTTTTCTGTTCATGACCACTGCCTCCATTACTTGCTTTGACTCATGATTTCTCCATCATCTCTACATCGTGTGCTTTAATCTCAGCGTCTTAACAAGTGGGAAAACCTCTTCAAAACCAGAAAGGTTCAAGTGATCAGAACAGTCAGTGTCTGCCCTGCTAAAACATCAAGAAGGCGAATAGCTACAAACAGCAGTCCTGTGGAGTTGACCTCGACCACTGACCTCCCTGTGGGGGGTCATGAACAATGAGAGCATTTCCTTTCTATCTCTGATTTTGGCAAGCCTCATGTGACATGAGCCCTACATCATGATGCAAAGAACAACAGTTTAAAAGAGACCAACATTTCATAGACAGATAGTAGATAAAATATGGAGATTTAGAAAAAGTGAGAGGAGACAAAATAGAGAGGAAACAGTGTCAGTGAAATGAAAAAGGAAAACAACCGGTTGACAGTAATGTGATGAGATAAAAGAGAAGACACAGGCAGCTCATTAGCCTTGGCCTCAACCCAACCCTGACTCCACTGTAATTAAGATGTTTGTTCCAGACCATCCTGATAGCCTTGAATAAATGCAGTGTGTGATTTATGGGTGGCATACAGATTAAAGCTGGGGACTCCTGAAGTAGGAAGCTGGATGATGGCCATCAGGTCACAGGGCCGGTTAGGAGCCCCCACTTCTCACCCCATAGTACTTGAACTTTCACCTTCAGACTGAGAGAGAAATGAGATGCAGTGAAATGTATCACTGTTTTCACACAAAAAGACAGAGTACTCACAAAATGATTCAAATAGAGGATCTGCTAGTGATTTAAATACAGAGCCCATAGAAAACATTCACCCTTTGTTTCCTAGATTGAATCAAAGGTGATTTGATGTTGCTTTTTTGACACTGATTAACAGAAAAAAAAATCCTTTAATGTCAAACTGAAAACACATCTCTACAAAGTCATCTAATTGAGCTACAAATATAACATACAAAATATATGTTTTCATCAGGGTTCACCCCCTTTAACTCGAATCAACGCTGGTGCAGCCATTAGAAGTCACCTGTGTCAAGTCAAGGGCTTTCAGTTGATGTATAACATAGATGTAGTCAGTGTCCAGGCAGAATCTACACCATGAAATGAAAACTTTTAATGGGCATTGGATCACCCAAGAAGAACACAAAAGTTAGCTGCTCTTACAAACCTAGTTCTTTTGATAACTGGTTAAAGTAAGAGTTTGCTTAGTCACTACGTGCAGTAAAAAAAAAAAAAAAAGGCCAAACACTCAGTGAATATCCGTTTCAATAATACCCTCCAAAAGACTGAACTGAGCATTTTTTTCTTCAAAGAAATCTTCCCAGTGATTACCTTACAAGGGAAACTGAAGCTCAAAGGAAACTTCAGTGGAATTTCTTCCAGATTGTGCCACAGCAGCATAACTGTAGTCTGCTGATTAATATTTGTACAGTAAAATATTTCATTAAACTTTACTTTAAACTAAAGTTCAAATGTTGATCTTGAAAGTCCAAAAACAACAAAAGCTCTCTAGATTACTTGTGATTACTTACTGTTTTACTCCTCAGTGCATCCTTTAGAAAACTAGGATATGGGTAGACCTATAAAGGAACAAATTAATGAGAATACATTTAAATCCAAAAGCAAATAAAATAGTCCTCAATGTGTAACCCAAAGTCAGAGAAGAGCACAGCGAGGTCTACTTATTGATCTGTCCACTCTATGTCTGAGCACTTCATTTTGTGCAAATATTTTCTCCATTTGAGGATAATGTCCATAAAAGTTCCAATAATTTATCAGTGATGTATTCATTATTTAAATATGCATAATTGGCTTTAATTTTGTGTTGATAATCTCTTGAGAGCAAGTGTCATTTTTCAAGTGGTTGATATCTGGTTTTGAAAGAAACCAGCTTCATTTCTTTTTCTACTTTGTAAATTCTGTTAAAGGAAGATTATGATCAATCAATGCTGGAGTCACTTTGGAGCAATTAATAAAATGCCAATGTACCATACATTCCTGTCTGATTTCTCAGATGCACAGCCACTGTTGCACTCATCATAAAGGCACCTCGGGTCTGTTGACACAGCTGGTAGAAACGATAAGTCCTGTCCAAATAATCTGAAGCGCAAAATGATGATGCTTGACTCTCTCCTTTGCAGATGTTCCTTCAAACAGTGTTTTAGCTGCTGAACACTGATGCAACACTGCCCCCTGCTGGATTGAGTAACAACATCAACTTTAGCTGAGCCACCTCTGATGAAAGTGATGCCAAATCACTGAGGAAAACATCACTGGAAACAGTATATTTCCTCTAGATTCTAGCTGCATGACTCCCATCATTTATAAACAGATCTTAATTTTAATTTGGAGAAACCCTCTCACTGAGGACAATGAGGTCATGTCCTTGTTTCCTTGTTTCTAGTAATTTGGGGGGTTTTGTCGGCATGAGAAGTTTATATTCTACAATTATACACAAATTACACATGGGTAGGTTTTAGACGTTGTGATTCTGTTTTGTTTTTTTTTAACTAAATATCTTTAAATTTGTTTCCAAATAAACTTGAATTATAGTCCAGGGTTCTATTATTTTACCACAATAATTCCTTGGCAGTATGGAAAAAGCTTTAAAGGAATAGTTTTTGTGTGCTCTCTTGCAGAGAGTTAGCTGAGAAGATTGTTACCACTCTATCTAAGCTTAGTATAAATACAGGAAACTGGCAGAAACAGCTAGTCTGGCTCTTCAAAAGGCAAAAAAAATCTGCCTACCAGCACCTCTAATGCTCACTGATTAACATGTTTCATCTGGTTTGTTTTGATCCATATAGAACTGAAGTGTCAAATCCACAATTTGTGTGATCTTCTGTCTCACAGTGATAACACGATTGTAGGAATGTCTAAATATTTCCAGTACAAATGGGTATTTTGGGTAGAAGTGTCAAAATATTTCTTCAAAACATCATGTAGGGACATAAAATGTTCAGAATATAAACTAACTTAAATAAATTGATAATGTGAGAGACATTTTCGGTAGTTAGTCAAATATACAGTGGCGGGGTTCAGCTGGGGGAGTTTTGATCTAAGTATTTTCTAAAATCATCAGTCTGGCCCTGCCTCTTCTACAGTGCATGTACACACTCTTGTCCATCATATCATCTCACTATAACTAAACCCTATCTGCATCTACATTTTAATCCAGATGTCAAACTCTTGCCTAACTTTCCTTCCCCCAAACAAGCCCCCCCCCCCCGCCCAGCTCTGTCAGAGAGTGATGTCATTGTCTGCTTGGCACATCGGCTTCAATTTACAGGCTGTGAACTAATGGAAATAACTGATTAATGCCAGAGGAGGATTGATTAACTCCCTGCTGCTCTCATTCTACCCTAGAGGGAAAAGTTATGAGGATATATTTAGACCTTAATTATATGTAGGAGACTTGGGGAGTGAAGGGAAAATAACATTTCCTCATGTCTGTGGTGGTGTATTTGACAGGCACAGAAAGCCGTCCATGGTGTGGTCTTGTCACTGTTTACCCTCCTAAATAAACAATCAGGCCTCAAGAAAAAATGACACAGACAATGGGAGAGGCTCGGCTCAGTAAACTGGGAAAATAATACGTTACTTTTGTCATAAGCTATCAGCAGTGATGGAAAGGAGGAGATGTCTTACATTAACAAGCTCACAGTGTTGAAATGTACAAATCTGTCAAGGTACTTACAGCGTTTGGTGAAATCATTAGGCAGAGGTAAACAGAGTGAATCCAGTGGAAAATGAATATTTTCCAGCCTTATTTCATTAAGGTAAAAACCAGAGGACTGGGTGTTGGATTTGATTAATAAAAGTTCCACATGGAAGTAAATCAATCAGGCAGAGGTGGAAAATTACTAAGTTAATTTACTCTAGTGCTGTACTTTTGAGATGTGTACTTTTCCTTTAAACTTTTACATCACTGCATTTCATAGGGAAATATGCAGTTTTACTCCACTACAGTCATTTAACAGCAATAGATACTAGTTATTTTTAAGAGGAAAAACTAGTGGTTCCTGATCTTTTTGCCTTGTGATTCCTTACAAAAAAGTCTTTGTTTTGTTTCAGATGTCCGAGTTGATGGCAGCTGCAACAGTGATTTCCCCTCTAAACATCAGAGATGGTTTCATTTAAATAACAATTTGAGGCTCAATTAGGTAAAATTAAGAAAACAATAAGAATAAGCAAACCACATTAGAGAGAAATCCAAAGTAATTTTTTTTTTTTTTTTTTTTTTAACCAGATTAGTCATCCCAAAACCCTGAAGATTTTATAAGTATTTATATAGTGCCAAATTATAACATTCAAATTCTCAAGGCACTTTACAGAGTAAGTTCAATTAAGGTCAAGTTCCCATCATGAGCAAGCACTTGGCAACAATGGAAAGGAAAAACTCCCTTTTAACTGGGAGAGACCTCCGACAGAATTGGACTCAGGGTGGGTGGCCCTCTGCCTCAACTGGTTAGGTTTAGAGCAGAGGATTGGGGAAGAGAGGAGAAAGAGAAAAGTTAGACCAAGAACAACTGTAAACACTGTTGTATTCAAGCACTGGGAAACTGCTTGTTATATACTGTGATAAACCCTCAACACTTTTAGACATATAAGCGGCCTCTTTCTCTCAGTCTTAAATTGGATTATATCTGATATGTCCGCTACAGATTTCTTTGTCTCCCTTGCTTATCACTCCCCAGCTAACACATGGGGTTACTCAAGGATCCATTCTGGGACTTATGCTGTTCAGCCTTTATAGTGCCACTGGGAAACATCATCAGAGAACATGGGGTCAGTTTTCATAGCTATTCTTATGATACGCAAATGACACCAGCCCCACTGATAAACTGGTTCAGTGCATCGATCAAATCAGCCTGTGGATGTCTCATAATTTCCTGCAATTGAAAAAAGACAAGACAAAATGTTCAATCATCGGCACAAATATCGGCCCACAGAGAGATACTGTGCACTAACTTGACACTGTCTTGAAAAAATCTAGGTGTGCTTCCAGACCCTGACTTGAATTTTGAAACCCACATCAGATGTGTCAGTAATGACGATGTTGAGTAGTAGCAGCAGATCCGGATCCTGCAGCTCTGGAGTCAGAGATACCTGCAGAATGAGGACAGAGTGGAGAAGCACAAACTACAGAAAACTATAATGCATGGAGAGAGATAAGAGAGATAAGAGATAAGAAGAAGTGCTCAGTACATCATGGGATTTTCCCCTGCAGCCTCAGCCTATAGCAGCATAACTAAGGGATGGTTCAGGGCTCACCTGAGCCAGCCCAAACTATAAACTTTATCAAAGAGGAAAGTTTTAATCTTAAATGTGGACAGGGTGTTTGCTGTTCTGACTGTTCTGTTGTGATAATAGGGTTCTATGAGGCCTTTAAGACCCTTCAGAGGAGCCCGACCCCTGGGCTGACTAACTAACTAACTAACTGTACATGTGAAGTATATCTCCACATTAACCAGCTACAACAGCAAAATGGCACTTGGATGCAACAGTATTAACAATATGTCATGCATAATAACATAGCAGTCACAGGGCCATTTTTCTGCAGAATTAGTTCTTTTAGTATATTTAATGAGTATATTTTGATTCTTCTGTACTTCTACTTAAATAGGAGTTTGAGTATTTTTACAGTTGTTTCATTGGTTCTTCTTCCACCACTGAAATCAGATAAACATCTGTAGAATAATACAGGTGTTCACGGGCAGATATATTTTGAAAAAGTGGCTCAACAGTCCTGTTTGAAGTTATTGGCAAAACTGATCTCTTCACATTTGTCACTCTCTGGAATAAAGGGTGTATTTATGGCCAAAAATGTCAGTCGTGTGTGTTTTAAAAACTGAAATGGTTTATTCATGTTTCATGTTCGCTGTGCAGAAACTGATGAGAAAAAAAGTGCAATAATAGCATAAAAGCTGTTTGAATTTGTGGCCTGGAGTTGGCTGGAGGCCGCTGTCACAACATCTGGTACAAGAATTAACTGCCACAACAGTTTAAAAGCTGCAACTGAAGAACAGACACTGAATAAACATTGCTGGTCAGTGTATGTACCTCACACTTCACCAGTACGGTATGTGCCATTCAAGTAACATTGTCTGGTGTGTTATTTTACTTATTACACAAATACAGCTGTACCACGTCACAGCCGATTCACTTGTCATCATCCAGAACATCTCAATTAGGAAAATAAAATAGGCAAAAAATAGGTTGTGGTTCATTTCCCACAGGGGAATATGACTTTGTTTTGTACATTAGCACATGTCATTCAAACACAGCAGAGTGTTTCCAGTATGAGTACACAAGGAAGCCAGTGAAGGTGCTGTCTGTCTTGGTGCTCGAGTAAAATCCATTGTACTCTGACAGAGCCATCTGGACCCACACCTGGTCACCAGGGACGAGGTGGAGCAGGGAGCCCCCTGACAGAGACGCCGGTTTGGGCCAGTTTCCATAAAACTGAAAATAAGATGCCACTGTGTGTCCGTTCTTCATCAGGTCAAACTGCAGGCTGGCACGGTAGACTGTGGCGTGGACGGCAAAGTAGTAGACTCCGGGGACTTTGCAGGTGAAGCGTCCTGTCTCTGTGTTGTAGTCGCCCTGTTCATTCAGTATGATCTTGTCAAAGCGCACTGCATCGCCCACATTGAGGGGCAAAGTGAGGCCATCAGATAGTTTGGCACTGAAGGCTGATTTTGGGGCCACAGCGCACTCTCCTGCCTGCCCTCTGTCCCCCTTTTGTCCTGCTTCACCTCTGTCTCCAGTCAGGCCTCGCACACCTGTCTCACCTGGAGAGGAAGAGCAGCACAGACATGAACATCCAGCACTGACACTCATTACATACACACACACACACACACACACACACACACACACACACACACACACACACACACACACACACACACTGAATAAAGCACCTGGTTCTCCCCTGTTCCCCTTCTCTCCCTTCTCCGCCGGAGCAGCATCTCTCCCATCCCTCCCGTCTCTCCCCGGCTGACCAGGACTGCCATGAACTCCAGGAGAGCCGGGGATACCGGGGTGACCAGTACACAGACTGGGTGGGATCTTGTTGTCTTCTAACTGGTCGGAAAGGTGGACTTGTAGGATGAGGAGGGAGTGCAACAAGGGTAAGAGCCTGAGTGAGGTCATTGCAGTGTCACGGCTGTGAGAGAAAAGAGAAAAATTACAAGTAAACATTATAGTTTACAAACAAGTCTGTGGAGGAGTAACACCAGAGTTTGAACTGGACAACACAGTGGGATAATAGAGATCTGATTAAACAAAAGTACACCACAAAAGCCTCTATAAACATCAAGTCAAATCAAACTTGATCAGATAACAAACATTGGAGGAGCACATCAATTTTGAAACTGCAGTGTATATAAACACACTGAAATGAGTGTTTTACAACATAATCCAAGGGTTTACAGTATAATATTCAGTGTTCATTTTCTTGTTGTAATTTGAGGCAGTTAAAGGGAATCTACTGTATCAAATGAATTTAAGCACTAGGCTACTGCTTTCCAGCTGACCTGTTACAATATTAAACCCTAACGGGCTTAATACTGCTATTTAAAACACATTAAAATAAGTTGAAAGCTGCAGGATGATTTCCAGTAGAAACTGCTGCAATCACTCACACTAACATTTAGTCCCAAAACTGCCTGATAATATGGGCTGAGTTTGAACACAATATTTATCTTTTTAAATACTTAAACCAAATTGGACTTGTATTTTTAACATATTTGATCATACACATAATGTGTATGCTTTATTGTTTTTTTAAAACAAAACTGAAATAACCATAAAAACATCACTGAGAGGACATCATTCATTAGATTCCAGAAATTCTACAGAAGTAACCGGTGATTTAGAACAGATGACATTTTAAATGTGTCCCTCTCCGCTCAGGTAGACACTTTCATGAAATTTGATAGGGATATTTATGTATATTCAAACCTAAGTGGAGGTTTCACTGTAATGACAGAGAGAGAGAGAGAGAGAGAGAGAGAGAGAGAGAGAGAGAGAGAGAGGGAGAGAGTGAGAGATTGTGTTTATTAACACAGGTGCAGTTTCTGGTTTCAACTGTAAGCGGCTGAGAGTCATGACACTGAGAACAGCATGCTCTGTGTCGGGGAAGGCACGTGGAAGGAAGTGATGGGAAAAAAAGGAGAGGAAAAAAAGAGACCACAAATAAGAGAAGACTCAATAACAACCAAACGGCAAGCAGAAGAGATGTTAGGAGGTTTGCTCTTTACATGCGACCATCGTGTTTCATGTTTACATCACAGACTAATATACGTTTACAAAATACAAACATGTATTTCTAACATGTCATTTCTATGATGGATACAAGTTTCTGTGAGGATATAGCCAGTTCAGGAGGATAAGAATAATAATAAAATTCCCCCAGCTACTGATTAGGATTACTCATATCTACATAATACAATTTACCAGATGTTTTTTATAAAAGTGTGATGCGATGCTGAATTCCAGACAGCCGACTCAGAAGCTGCACGCAGTCACACCTAAAAGTTAAAAGGTTCGTCCTCAAATTCTCCTCTGTCTCTGTCTCCCTGTGTTTCCTGTCTGTGTGTGTGAACATGCATCAAGAGCCTCAGTCCTCAGTTGACCCTGCATGGACAGCCAGAGAATTATTAGACTGTACATACCGGCTGCCTGCCCCATGTAAAATCACTAAATTCCTAGTGTGTTTGTATTGCAGCGCCCATGTCTTTTCCTGCAGGACTTTTGGTCGAAGAGACACCAGCTCGTCTCCAATGTCTCCCCTGCTGGGCAGTCAGTCTGAGAGCAGGACAGGCGTCGCAAGACCATAATCTGAGCTGATGAACTGAACAGGAGGACCTACAGGCTTACTGGCTCGTGGTACCGGGTGCTTTGTAGACTCCAGCTTTATGGTTTAGTAATGGAAGCTGTCTGTCAGCTATCTGAAGGTCTCCTAATTGTTACGAGAGCTTACTGTATATCCACAACAGCTGCAGAAACAGGGAGAGAGCCACACAGAGAGAGAGAGAGAGAGAGAGAGAGAGAGAGAGCGAGAGAGAGAGAGAGAGAGAGAGAGAGAGGAGACTAAAAAACAGAAAGAAAAGAGAGAACCAGTCAGAGAAAAGGAGGAGGGAGGGAGACTTGCATGTCAGAATTCCTGGCAGAAGAGGAGGACAGACAAATACTGGAGAGTCTGAACAGCTGTCTGCCTCAGTAGCCCTCAGATGATTAGAAACATGAAAGTTCTCAAACACTGCGCAACAGAAGAACCCACTGTGTATAGACCTCTGATATGTGAACTACAGTGCTGACGGAGCAACTTCACATACTTCTGAGTGAGTTTATACGGTCAGAACAGCTTGTTGTCTACATAAAGGCACGCAAACAAGTAACACTTTGAGGACATGTAGTCAAGTCATTTTTTTTTAAAACACGTTGGACTTTTTTATCTTTTTTTTTATGACACTGTGATCGTTATCAGGTGAAATCCAGTTGTTCTCAGTTTAATAAACAGAACATGAGGAAAATCCAATCTAAATCACGGGACTGGAGTTTTGGCTGAAAGTTTTTGTTTCTTTCAAATTCCAGTCCAGTGACTTGGATTCAGTTTTAGTTTTTATCAGATTTGTCTGGAAAATAAGAAATTAACAAACCCATGCAGCAGCCATTTGGAAAGGTTTGGCATATTGCCTTAAGACCAGCTGGACTGCATTGACATTATCTATTTACTGTAACTCATTATCAGGCTGTTGACGGCAAAGTTGTTTATTTTAACCCTGTATTGCTGAATAATGCACTTAACATAGGAGTGGGAAGCAATCAAACATTTAAACTTTAACTTTGTATTTCAATTCTACAACATTTCGGATGGAATTATTGTTCTTTTTACTCCACCAAATTTATCTATTTAACTATAGTTACTGATTACTTTACAGATTTTCTATATAGACCTCAGAGCTTAACGCTGCTGTGTATTAAGTATTTTTACTTTTGATACTATCTTGCTGATAATACTTAAGATTTTGAATGCATGACTTAAGAGTCTGACTGCTTCTTCCTCCACAGCCTAAGTTTTTTCATACAATCCAGACAATCATATCCACACACTACAAAATGATGCTCTTTATGGTCATTTATTTCTTACTTGATGTTTTGGAAGAAAAGAAAGTGTCAGTTTGTCTGTTCTCAACACTACACTTATGAAACACACCTCAGCCCTGCACCCTGACATGTGCAGACTTCGCCTGTGTGCCCTGACATTGAAACACTGAAGAGCAGCTTTGATTCACAATTCAGAAAAAAAAACAAAAAAAAACAAAAGCTGACTTACTGGCTGATGTAGTGAAGTCTCTGAGAGCTGCTGCTCCTGCTGCTGATGTTCGTGAGTGCCGAGGAGAATCCAGCTAAAGCTGTTCCTCCCAACCAGAGTGTCTGGCTGGGAAAAACTGAAAGGAAATGGTAATGAAATCCAATTAGAAACTGGGGTGGGTGGGAGAGGAGGAACTGCGGGAGCAAGGAGGATACGGAGGAAAATATTTGATGGTAATCCAGCACAAATAACAGAGAAATATAACTAAAACAAAACAAGAGACAAAATCAGTGTGAAGGGAGGGATTCTGAAAGAAAAGTTTAGGGTAGGGTGATAAATGGAGGAATGTTTGGGAGATTGCATAACAGTGTTTGGGGAAACTCTCCAAGACAGAACCACAGAGAGTTCAGAAGGCTGTGGTCAGAAAAATGCTAATGTCACCACAATGATCTGCAGCTGAAAATGAGCTTTATTACTCAGAAACACCACTGCTTCAAGATGAAGGGTGAAGAGAGGCAAATACAGACATCAGCTGACCTATGAGGCAAACTCATACCCACACGCTACACATGTACTCGTTTTCTCCACCCTGTGACTTTCACTATCTGCCTCCAAGATGAAGCAATTTGTTCGATCCAGATACCATCTTCCTACTCATATCAGTCTTCCGCTCAAGCAGGACTCTCTGACAGTAATCCTCTTTTCATTGTAATCCTTCGGTGGCAGCGCTAAGTCGATAAAGCAAAAGGTCGTATTATCTTTTTGCCAAGGGAGCTAAACTTGAGCTGGTAAAATTTTGCAGCTCTTTTTAGTTCAGGCCAATGACAACATCTTTTCGCATTTACCATGCAGCAGTGACTCCAAAAGAACCAGCACCGGGCCAAAACTGGATAGATCACGGTCCATCAAGTTAATCTGTGTGGGAGAAGAGAAGACAGAAAGTAAGCAGAGTTAAGCCTTAACAGAATGTGAGGAGTACAATACAAGGGTCTGCAATTAGGTTCACCGTGGGTCAGTTTTGTTTTTGTTTTTCTAATCATAGTTCACTGTGGGGCAGCATTTTACTGGCACAGTTGAAACACACAAACACACTGAATATGTTTTCAATAAATTTGTATGCTTATTTTCTTCTCTCTAAAAATTTGTTTCAGGGTTGTATCCAACAATCATTTTTTCGCCATGTTAATGGCTCGAGGGATGGTTATGTCAGTCTGTTAGTCCATCACTTTGCTCCAGATTGGAATAAGTCAACAGCTATTTCATGGATTGCCTTTAAACTTTGATTGCATTTTTTACAGTCATAATCCCCAGAGGATGTGGTGAGCCCCTGACTCTTATTTTAACACCACCACAAGGTTTAATGCAAATTAGCAAATGTTAGCATGCTAATATGCTAAATTCAGGTAGTGAACACGATAAACATTATCCCTGCTAAATATCATGGTGAGTGTGTTAGCAGGATGATGTCAGCTTTTAGCTCGAAGCACATTTGCAGGCATGCTCATACTAGTTAGGCAAAAACAATCACTCATGTATGCAAATGTCTGTTATGCTAATGTTGCACTACAAGAATGGAGATGTGATTGACAGGTTATCCACACATGAAAAACAGTGGTCTGCTTCAGTTGCACAGCTCATATGGTTGAATGGAAAGTGCTGATGTTGTTGCTATTGGCTTGACTGCCACAAACAATTTATGTTTGTGACATGTTTGTGGCTAAAGCTGTGGAATTAAAACTATTTTAATTCAAATGATACTTGGTTTCATTTAAACAAAGTGGATTACATTATTTGTGTTTCTCATTGGGTAAGTTTATTTATTTGGTCCTCATCTCAGGGCCATGTGTTGATGCAGAACAAGGAACATTAACCAGACGAAACCTAACATACATAGACATATGTAAAAAACTGGTGAATACATTTAAATACATTGGGGGATATATTTTTAAAATACTTAAAATACTCAATTTGTATCACATGTGTAAATATATATGACAATATATTCATTTATTTATCTGCCTGCATTGAGAATGAGGTCTATAGGTAAATTGTGAGGGTCTTGACAAGCCAGTGCAGAATTAGATTAGGTTGAATGCAGGCTGAATGGGCCTATGTGCTGAAGCCAGCTAGACTATGCACCCAGAGAAACATAGGGTTAATATACAGTTTGCATTTGCAGTAACCTACTACAAAACCCTGTTATCCACAAAATGTCATCTCACATGTGTCTGTTCATGTGAGAGCAGTCATTACATGTCATTAGGCCATCATTTTTAAGATTTACCCAAGCCTTGTATTTACATCACCAGTTATAGTACACTTGTGAAAAGTCATGTAAACACATTGATGACTGACATGTCACAATTTGCCAACCACAATTGTAATAGTTTAAATGCTACAGGGCAAATTATTTTATCAAAATGAATTCAGTCATGTTTTAGGGTCGAATACTGAGGTAATTAAAATGACAGAGTTTCTTGAGAAAATGGGCAGGTACCCCTTCAGTTTATGGATGTAAAGGTATCTTTGTGTGCCATGTATGAGCTCAGCGATGTTAGGTCTGCAGGAAGAACTGAACCCAAAACACAGACAAACCAAGTGAAAGTGGAAATAGGTGTTTATTAAATAACAAAAAGGGAAACTTACAAAATGGGATCCGAAGAACCAGGTAGGGAACAACAAAACAGAAAATCAGAGAACACAGGGAACACTGGGGCGAGACTGGAAACTGCAAAAAAAATACAAACTGAGTGTAATGGAGTAAAACAGGTAGATGACGGTCGACAGACAGACTGACAAAGACAAAGGGGAAAACAGAGACTAAAGTTCACAAGGGAGGCAAGGGTACTAGAACACAGGTGGAACACATTAGGGCGGGGCAGACAATTAACCAGGAGAGAAACCAGACAAAGAGACACACAAGGGAAGAGGTTCCAAAATAAAAAAGGAAATAAATTAAATCCAAAACCATCAAACATAAAGTTTCCAAAAGAGACCAAACATATTACCAAAGTCCAAACAAAGAGGAGTCCAACGGAATCCAAAAGAGTCTTCTTAGGGCAAACCAAGTGAGAGCAAAGAGTGAAACTGCGCTGACTCTACACATGGGACTGCTTAGTGCTTTAACACTAAAACACTGGTTTTATGGCAATGTAATGAATGGGGGGGGGGTTACTCTTTGAAACCACTGCCGACTTTCCTTTGAGTTTGAGTCATCAGGCTGTTGTGAGGAGGCAGTGAGCTGTGACTGAAGTGAGACGCAGCAGAGGTAAGACATGTTTTTAATTAGCAGCACCAGAATCAGCACATTCTGCCTCTGCTACACTAATTTCCTGTAAGAATCCATAAACTGCTGCTTGGAGGATTTACCGTTAATTTGGACCACTTGGCAAATGAGCAGTTGTGTGAGCAGTTGGTTGTGAAGTTAGCTATAAAAAAAAAAAAGATTCAGTTAGCTTTAAAACAATGCAGTTTTAGTTTAGGGCTGAACTCTGTGTTTCAGAAACGGTCCCACTTTTCACAGTAAAAACAAAGACATGCAGGAAGTGTCCTGCATGTCTTTGCTCACAAAGCTGTGAACAGATGTTTTGCTTCTTAAAAAAAAAAAAGACCAGTGTGATGATGCACTTATTTCCCAGAACATCTGCTCTTGGTGGGAAAAAAGCTCAGTTTTGAACTTTAAAACGATTTGTTACTGTGCACAGAGAAGACTGACTCTACTACTATTTCTATATACAACATTCACCAAATGAGTTTAATGGCATTCCATACAAAATACCACAAAAGATCCAGATAAACAATGAATGAGATGTGACTAAGCAGGTCAGGTTCCAAAAACTCATAAGTATCATAATAATAATAATAATAAAGCACGTGTACAAAAGGCCATAGGATGAATAAGATCATTTTTGACATTCACTGATGTTTCCTCTTACAGGACTGTTGCAGAGTGTTTTCAAGTTTCATAATTTATTTGATGAATTGGTAACTATTTTGATAATTGATTTATCATGTCATTTTTTAGCTTCTCAGATTTGAAGATTTTCTGCTTTTGCATGTCTTAACTTATAGAAATTGTAATATCTGTTTTCACTGCTGGTTGGACAAAACAATTAATCTGAAGATGTCACCTTGGGCTTTGGGAGCATGTGAGGGGCATTTTATAGACCAAACATTTAACTGGTTAAACCAGAAATTATCAGATAAATCAATAGTGAAAGAAAATGAAGAGCCATTGCAGCACAAATAGCATGTTTACTTTTTCTTATTTGCCTGTTTTCAAATGCACACAATGGCTTTTTTTAATGTTTCTTTTTCCTGCTGTTACAGGCAGCCAGTGTTTTATCCGTTAGTTATGAAAAGTCAATAAATAAATAAATAAATAGCTGAAGCTCCAGGACAAACAGGCACACACTAGAAACTTCATGTGTATTGTAATCCATCATAGTGAACATCAAGTCTCAATTAATTTTGGTCAAAGGTCTGGCAAAAAAAAGCAAAAAAGGTAAATTAATGTTGTGTGATGCTGATGATGTGATCCAGTTTAAGATTGGAAAAGTCTGCACTATGTTAACTGCAGACTTGATGTTCACTGTGATGGACAACACACTCAATGTGCCAGTACATTTCCATTGTGTATGAAAATGAATTGAAACAAACAGAAGCAAACCGAACAATGGGAAATATATACGAACATCCCTATGGTAACATAAATGGTGAGCTGATGTGTCGTAGAAACACTAAACATGGAAAATCACTGGAAAGTATGGTAAGTTTTAAAATTTCAACTTGACCTGCAATGACCAGCAGTTGAAAAAACTAATCTCACCTCAAGGTCCATTTAGTAGCAACTCTGGAGCTTTTCATCATATTGCACAAACTTTATCAGCAGATGGAGATTTGTCAAAAACTGGCTTCAGAGCAAACTGCACCTACTGATGAGGATCATGTGATATGATTGGAAGCTCAACAACAGCTACTAAATGGACCTTTTCTCAACCACTGGTGTGGCTCTCTACACTCAGCAGCTGTCCGATCAAACAAGGAACCAGTCAAACAAAAACGAGTAAAGGAGACATGTTTATTATTTAAACTATCACTTAAATAAAAAAGTGCATAGAAAATAAACATGATTAGAAACTTTTCTTTTTACATTTATATACAACTTTGTTTCCTAATTATACATTCAACCAAGTAGTTTGTGGTTTATTTTCACTGTGGTGGTTTTCCTTCATTTCGTTGATGTGTATTGAAAGAACACTGTTAAAATGGGAGAAAATATGACTTGAACTCGTGAATACCGTTATTACAGAGAGCAGGAGGAATATTGATAAGACAAAGGTATATTCAAGGCATAAGAAAACAAGCCTGTTCCTGATCCATGACCCCCTCTGTTAGCACATCCTACGTCCGCTCCCTCTGTGACACCACATCCCATCCTAGGCTGACAACTTCTATACACAAGAAACAAGTAGAAAATTACAAATACATGTTAAGTACTTGCCCGACCTCTCCCAAACCTTGACTTGTAAAACAACAATTCAGGGTGGATGTTGCACAAAATAAATAAATTAAATGTTTTCAACATCAGCATTATCTCAGCATTATGACTTTCTATAAAAACAGTACATGATAAGTACAACCAAAGCTTCGGAGGAGAGAGAGATGGTCGGGGAGACATGAGAGGTTTCCAAAATGTGAAACGCCATTTTGGTGCGATCTTTAAAACTCCTGATCAGTCTCCACAAACCAAACTCTTGATTTATACCACACATCAAGTAAGCCGTCTAAAAAGTCCCTGTTAAAACGTACAAAGAAAAAACAGAAAAACATTCACTACAACAACCAGGAGGGGGGAAAAAAAATGGCTGACCTCAAGAAGTTCACAACCACATTAATACAGTTACATTTCTCATCACATAAAAACCGTTCGTTTCCAGAAAGAAAAGAAAAAGAAAAACTGCAATGTTCCTTGCTGGCGAAGGAACACTCACAGGCACAGCAAAATTGGTACTGGATATCAATATACAAAAGAATGATGCACGTTAGTTTCATCTGATAGTACTGTAACACAAAACCATTATAGAGTACATTGAAACATTGCTATTAACCATTATAAATCTGCTGTTTTGCTACTGTAACTAAGTTTGTCTGTCCATTCCATATATTGTATAGATACTAAAGTACAAGAAATTACTATGCATGTTTCCGTATAATATTGTTATGTATTTATACTATAATTACAGATAATGACGGAGAAGGGCCACTGGTGTGGCGTGGTAAAATGAAGTCCAAAGAAACAACAGAGAGCATTTCCTTATTGTATACTGTATATGTTGTTTAAAACAGTGAAATAAATGACTTATTGTTCAATGAACCCTCCGACCCTGAAAATGCAGATGTGGATCTCCAGAAGTGAGCGTTGTAGACAGAGCCCTTGGCATCGGTGAACGTGTTATCACCGACGCTAACGTGAACTGTTGAGCTAACCCAGTAAGAACCTTTTGTCCTACAGACAGAAATGCCACTGCTGTTCACACGTCAGCATTTATTCTCAGTGCTGAAAATGAAACTGCTGCTGCCCAGCTTGAGGTCATATCTACACATCGTCCATATCTACCAGGGTTGTTGACGCAAGAACTGAAAACAAATGTGGCTGACAACATATCGACATCATCACAAGTTTGGTGATGTGGAGGAGGAATATACATTCATTGTTGACCTTAGCAGCTGAACCCAGCGAGCCCAGTGTAAGTACAGCTGTACAACCACAAGGCTGGCATGTCAGTCAGGGTGGAATGGGCCTCAAGACCTGAGAAGACCCGATCTTGGGCCCTAAATGGAAAAGCACAGCCAAGGTTTGTGCAGAATGCACTTTCAGGAAGGAAAGGGCTGCTGGTGTGGTCCCTGCCTTCACTTTGTTGCAGAAAATGAGTCAAGTGCACTTTGCTAGAGCCTCACTTTCAGGAGTCATCAAGAGCAGTTCTAGGTTGACTGAACTCAGGGCCTAATGCACAAACTCAAAGTATTCTCAGTGACTATCTGTGCTTGTGGTTTCAGCATTGGAGTTGCATTGTCTGTCTGGAGAAAGAGCTGAGTTTTCCTATGTCTATTCAGTGCCTGTGTCACAGCTAAAGTGCAAACCATGTGTGGGTCACTTTTTTGTTTCAGTTCACAACAACAAAGGGCAGTGTGGGAATAACTGCTAACGGCGTTTAGGTGATAAGGAAGTCAGCATGAACGGCGGACAACAATAAATTAATTTAAAAAAGGGACAAAACCAAAGCAAGTGACGTCAGAACCAGTCAAAACAGTCCAATTAAATATTCAGTCCAGGACATGAAGGCTTGTAAGATATAAGAGGCATGCTCATTTACAACTAAGGCAAACCACGAGGAGACTGAACAAAAGAATAAAAAGTGATTTCCAAATGCTGGTGATCACTACTGAGTAGTCACCAAAACAAAGTGGTTTTTTAAAATAAATGGATTGGCTAAACGGAGATATGTCGAATGCTGTTGGTAGCTTTAAATAAAGGCACCTCTTTTTTATAGACTGCACAGGGACAAAACACTTTAAACTGACAGGTCTCTGGTTGGATTTTACATGTGAATATTTTGTATATAGCCAATTGACTCCAAGTCTGCTGACCCATGGTTTATTAACGAGAAGAAAACCCAAATCATTTTGATATGGCTGCCTGGCAGCAGCCTGTAAGTGGACTTGATTCTTGGTGTGATGTGGTGTGGTGTGGAGACAATAAGGCTGGAGAGAGGAGATATCTGCTATGGATCAACAATCTGAACTCTCTCAAGTGCATAATAATAGTTCACATGACTGCCACACTGCCAGCTAGAACTGGAACAATGAAAATAAAAATATGTCATATCTGACCAAACGGCCCGGGATAGATAAAGAGCTACTGGTGGACTGAACTAAAAGGGGACCAAGCCACAGACCAGCGTCAGTCTTTGGAATCAAAGAAAACATTCAGGCTACAAATTAAAAAAGAAAAAGAAAATTACGACAAAACAACTTTGAAAAGGCAGCGGAATACAAAACATAGAGACCAAGCATTAGTGTTTGTAAACCTCTATTTCCTACAAAAATGGCAATAAAATAAATACGATTTTTTAAAAATATAAATACCATCATTAAGTGCTATTCACTAGTGAGTGCTTTTTAAGTCTTTTTGTAGAAAAATATACATTATTTACATTTGTTTTTTAAAAGCAAGCATGATACTTCCCTGTCCATAATAAAAAGACAGATAACAGACAAGACTTTAAAAGACTTAATACAAATAAAAAACATTTTCCATAGTAATGGTTATCACAACAGGCCAAGAAGAAAACAAGTGGTGTGAAAATTCAATTCTAGGGTGTGATGTTTGGTTCTCTTTGCTGCTGTAATTTGGAACGTGGTTCAAAAATCCAAGCTTATATAATTACCAAAAAACTGATATCAACAACAGCATGCACAAACTTGTAACACGTCTGTCTGTATGTTTCTGTAAAATCCATGGCTGTTTCTAGATCACAGCTCCAAAAATCAATTATAAATATGTCTACTAAAGCACATCAGTAGGGTTTACCAGTCCCTTGGCTGTCAGTCCACCAGAATCTCTAGCTGCCTCGCTCTCTCAGGCCAGAGGCTTAATCCCATCAACAACATGTCTACATAGCTACCAAGCTGTCAGACTAAACATTAGCTCAAGTACAAAGGATGATATCAACCTCAGCTATCATCCTTTACACCAATGACCAAAAATAACCTCTTGTTTTTTTTTTAAAACAAATCTACATTTCTAGCCCCCTTGTTTCTTTTCTCTCTCTTCCTCCCTGTGGCCACTGCTCCCTCTAGTGTTTCCGCCTGTACAGCTCTTATCAGGCTGCTACACACATGCAGCTCCTATTTACAGTGTCGAATATACACACCTACAAGCTTTTAAAAAAGCCCAGTTAGGGGAAGGTTCCAGTAAATCGCAACGGCTCTGAAGGCATCAGGGCACATTCAGACAGGGAGATGCGCATTAATAACAGCTGACACCGAGATAAAAAAAACAAACAAAAAAAAAAAAAACAAGTTCTAACAAGTTTTAATTTTTCTTTCTAGTAAAATTACTGTTCCAAGTCCCTTCAACAAATTGCACTTTGGTGTAAAATGGAACCAAGTTCTTTGATTTTTTTTTTTCTTCTATGTTCAAATCTCAGCATTAGTGGACGATAACGTATTTCTAGAAAATTAAGGAGGATGGGCCAATGTAAAAAGAATATGAAGGGGTAACTTTATCATCCAAATGTAAATAAAAGTTAATATTGTAATGTTGTGAAGGCTCAAACCGTTTCATAACTCACCTCTGAAGGTGAAACTTCCCATTCCAAAATATAAATGAGACAAACGGAGGCACAATATGTTGGAATTTCTACAAATGGCCCCTCCGCCAAAATGGCCCTTCCTGCATATACAGTACGACCCACAACCGCTGTCTCTGCTTTGTTCTGCCAACATCAGCTGCAGAAACACAGTCAGAGCTCGTGCCCTGTTGGCAGCTGTGGTCCTACGTGGACCTGACTCAGGATCGGCATAAAGCCAGTGCCACGGTAAACCCCCAGCAGGGGCGTCCTCAGAACATCGTGGCACTTCTGCTCAAGAGACCTGCAGTCCTCTCTAAATTGTTTTGATATGGAAATCAGTTGAGGAACTTGCGACACTTCTTTGCACCGCAGTTGCAGGGCAGCTTGTTGCTGGCATCCTCTATAGGGAACTTGTAGTCGTAGGTGAGCTCCTCTCCACAGTAGATGCGGCGAGAGGCAAAGATGACGATGTGCTTCAGGCCGTCCACAGTGATGACACGAGAGTAGCAGTTGGGCTCACAGGAGTGGTTGATGAAGCGGGCTGCGTTGCCATGCACTGTGGCATCCACCACCTCATAGTCATCGATGCGAAACATGTAACAGCCAATGCCCTTTGAGAAGAGAGAAGACAGGGGTTGTACTTTTGATGCTCCCAAGATTTTTTTTAGTCAAGTTAATTGAACGACAAATAAATCTTGAACTAAAAGTTCATTCCCAAGATCTTACCTTTCCATCATAATATTTCTCCCGTTTGTCAGTGAGCACAGACCGAATGACATTTCCAGAGTATTCAATGACCATTTCCCCAGCATCGATGGTTTTCTTGCAGAACAGACCTCGGCCATGAATGGGAGACCTGCAGAGTGATACAGTGATTCATAGTACGTAAATGCATGTGTAATTTTTAATCTTTTTGTTTTGACCATTTTATACTTTCAAACAAGACTCTGCTAAAAGAAAAGAAACTGTTATGAAAAACAGAATAGACATAAAAGAGACTCAATCTGGAAAGACTAAACTAAACTAAATCATGGACAAACACAACAGTTGACAGATCTCAACACTATAACAACCAGTTATTTGCTATTGGTCTGAACAGAAGAGTTCATGGGCTAATTTCACACAAAGGAAATATGATCTACTTCTTGTGAAACTATTCATCAGCCTAAATGATTTATAAATGTTTAAACACCACTGATCTAACCTGTAGACTCCGACAGTTTCCTTGGAGGTGGCCTTGAGCTGTTTGAATCTCACAGCGATTGGTAGTTCCATGGAGGCACGCCTGCAACAGCATGAAACAGATATGCTATGGTGATAGTTTTTCTGCAAAGTTATATGAAACCATCTTGATACAGTGATATTTTTGAGCTGTTAACTCTCTCTGTTACATTACGTTACGTTACTCTATTTACTAATTTTGTGTGTGCTGTAACTAACCTGGCAGTCCTGAGTTGCCCTTCCTCTTCATCGTCTTCCTGCGGCCTGTACTCAGGAGGCTGCCGGTGTTTTGAGGCCAAGAAATTGAACATGTCAAATACAGACCTCCTGGATGGTAGACAGGTGGAACAGACAGTGGTCAGAAACACACACAAGGCAGGATTATTGAAGTTTGAAAGAAGGTTCTCATTGAGTGAAGCAGTACACATACAAGTTATTTTCTTATTTCCTGCAATGTGTGCAGCATACACATTATAAACAGTAGTACAGTGTGTTTCTGCTTGAGGTACAGAATATATTTATTCTGTCTGTTTGCTACAATAGACTCTGGAGAAACAACCTGCCTCTCCCTTATAGATGTGTGTACACTGTATTGTGTAGGTTCCTTCCTAACCTGTGGTGGATTTCTGCACGAGCCGAGCCATGGGGGTTGATGGGAGGTTCATCGGTTTCCTCTGGTTTGTGGAAGCGGAAACGGTAGCTCCGACAGTGTCTGGAACCGTACAGCTGCTCCAGCAGGAAGACCACTGCCTCATGGACGACTCCTAGCATCCTCAGTCCATTCACACCTGTGAGTGGCACACCTCCACAATGAATCAACAGAGTCCTCGACTCAGGTATGCAAGTATATTTTTTGTACTTAAAAAGCATTTTTGAAATACCGGGACAAAATCAGAGTGACACCTCACCTTCAAAAGAGAGCTCTTTGAGTCGTGCATTGGAGCGAGCTTCCTGCACCTTATCAGTCAGGGATTTCCAAGCCTCTGTAGTGGGGCAGATGACAGTCAGTATTTTTGCCCAGTGTATGGTTTGGTTATAATATTACATGTGAACTATTGTTCATGCATGTAACATTTTATGTATGTGTCAATAACACTGAATAATTAGTTTCATATTTAATGCAGAAAGATCTGATCCATTTTGTATTTACGGTATTTAGTGTTAAATTTCAGGGTGTAGGTCATCATGGAGGTGAGTTGTTTTCTCTCACCTTCAATACTCTCACAGCGGATGTGGAATCCGTCCTCGCTGCAGATTTCAAAGATGATGCCCTTCTTGGGTTTGCTATCCAATCCTGTATCCCTGCTGTTGCCGTCCTGGTCAGGTGGTGAAGCCACAGGAAGAGAGCCTGCTCCTCCAGCTGCAGGTGGTTTGTCTTTTCCCAATACTTTCCCCGATAGAACAAGACCTTCAGATGTCTTCTTTTTACCAAGCACACTGGAAAATATATGAGGCAAGCATTAGAACTATACTTTATGATTAGTTTGAAAATGCATGTCTAATATTGAGACCTCACACCTCTTGTTGGTTGCCTTATCTAGGGGCTTGCCGGTGTCCATGGGTTCAGGGGAGATCCGCTCTTTGGCACTGTTTGCAAAAAAAGACAGGAAAGGTTCAAAATGGGAATATATTCTGGGTAAAGAACTTCAATGTACAATCGGTAGTTGGTAGTCCTACAAGATGTGACACTAGGCTGTTGATGGTTACTCCTAAAAAACTATTTTAACTACAGTGCAATCAAAATATTTAGTTAACATGACATCTTTCACTTCTCTCTACCTGAACCTCACATCACCAATTGTGGTGTAAAGCAATTAAAAACATAATTTATTATAAAAATAATTAGTTTTTTTTTTGGCAAAGTATCTGATGAATAAAACATACAGAAAAAAATATACTGTATCTTATCACCATGTATATGCAATGGGACTTTGAAGAATCAATTTGAGATTAAGTTATAATGACAGCAGAAGTCATTAAAAAAACTTTAACTTTGTTGGTGATTTTTTAAAATGTTCTAAATGTCGCATTCATTATGCAGAACAACCTTGACAAAGTCACATTTCTTCCCATTCATGTAAATACAAATAAACACACCAATGGTGATACATCTCTGTTTCACCTTAGGTTTGATGGGAGTCGTCCCGCAGCGTTGCTGTGATGCTCCTCTGCCTGAGAGGCCTTGAGCTTTTTCCCGCTGTTCATGTCTGGACTCTGCCTGCTCCTCTTGGCTTTCTGTTTGCCCTTTTCTGCTCCTGAACCTGCGGCTGCTGCTGACACTACTGTGGTGGAGTTAGGAGGCCTTTGTTCTGATGATCTGGAAATAGGAGTTGTTCTGCTGCTCTGGGAGTGTGCAGAAGTTTGCGTTTGCGTGAACACTCCAACAACACGACCATTGGCAGGACTTAGAGAGGTGGCTGGGCCGTGGGCTAAAGTAACAGTGGTGTTATGACAGGAGTCCACAGTGTGGGCTCTGTTAACAGGCTGAGACTGATGCTGTAAGTGGATATTGCTGCCTTCTGTCTCTCCTTGCTGGTTGACAGCCATGCTGATGGTCTGTTGGGAGGGCAGGACACAGATGCTGCTGGCTATAGATGTCTGCACAGGAGAGCTAAGCTGTGACATCAGAGGAGCTCCTCCTGCTGATTGAAGGACCATTGGCTGATCTGACAGGCCCAAGCCATGTGGACTTGCCTTAAACAGGAGGTTGCTAATTGGCCCTGTGATCTCAGTAGAGCTGAGTACAGGGGTGGAGAGGGAGACTGATCCTGGTGCAAGAAGACTAGTAGCACCACTAGGGGGCACAGACACAACATTCAACACTGACTGACTGGGGTTGAGACCAGAGACTGTGCAAGGCAGGAGATGAGTAGAGGAATCGTGACCAAGGATACCAGGCTGAGCAGAACCAGGAATCCTCTGCTGAAGGATAGTAGTGGGATCCAAGTACATAACCCCACCCGACTTTGGTCTCTTGATAATATTTGGGACCTTGCGCTGAGAAGTGGAGAGGGTGCTTAACTCAACCAGGCCACCAGGTTGGCCAGGGATGCTAGCAGTAATCTGAGGAGAAGACAGGTTGATGAGGGTCATGTTAGGAGGTCCCACTTCAGAAGGGGCCAGAGTAGGTTGGCTGCGGGAGCGGGCCAACTTTTTGCTTTTTCTTGGCTGAAGCCTAGAGATAGGCCTCTTCCTGCCGTGAGCAGAGGCCAGTACAGTTGGGGAGGAAGTAAGGGAGGAGGGACTGGAAACTATGGCAACACTGGGACCCAACTCGTGTGGTCGACCAGCCTCTGAGACCAGAATCTGGGACTGGTCATGGGGCTGAGAGGGCAACCCAATGAGAAGGCCTGAGGTGGTGCTGGGGATTCCTGTCTGGAAGCCTGTCTGTGTGGCTCCTGCGAAGGTGTGAATGTGAGAGGGGTGAGGCATGGTGCCCAGGACTTTGCCACCAGCGGGAAAAATTGGCTGGGCTGAGGATAAACCAGTATTCAACCCTGTGGTAAGTGTCATAGAGCTCAGCACTGTAGGAGAGCTAGTGTCCATCACTCCTGTGGCACTAATTTTTTGGGTGACACCATTAGGGACAGTCTGAAGGACATACAGGGGCTGGAACTGCTGATTGACCACAATGAGCTTGTCAGGGCCTGGTTTGATGACTGCTGGGCTGGAAACCTGAGCCTGGGATGGTCCTGGTCCTGGGACTGGGCTAGGGCTGCCTGCAGCTGCAGCTGATGCTGGGAGGTACTTCTGACCCTGAAGAGGCAGGGAAGGAGAACTTGGCAAGCCAGGAGTACCAGAACTCCTTGGAACATCCTGGTTACCTGGAGGGTCAACCACCTGGCCAATAGCAGGGCTGGGAATGAACTGCTCAGGAGTCATGTGACCTTCGGAGACCTGTGTATCCCTGTTTCCCAAAGTTGTAGCATCGTGCTGATTCTCTGATGGTGACACACCTGGCCCTGCTCTTTTCTTGTCCCCACTCTTTTCTCCACTGATGGTCTCCGGGTCAGAGGTCAAGCCGAGCATGGTGCGGTCTGAGGTATCTGAGATGAGACTTCCAGCCGTGTGGTTCTGACTGGAGCTGACAGTCGGGCTGCGTGTAGTCAGGACAGAGAGGTCAGAGGGCAGCTCCAGAGGAAGATATGGCTCCTCAACAGATATGGAACTGTTAACACTGCTCTCCACAACTCCTCCACTCTCAGCACTGGGCAGTGGCTGGGAAAAATCATCAAACAAAATGTCTTTGCGCCGGTTGACATCCACCCCAACATAACCTTCATCCAGCAGCAGCTCAGAGGAGGACGGCTCAGACTGCTGACCCAGAGCCTGCATTGACATGGAAGGAGTGTTCAGAACAAACTCCATGATATCCGATGGCAAAATGTTCCCACAGTCATCACTGTTGTTGTTGTCAGAGTCTGACTTAAGCAGGTCTGTGCTGAGGGACAGCTGGGCCTCAAGAGGATCCTGACCCTGACTCTGTGGCTGGGACTTGACCCCGACTCCTAGAGGAAGACAATTTTCTTTCTGGTTCTTTCTTCCTTCTCTCGTGTTGCTTACTGCTCCTCCACTGCTGTCAGCTTCCTTGCTCGAGTCATGAGAGTCAGGTTTCTCAGTATGCCTTTCTCTGCCCCTTCTCTTAGGAGTGCTCTTATGTGGGGTGGAAGAGGATGTGGCCGTAGTGGTTGTGGTGCTGGTGGTGCAGATGCTGGTATCGCTCTCTGAGCCATCATCAACGCCATCGAGCTGCCCAATGCGCTGCTTGCCTAAGGTCCTGTTAAATACAGCAAAGTTAATATGTCAGATTATTATCGCAGAACATAATCAAACACTTTTAACTAGAATTACCGCTTCCTCCCTCAAGGTGTTACTGAGATATTGCATTCACAAGGCCAAAACCATGTTTTGTGAGGTCACTGTAACCTTGACCTTTAACCTTTGACTATCAAATGTAATCAGTTCATCCTTGAGTCCAAGTAAATATTTGTGCCAAATTTGAAGAAATTCCATCAAGGCGTTACTGAGATATCGCATGAATGGGACAAATGGACAGTTGGTCAGACGGATGGACTGACAACGCGAAAACATAATTCTTCTGGCCCTGGCTATCACCAGCAAGGACGCATAAAAACATCACTTCACGAATGAATTGTTCTGGTTCATTATATCTCACTGTACACAATAAGAATTGGGACATGCCTGTAATTGTGTTTCTAATACACACAAAGCACTTCCTCCCTTTAGTGCAGCTAAACAGTGGCAACAAGCAGGACATGACCCTGCAGCAATCAATCTGTGAATTAATCACAATACAGCTACAAATAAACCAATTAAAATGCGGCTACAAACAAACCAACCAATCAGAAACGGGCCCCAAACCAATTAGAATATGGCTACAAACCAACCGACCAGAATATGGCTACAAATCAAACACTCAGCATTTGGCTACAATTTAACTAACCAATCAGATTACAGCTAGAAATCAACAAATCAGAATATGGGTACAAATCAACCAATCAGAATATAGTATACAGTAACCTGAAAACATAATGCCTCTGGCCCTGGTTGTTGGCAGTGTTGAGGCATAACAGAACAATTGTGTGTACTTACAAAGCACTCAGCATGTCCTCCTCAGCTTTTCCTTGAGCCCTCTGCTGTTGCTGCTCCTCATCTTTTAGAAAGCGCTGAAGCTGGGAGCCTCTTCCAAGACATTGGTCTATCCCTTCTATAGAGGGAAGGCCCTCACCAGGGTTAATTATTGTTCGGGTGAAGTTGTAGTAGTAAGGATCTTTACCCCTCTGTTTCATTCCACTGTCTTCATCCTCTCCACTGTCCCCTGACGAAGAGGAGGTGCTCATATCATCTGCTCCATCCACCTGCCCCTCAGCTGACTTCTTGCGGCTACCAGTCCTCCTCTTTACCACGGCCCCGGCTCCATCCCCACTGCCATAGAAGGCAAGGTCCTCTTCACCATATGAGCGAACGCCATAGAAGGGTGTGAGGCCAAAAAACATGTTGGAGCGCGCCCGGGCACTGCGTCGAGGGTAACGCCGCTTGGCTGACCCTGATCCGTCACTATCATCCTCGTGATGTTTATCATCCATACCCCTGTCATGGTCATCTTCTGGGCCATCACCCTCATCCTCAGGGCCTTGAGTAAGGAGGCTGCGGTGGTCTCGGAGATCACTGCGTGAGTGCTCCTTATGCAGATCATCGTCCTCTGTCTGAGTCTGGGTGTCAGATTCAGAGCTGTCACTGCTGCTGGCAGAGGGCGAGGAGAAGAGAGCAGAGCGGGCAGAGCGACGGGTCCCCTGGCCTGCAGGGGAAACAGTGGAGGTAGTGGTCGTTGGACAGGAGGAAGAAGAAATACCACTGACAGTGCTGGTCCCATTTGGGTCAGTCTTGATATCACTCTTTAGTAGAGTTACAGATGGGGGTTTAACTGATCGCTTTTTCTCTCGAGAGGACAATGACAGCTGGTTAGTTGTTTGTTTGGAGTGCGACTGGGAAGAGCTCTTCACTCCTTTCTCAGGAGCTAAACCAGCCTGCTGCAGCTGCTGTAAGTTGTCCAGACTGGAGATATTCTTCTTCTCAGGACAGGAGTAATTTTCCCTGCTCTTTGAGGATGATCGGTCTCCTCCCTGGTTCTCATGCTTCTCCCCCTGAGCCTTCCCATGGGCTTTGGTGCTGTTTCCAAGCACTGGGACTTTGCTGTTGCTGCTGTTGTGAGAGCTGGGGTTTGTAGCATGTGTGTTGGAGCTGCCAGTGGCTTTAGTATTATTGTTGAGAAGGGGAATTTTGTTGCTGCTGTTGCTGTTTTGGAGAGTCTTCTCTTTTTCACGGTCTTTGGACACTTCTCTGCTGCCTGTTGTCTTAACTTTGGGGTGTTTGTCTTTGGCAGCTGAGGCTGCAGCTGATGAGGCCAGGTGCATAGAGCCTCGCTTGACAACGTCATCTTCCGCTGATGTCCTTGATGGCCACAGAGGCTTCATAGCTGCTGCTGTGGCTGAACCTGATGAGTAATCATTTGACTTCCGTGCATTGGACTTTTGAAATGAAGGTTGTGGGGAGCTGGATTTCCCAACAACAGAGTCCTTATGGTGTGAAGCTGGCATTAAATTTCCAGTGCCACTACTACTCTCCTTCCCTGAGCTGGGCTTGTCCTTAGACTGGATGATGTTAGAGGTGGGGGTGGACCGGTGACGAGGCAACAAACTGAGGCTTGCAGAAAGATCCTGGTCTTTGCCTGTGTGTTTCCCTTGCTTTTCTGTCTGCTTGGTGCTGCCACCTCTCTGCTGACCTGTGAGAACAGCAGTGCCCACAGGAGGGGAGGACTGGCCTGAACTTGCAGGTGCCAGTCTAGGACTCTTACTCTCACCTCCAGCCTGTTTGGACTGACTGCCAGGGTTACTATCTTTCCCTGAGCCAGATTCTTTGTTTCTCTCTGTGCTTCTATAACTGGAATCTCTAGAGGGAGGTCTACCCTTGTCAGAGTCTCTGCTAGAAGGTCTGTCTTTACCTTGTCCTGAGTCTTTTCCCGTTTCCCTGCTATATTGTCTATGCTTCTCAGGGTCCCTAAACCCTGTATCTCTACTGAGTGACTTAGCTTTTTCCATATCCTTATAGCTGGGATCTCTAGAGGATGATTTGCTCTTTTCTGTTTCTCTATTGCTTGACTCCCTGCTTGCCTGCCTTCCCTTGTCAGAGTCTCTGTTTACTTGTCTCCCCTTTTCAGAATCTCTTAAGGGATCTCTACTGAGAGGTCTTCCCCTCTCCGATTCTTTCAGACCTGAGTCTTTACTCAACGGTCTCCTCTTTTCTGGCTCTTTGGCTGGTTGTTCACCCTTGTCAGAGTCTTTTTGCCCAAGCTCTCGGGATGATCTGTTCCTCTCAGAATCCTTAGCAGCTTGGTCTCGACTTGACAGTCTCCCCTTGTCAGGATCTCTCATCCCTTGGTCTCTGGATGGTTGCTGTCTGTTTCTGTCTGTGGAGAACAGCCTACCTCTTTCATCATCTCTCTGGATGGGACTCTTTGCTGAGTCTTTGCTGAGGTGTTTGGACTTTTCTGGATCTCTGGCAGGGGAGGGGATGAGGGGAGGGGGTGAGGTAAGGGGTCGTGACAAAATCTGAGCTTGGGAGGTCAGCACTCTCTGTCTGTTCAGCTGGTGGGGAGGAGGAGAGAGAGAAGGGGAGCTGTGGCGACGCGAGTCAATATTCCGCATGCCGGGGTTCACCAGGGAGTCTCCTACTGTCACAATCTCATGGCTTTGGGGCTGAGAGGTACCTCCTACAAAATAAAAGAAAGTGGAAATTGAGTAATAGGCATTGTTGAAACTTCAATTTAATGCATACATGGAATTACTTTGAAATTAATTTTTACAAGGAATATCAAAATGTTCTGTGATTCTATTCTATACCAAATTATTATTATTTTTTTTTAAAAAGGTTCAAAATGAAAAAACAAATAAAAAAAACAATGCCTATTTATACCTGGAGAGGGCATGGGCCTGGGACCTAGTGAGCGCTGACAAGGGGGGTAGCTGGGATGCCGGTTCCTGGTGTAAACCCTGAGCTTGGGGGTGTTGGTGGGGGAAAGCGTGTCAGAGCGTCTTGGGGATTCAAATGGATCAGGAAAGTCTAAATATGAAAAAAAGAGAGATTGATCCAAAATGTATTTAAGTTTAACATATTGTAGTCTCAAATATAGAACACACTGAAACCTGAACTATATAAATTGTCTGTAGGTTACCTGCTATGGGAGGTGGGCTGTGTGCTATTGTACGGTTCTCCTCAGAAGCAATCATGCTCTTCAGGTCAGACTCTACCACTGGAGGTCGACAAACTAGGATCCTACAGGTGTACACACAGCGCTTTCGAGCATCCAAAGTACTCCAGTACACCCTTGAACATCTGGAGAAATGAGAAGTTATTTAGTTTCACTCAATTACCATGGCAATTTCAATTTTCTCCAGCAGATGTAATTTACTTGTAGAGAAAATAGGAAGAGAAGACTTTCAGATAAATAAGAACAACACTTACTGGTATCCTACAGGGAAGAGTTTGCGTTTGCAGTCTGAGAGTTCAGTCAGTATCCCCAAACAATCAATGGTCATGGAGCCTGCAATGATGATGTTTAAATCAGCAAACAAGAGACATTGGGAGTAAGTCGAGGAAATGGCACAACAGATTTACAAGCAGTCGACCTACCTATCATCATGTGGACATTTTCAGGCTCCAGTCCTGCAAGCCACTTCCTCCTGAGACTAATGCCCTCCAGGTCCACCAGGATCCTGCGGGTCACCTCAAACCCAGACACCACCTGGTGAAAAAACACACAAACATAGGATAGGTGAAGGAAAAATTAAGAATGTCAAGTCACAGTTCCTAGCCTGACATGGTTAATCTACTTAAGAGACCTACACAAGATTTACTGAGTAACTAAGTTTCAAACACTTGAACCTACTTTTAAGGTGGCTGCAATATAGATGTATTAATCAGCTTTTGATTATATAGTAAATAATGACATTTCCTTACTTCTCCCTTTATGAGGTCCCTGTGCTTTGGACAATAGACTTTTTTGTCCTCCAGGAAGACGCAGTGGCACTGACGGGCGCACATGAAGTGGTAGTTACTGGTGCAAGAGGTGAGGCAGCAGCCAACTGTGGCCCCTGGCTTTTGACACTTCTCACAGCGCTGAATAGAAAGCATGACAGGTTGTCACTGTTGGTCCAGTAAATATACACTGAAAATAGTAGTGTGATAGATATCTGTCCCATCTTACCAACTGTTTTCCCCTGAGAACAGCCATATGAACATTTTTCAGTGAGCCATCGTCGTCCTCAAACACCTCAGCAGACCACAGGGCACAGTTTACATGGGTCCACTCGTTCTGACCAATGTACAACAGCCTGCCACCCTCCTGAAACATACAGAAATGTTGCAAGTGACATAGATTCAGCCTTATGTGCATTAAAGTGAGCTCAAGCTGATTTCTGACTCACGTTAGTGTTCTCATCTCCATACTTCAGACACAGAACACATTGCCTGTTATCACTAACACCTGGCGGCGGAGGGAGCTCTGGGCTGTCTTCACGATCTGAAGAGAGAGTTTCTTTTTATAAATTTTGTAAATTTTATAAAGTCTGAATTTATTAAAAAAAAAAAAAAAAGCTATAAATGACAAGATGTGAGAAACAGTGTACATGTAAGTATTTGTACACAGTTTTGTGGTTTGTCTTACCAGGTAGGAGTGGGGGTGGTGGGGGAAGAGAGGGAGGGAGTGAAGGTGGAGAGGCTGGAGAATCTGGTTCACCGGGGGTCTTGGGCCGGGGAGCTGGGATGATCTTTTTCATGAGGTGTGGGTGCTCAGCGCGGGAAAGCTCCAGTCTCTCCTGCCACTGGGCATAGTTGTGATCCAGGGATGGAGGCAGCACAGCATTCGGAAGGAGCCCACTGCTGGAGAGCGATGGCATACAGAGACAAGAACATTAGTCATTAGTCAAGGACCTTAGGACTATTAGTACCGACAGTGATCGGGTCAAACCTGAAGTTGTGATTATTTTACTGCCAAAGCCCTGCTGTAAGCAATAGAACAATCCCAAAGAACTTCAAAATAACCACACAAGTCATTATGTGGATTTGCAACTTCAGTGAAGCCTAAGGACATGAAGAAGACTCCAAGAGCATAATTCAGGGTTGAATGTGTGAGTGTTGGGGATTGTTTTTACATCAAAACAGCACTCATCACTAGTCAAGCCTGAGATTAATCAATGGTATTATGCACCTCCAAGGGTGAAGTTTTCCCCAAATAAACTCTGTCTTAGCTTTTTCCAAGTAAGTTTGCAGTGACATTGCAACAAGTTAAGAACATCATTTTAGATAAAGGAGAGTTCCTTTTCATGGTGAGTGAGGTAAGTTAAATCTTGATACATCCCACCTAAAAAAAGTAGATCTTGCTCTTGGTTAGATCTACTCAGCTTAACTGATGTACAAATAAACAGCATGGACTGTGATGATGCAAATCTATATTCTCATGCCTGAATGAAATGACATTCTTTATTCTGTAGTCTTATTAAACTAAGCATAAAAATAAAATTCCACTGAACCACTGTGGTGTTTAAATTTTCATGACAGACTAGAAGTGATACTGAAAAATCTAATCTAACAAATATCTAAATCTATATAAAACAGGATGCTACGTTATATAGTATAATGCATTCCAAACCTTTCTAAATTGTATGACAGGTGTTATTTATTAAAGAAAATCATGAGATATATTGGAAAGCACTGACAGGGTGTTTAATCCCTCAATACTATCATACAGATTGCGATGAGGATCTCAGATTTTTCTTCCCCAAGAAGATGTAAAAATTTCTCTGAGTAGTAAGTGAACAGTGACACCAGTAACAAATGACCACATGAAAGGAGCTTTGCCAAATTAGGTTTTGCAAATTCAGGCAAGGCTGGGTAACTGGTGTGATATGAAGTCTCATACTTAATAAGCCAGTAGAGGCATCTAAACAGGCATCCATCCAATGATGGCCACAGGATCCACGGGATCCTGGACCGAAAGTACTGATACATAACGCAGTAGACCAAACTGACAGTAAACCACAATTAGACCACAAATATGTATCAAAGAGCCTTCGAGTGAAATGTGACACTGTTACGGTTTGCCTCCCACAATGCCTGGAGGCGAAGCAGAATAAATGGTCGGGGAAAGCTGATAGCTAAATTCAAGTAAGCGAGTGAGTTGATGAGTGAGGGAGTGTGAATGAGTCTGTAAGGTAAAATTCCAATATGCAGGACTGTAAAACCATACTGTTCTTTTACAAAAGGGAAAGATTCAGTGGTTATAATTGTGAAATATTTCATCCAATAATGTCATATGATAAGCCTGTCATCTCTGTAAACAGCATCAAATATTCAATATGATCATTTCATTATTAATCACTGATGTAAAGGCATACGCACTAATCAATATATAATATATATAACTACAGCTCTGGGGAGTTGACTTCATTGATCCTGTACTCTGACCATAGATGCTGACTTTATCTTTTCAGTAGATCGTAAATAATCACATCAATTGATGTTATTTTGAGTGTATGGACCTCCAATCATCTATTACCCACTTACATTCCCCACTCAGCTGCCAAGTGGGTACACTAAATCAGAGAAATTGTGGAATAAATTTCATTACTACAGTTTTAAGTCTTGACTGGGACCTGTAATGCCATTGTCCTGGGTTAAGGTATGTGGAAAGAAAACCACTTCACTCATTTCTTGAGTTGTTTAAAGAGTCTCTTTTGGTTTTTAATGTTATGGCCGAGTTGACATGGCCGTGTTTTAGTTGTGACTCAGAAAACTGAACATCACACAACTTTCCTTAACCACTCAAAAAGATAATGTGACGATCATATGAAATCCTGATCTTGCCACTTGGCTCTTATTTCTTCAGGGTTGTTGGTACAGTCAGCCCTCACATTCTAGAAATATTAGTTCACTGTTTTCTGGTTCCCTCCTATTCACAGATGATGGTATAGCTTCTCCCAGAGAAACCACATCTTACTCCTCATTTCAATAATTACAGACCTACAGTTCTTGAAAACTGCAGTTCTTCTCCCAGGGTTTTTGGACGGGTTCACATTACAGGAGTATTAAAAACAAATTTTCTCCTCTGTAATTACATACATAACTCGCACTACAAGTTTAGAAAATAACAGCACATCACACACTTTACAATACTATTAAGATTGAGAGCACTGCCTGCTAGGAGGCATTATTTCAATACTTTCAGATAAATCATTTTAGTTTGATTTGATTTGATTTCCTTTTATTTTCTTATCTAGTACTGTTACCTGATTTTATAGGTCTACTTGTAAATGTTAAGCAAACTGCTACAGTAAATACATAAATCCACTTAATTTTCAAACATATTTTCTAATAATTACATCATATCTCTGTGAAAGTAATCTAGAACCAACTGGTAAATATAAGAGATGTCTTATGTAACTCTAATGAGTTAGTCAGAACAGTTGGATACTGCACTCTGAACACTGTGTAATTGGTACAACCTCCTGCATTGACTACGGTGCGATAGACACTCACTTGGCAGAGACTTTTTGCCTTTCCCAGAACCTGGACTCTTTCACTTTGAACCACGGGAAGATTCGGTCCATTTGCTGAAACAGAAAACATGCGATGAAGTTTGCATAACAGACCGCATAAGCACTTGCACAGACTAACCACCATCTGGGGCAAGATGGTGGTTAGTCATACTGTAGCTGAACAGAAGGGCCATAGCTTGATGTTGCCATACTTGACTAATACACTTAACCTATACTTGCTGCAGGGGCACCCCAATCAGAGGATGAAGCAAATATATATATCTTTTAATTTTCAAAAACATGAAACGAGTTTGTCAGCATGTATATAAATCTGTGTCAAAAAAGAATATGGTATTATATAAATTCATAAAAACAGATAAACTGCCCCATAATGTGCCCTACTGAGAATGTGGAATTTGTGAGAATCTGTGAACTGCTCTGCAATGTTGTGTTTTCATTGGTGTTGACGGGACTAATATAATCCATATGATCACAAGCTGATTTGAGGTTCTTACCCGAATAAAGAAAGACTTGACCATGCTGTTGGCTTTCCTACTCTCAGGCTGACCACCGTCACTGTTGATGGCTGTCTGAATGATCCGCACTATGTCGTCACTAAAGTCCAGCTGGGAGAGAAATGGTGAACAGACACACATGCAGAGAGTAATTGTTAAAACAGTGAATTGCTGATAAACATTAGTGGAAAAGTAATTAACATAGCTATCTATGATCCTGACCATCAAGAGACCAGGACACATACAATTTTTAAATCTTCAACAAAAAAAATGCTTTAAAGCTGTGACTGTTTTAAATACAAACCGCTTTGCAAGATGGTGTCTGTCCCTAACCCAAACCTCAATATTCCAACCCTGTATCAAATCATTAGGAAAACAGACTTTCTCAAATGTTTAGAAAATGTTGACACATGTTTTGCCTGGATAAATCCTTCCTATGTTCTAGTAAATGTACAGCAAACATACACACATGCCTGCTTTTGACTAAAATGTAGAGACAATAGAAAACACTAGGAGAAGATAACATACTTACCACTGAATTGTAACGGCCTTGAACCATCTTTTTCTCAACAGACTCCAGGTCTGGAGGGGAGTCACTGGGAGGTGTGGGGGTGACTTCTGTCAGGACTGGAGGATCGGGACCCTCCGGGGAACGACGGGATGGAAGACTCTCCTCTGTCTCTGGGTTCAGCTCTGGAGGCTTCACCGCCTGCCCCAAAACCAGGGAGTTACACACTGAGTACAAATACCACCATTATGTTCATTAAGCTGCAGTTGCTGCTGCAGCTGTTTCTAACTGAATATGTCTGTGTAGTCATCAATGTTTATTCGGTATTCATGACTGCAGCGCTATAATACAGTAAGGTACACCACTACTAAAAGAATGACTGAATATCAAATGATGCTATCATTTCAAACTTTAAAAAATAATCATGTTTCAATGAAATTATTTTAATTAACACTGACAAAGCAACATAGCAATTTGTGCTGAAATCACATGAGAGTATATGCATCTAACCTGTCTGTAGCGCAACAGGTGTGTGGATGTGCGTGAGTTGAGCAGTGCAGTGAGGACATGGCGAATGCAGCCCTGAAGCTCCCTCTCCAACGCTGTCCTCCACTCAGCTGGGTGGCGTTCAGTACATTTGGTACAAGTGTAGGCAACACTCTCTGGCAGCTTTGACAGCAGCTCGTACATTTCATCTGGGGGACAGCGAGAGACGGCAGGTCATTATTGCGCCCATTATTAAGTTTATCGTCTTTCAGAATCTCATCAACATGACAGCACTCCCAGGGCGGCCTGTCAGTCAGCTGCACAGACACTGACAGCTGACAAGACAAATTAAGTGCAACAAGTGCTGCAAAATATTAAATACAGAGCTCTACTTCTGAGGAACATACAGTAAATGTGTGTTTTAAAAGGATTTTCTACCTGGCTTTTATGGGGCCTACTAACCTGTCAGATTTTCACACTTGGCATGAACCCAATGGTTGCAACGACCACACTCCATCATCTTGCTGTCGTAGTCATCATCATCGTAGCACTTATCACACAGTGGGCAGAAGTTCCCTGAGAGGGAAGATGGCAACAGGTACTGTCACATTAAACCACTCCAATATGGATTGGGTTCAAATGTCCTTTTAATGTCGCCTCAAAATAAAATTCAGATTTTTAAGAAAACCTTTGAAAGAATACCAGTGGTGTATTTATACTCATCCTTAACAGTGAGCAGCATTTTACTACCTGCTTGTCACTCACCTTTAGCAAAGAGTTTGGCACAGTCATGACACATGGAGAAGTCATGTGACCATTGGGCATCCCAGGACTTCCCAGGTTTAGTGGCTCCACAACTTTTACAGCGCACACACTTGGTGCAAACCTGAAAAGAAAGAACATCTAAGCAAGGTGGTGACTACATGGCACAAACTTGCGAGCAGTTGTTTGAAGAGTAGAGATGGTGTGAAAGTGACACTGTGAGAGGAGTAAAATGTTTTCATAGACACTGCCTGTGAGAGGGTCCCATGAATGTAAATAGCACAATCGTGAGAAGCTGGAAAAATGTGTGAACAAAAGGAGAGGTTAAGAGAAAAATGTGTGAGCATAATGCTAAAGTTTAGTCAGGCAGTTGTGCAACTGTGATTTCTACATGACGGTGAGAGGATAGAGGATTACTGAGGGAAGAGTAGTGTGTGTCCATACCCAGACTCTCTTCTTCTTGGTGGGTCTGGTAGGATGGTTGGGACCCAGGCACTCCGGGTGATAGCTGTTACGGCACTTATCACACTCTAGCAGCTGCTGCTACAGTGACAGAAACCAAAAGTGAGATGTGATTACTTAAGGAGCAACATTTGATTTTTCATGCCCAACAAAAAACACGGTTCTGTTCACAGCAAATTAGTAACAAATATGTCACCTGGTTTTGACCAGTGATGAAATTATTCACCTTAGCCAATTGGTGTTTTTTGGAAATAAATGAACCATCAAGGTAGGTGGAGCATTACAGATTTTTCAAAAGTAGATCAGTGTATTTAAGATTTTATGCAGAAATGTAACAGTGCAGTAGAGTTTACTGAGAGTCATATCCGTAGCGGCCTCCATGGATGGATGAACATCATTATCAAAGGCATTACGATTCAGCTGCAGTGTGTGCTGTATAGAGCAGTGCTTGGTAGGGTTTGTAGACAGCCACTTAAGTGGAAACTGCTGTCAAGTTTTTCCTGTGGCTTTGGGTCAACACAATTAGTCCAAGTAAAGACTTTACGACACACAGTTAGTATGCCTCAGCATCTTTTTCCTATTCCAAATTATGGGCAATTCTGCCATTCATAAATACTAAAAAATAAAATGTAATGCACAAGTTAACAACTCTTTCATGAGGCTTCCAGTCAATATTTGTCTGGTAGGTGCAATATGTAAAAATGTTGTGATCATGCAGCACAGAATATCTGTTGTATGATATATCTGCAGCATTTGACATACCAGTAGCCTCACTGTGAGCTAAGATTTCAGGCTTTTAAGCTACACTCTGTTGTGGAGCCAGAGAGTGCCAGAGACCTGCTGCTGGTAAGTTGGTCAAAGATAAAAGCCAATCAAAGTAATAAATTGCTTAATGCTCTTTGGGTGGAGATTTGTTTCAAAGAACTAGCTGCAATGAATCCTTAGCAGACCACTAAATGACCAATAACCAACAAGTTCATATAACTACACTGACATGTACCCACAGGCCAGAGGCGCTAGATTGTGTTGTGAATAGCAAATATGTTTATACATAATTCTAAAATGACAACCATAAAGCTCACACCATGAGTTAAATAATAAAATCATGGCAGGAATCCAAGAAGCTGATTAAGTGCTGTCTGTTGGCAAGGCTAGCAAGCTTCTTTCTAGAGAAGATTCTTCAGTCTTTACACTCTGTCACTCTAAACTAAGCTTCTTTTGTGAACAGCTTTAAAATGAACAGAACTGAACTGAATAGCTTACTTTAGTTTTCTGGTGCTGGCGCCCACAGACCTGGCAGAACCGGCATCGTCGACAACACCAGTTCTCAAACTGCTCCTGGAGAGGGCGCTCTGACTCCCCCAGGCAAAAGAGATGAAACGGTTCACAGCATACCTGGCAGAAGACAAACTAAACACAGAGAGAAACAGAAACAGAATTATAGAACATAAGTTGATCTATTATGGACAAGGAGTTTAAAAACACTAGATTTCAAGTTTTTAAGACAATGACCATCCTGTTTTTACCTCAACATTTCCACTGCTTGCACATAAAAAGCAGAGCACCCTGGGTGTGACAGGCACAGAGGTGAGCAGGCTGAGGCCACCAGCCTCCCACACCTTCTCCACATCATGGTCCCTTTTGAAATCCACTCTGATACGATGCACTCCGTCGCAGGGCGCTCTGGACTTCACCTGGCCCCTAGTCGAGGGAGTGCTCAGCCAGTTTAAAGTACTACTGCTTGGGGGTTTAGTGGTCAGCGGCTTCACGTGATTATCATACAAGAGGAGAGACAGAGGAAGGGTGAATATTGGGGATTATATGTGGCTGATACAGCGAGCATCCACAGTTTTGATGTGAATTATGTAGAAATAGAAAAAATAAAAAAGCTCAAAGTGACTTCATCTTACCTTGTCTTTTGGTCTCTGTTTGGGAGATGGAGGAACAGTGCGAGAAGTTGTCTTCTTCAACTGTTTTGATTCAACTGAAAAAAAGACAAGACATAACATTCAAATAAGAATGGAGTTCATTACAAACTATATATTTTTATCAAAACTTTAACATAGAGGAAAAAATGAAACCTGTATCTGAAATATTTGTTGAACTCTGCTGTTGGGATGAGTGCTGCTGGGGCTTCTTCTTGGACTCACTCAGAGGAATCTTGGGTGAGGAATCTTTTTTGGGCGGTGCCTGACTCATAAGAGGCCGTTGCTGCTGTTGAGACGCTTGATGGGATTGCGCAGACTGAGAGGGGGAATTCTGGGCTGATGATGACGAGGAGGAAGAGGATGAGGATGAAGAAGACGATGAAGTGGAGGAGGAGGAGGAGGATGAGGAGGATGTTGTAACAGGCTGCTGTGGTTTGTGTCCTTTCTTGCTGGTGACACCGCTCGTGACTGAGAGCTGTTTGGGGTCTGGTGTCAGGGCTGGAGACTGAGCCTGGGCTGTGACTGTGCCAGGGGCCTGAGGGGGTTCGACTGGGGCAGGGGACGATGTGAGGGCTGGAGATGATTGCTTTGATGATGGCTGCTGTCTTGATTTCTCTTCTCCCACCTTTAGAGGAGGAGTTTCACTCTTTTTGCGGGGAGGCTCCTCCTTTGGTGGTGCAGGAGAAGGTTTAGGGCCAGACTCTGAGTTTGGTCCTTTAACCGGATTGAGACCCTCCCTCTTCTCGGACAACTTGTTCTTTTTCTTGTCCTTCTTGCTTTTGCCTTGCTTTTGAAGAAACATCTTGGAGGGCATCCACTGCAAGTTCTGACACTTCCTCATCCTGGAGAAAGCGACACATACAAAGTTCAACACTGAGTTTCTTAAATATTCCATTAAAATCAATTTCTAATAAAATGTTATTTGAGACGTTCTTGAGATTTATAATAATCTGTCATAACACATAGCTCATCAGCTGAGACTTACTTGCAACATTGCTTTTTAATGTTTCGTCCTCCAAACTTGGGCTTGTCGAGACAGTTGGTACAGACACCACAATCTTCCGGAACCTGGCAGCCTGAACATTGGCCACAGCGTCGTGATCGACGCCCCTTCTTCGGAGGAGCTTCTTGAACGGCCTTTTGCCGTGTCTCCCGTGGCTTTATGGGAGGGGATTGAGGCTCTGCCTCCTCGGAGCCTGCTACTGATGACTTGTCTGTAAGAGGAGGTAACATCATAGCTGTCATGATTACTGGCACACTGCAGTACAGCATTGATTTGACTCACAAGGGGTTAAGACATTGAAAATCTTTTAGCCATGGTCAGAAAAAGCACAGCAAAAACGCATACTGTTGCTAAGCACACTTAAGGACACAAAAAACTCAGCTGATTCAGCCAATAATTTAGGAAATGTAAAAAAATTTGACTAAGTAGCTTTTTAAAAGAATGACATCTATTGCATTAAAATGACAGCACTTCAGTGTCTATACAACATATTATTTAACAAGTGCTTCTAGGATGCACTCTTTCCATTGCACAATTAACTGCTCAGAATTTGGCTAAATCTAAACTAAACAAATTAAACCAGGTCTTTTTATGGTATCTCTTAGCTCTGTGAACAATAGTCCGCAGGTCGTGTTTGAATAGAAAGAAACACAGTCATTTCAAATAGATTCTAATAAATCCTCACACATAAAATGCCAGATGTCCAGGAGCTTGTCTTAGACAGATGTGCAGATTAAATGACCAGGCAAACAAATAACTGAGATTATACTGCAAATTCTTGATACGTCACTGACATCAGGTCCTCTAGCCTCACAAAAATCCACATGTTGGAACATGACATGAAACCAGTCAAAATAACAGGAACAGGGCAGCCAAACTCTTGTTCCATCACCACCTCACTGTGGATTTGTCTGTGCTTGTGATTAGTCTGTCATCACCACATGCTGCAGAACTTTTCCAGGACTCACACAGATGTTGTGTTATAAATAAGAAACGCTCAACTCTGACTATTGCGTTAGTCAGTCAGTGTGTTTTACATTGAATTTTGAACCGAATAATAATAAATAAATTATCCACAAGTGAGTCAATGACAGTTTTGTTGAGCGTGCCTCACCGTCATTCCCCATGGAAGATAGGATCTTCTCTCTCTCCTCCCAGGGCAAGGCACTAAGTGTGGGCATATCATCAGGGAACACTGCCCGATTACGGCCAAGAGCCACAGCTGCACGACGACACACATGCTTGATGCGTGGACCCCGGACTGAGGTCTCTGATGAGTCACTCTCTTGACCCTGCTCACAAGCACACATGGTCACACCACACAAAGTGAAACATATATTTGAAAAGCTTCATAGTAATGAAAAATAAACAGACAATCATACACCACCACAAATGTACAATGCAAAAAAGCTGGCATTTTAAGATGTTACCTATGTCCTTAGGATGTAACATTTCATTTGTTGTGAATGTTTCAGTGAACCAAACAAAACTCTTATCTATGAGCAATGTGCAATAATGATGAAGATGGTGATGATGAGGTGGTAGAGGAGGGGGGTTTGGGTTGAGTTCAGCTGGAATGGTTGAAAATGTGCAATGACTGCCTATAACCATCTAATCTTTAGATTAACAGTGGAAGAACAGATGAGTATATTATGTTCAGAGGGTAATACTTTCAAAAGCAAAGTCAGCGCAGCGTTCTGCATAATGTATGAAGCGAACAGAATTCCCCTTAAGTAACATCCTCTGTGGGACTTTCCTATTATCAAGTTTCAGTTTGAGTACAAACACAGATTTTCTATTTATAGCAAATATTACTTGCATCATGTCAAACTCACTTGCTTGTGGCTATATAATGAAAATGAGAAAAACAGAGAAGCTTTTTGTTCAAGAGACACAATAACTATGAAGGCGACACACGAACAGGAAAACTGACCTGGACCTTGGTCTGGTCCGCAGGCTTCAGCTTACTCTTCTTTATCTCAAAGAGCTGGGCTTTGGCCTTTTTCAGTAGTCCCACTACCCGCTTGTCAGTTACTGGCTGTTTCTCTGCTTGTGCCAACATTGATCCAAGAGAAGAGACAGGGAGTTGTTGTCTGCCTGGCTGTCCTTGAAGGCTTGCTGTCTGCTGGCCTGGAGCACTTTGTTTCTCCTTCTCCTTTTCCCCATCCTCCATCTCTGCTCCTTTCTCAGAGGGTCTGCCTTTCTTAGGTAAACGTCCTTTAGCAATGGACATGGGAACAGTGGAATGGAGCCCACGCACCTCTGAGGAGGCAGTGTCAGAAACCATGTCAACCGAGGTTGATTTTTTTCTCCCTGGAGCCTTTTTAGGAGCAAGAGAAAGAGCATCTTCTGAGTCCCTTCCGTCCTTCCTCCCTTCCTTCTTATTCTCCTTCTCTTTCTCTCGGTTTTTCTCTGAATCTCTTTCTTTTTCCTTTGCAGCAGGTTCCTGGGGAGCTGGTAAGCTTTTTTCTTTACCTCCTTTCCCAGCTCCTCGCCCTGTGTCCTGGGCACTGGAAGGAAAGAGAGGGAAAAGTGGGGAAGAAGTGGATGATGTGGTTGACATAGGAGGTGGGTTTACAGCAGCCCCTCTCCTGCTTTCAGGTGTCCCTTGTGAGGCCAGACCCATGGAGAAGGTGCTGAAAGAAGCAGGAGTTAAGGCACTAGTGGCTAGTGGACTTGCAGAGACCCCTGGCAAAGAGCTGGGGTTACTACTGGAGACAGAGCCTGTCAGCACAGACATCTCAGAGGAGCCTTTCCCCACAGATATCTGGCCTCCAATTTGGCTGCTGCGTCTGGTCATTGAGTGGGAAGGAGACCGTGGATGGCCACGTAGTGTTCCAGCGATCAGTCGTTTCCTGCGCCGCGATATTCTGCTGGAGCTAGAGGATGTCTGATGTGGGGAAAGAGAGCCGGGGGCGCTCCCAGAAGATGACTGCAGGGTAACAGACTCAAATATCCGAGAGTGGGCCTCGCTGGGTGTAAAGCGTGGAGCACGAAGCAATGGGCTTCGCTTCTGGAGTGGTGCATCAAAACGGGATGAAGAGGGATGTTGGTGGTGGGTATGTGGATGAAGAGGGGCAAATAGACGAGTTCCTGTTCCTGCTCCACTACCTGGTGCAGGGAATGCCACAGGAGCCGCTCCCCCTGCTCCGCTAACACTTTGGGGCAACAGCCCCACATCTTCAGCTGTGAGGGGGGGGGGACGGAAGTTGTCAAATATGGGCTTACGGATGAGGCCCTCCTTGGCATATTTAGCAGAGGAAAAGTACTGCTGCTGCTCAGGGTGGGACAAAGACGTCCAGCGGAAGGTGGGCTCTCTTAGAATTGAGCGGCTTCGTTTGTCTGACAAGCTAGACAGCACTGACGATCCAGACAGAAATGGAGGGATGGGATGAGGCATCCAGGGTGACTGCGGGTGGTGTTCACTGATAGCAGCTGTATTGGAGGAGGCTGACTGGGGAGGCTGTGGAGGTGTGAGGAGAGGGGGAGGGGGAGGTGAAGAAGAGGAGGAAGCTGTAGATGAAGCTTGCTGGGAATTTACGTGTGTAGACGAGGACATTAGCACTCCTGTTGGTGGGCTGATGATAGGCTTTTTAGGCCCAGTGTTGAGAGTCTCCCTCACCCTCTGGCTCTGACTTCCCCGGCCGACCCCCTGTCCTCTCCGGCCGCGTCGACTCCTCTCTGCCAAGACATGCTCAGGCTCTGGCTCAGAAGGAGGGGAAGGAGGCCGTGAGCTGTGCAACAGGTTGCCCTCCCTCTCTCCTTGCGAGGACGGAGAGTGATCCTCTGGCTCTGACAAAGCCTGTGTGGCCTCAGAAGCCTGGGAGTCACATGATGAGTCATCCAAGCTTGGGCTGCTCGACCTGGAAGACTCTGCAGAGGAGGAATGCTGCGACACAGCACTTGAGCCGCAAGAGGCTGCGCTACTGCTAAATCGCCCGTTGGTGGCATTGTTGGTGTTGCTGTTGAGCAGACTGGCAGCTGTTGATGGAACAGTTGGGATAGGGGCAGGAGGTGGAGGTGGGGGGAGGGAGTCAATTGGAGCAGTGGTACCAGTGCTAGTAACTGCAGCAGTAGAGGAAACCAGCACAGGAGAGGGGGAAGAGGTGGTAGAGGTGAGTTGGGCAGATGTAGAGACAGATGAGGGGGTTGTTTCTAACCGTGGCATCTTCATATGGGGTGGCGGGGGTCCAAAGCTTCCCTCATCTTCAATGAATCGCTTGGGGGTTTTGATGATGCGAAGGGAGACAGTGCTGACCACAGGCATGATGAATTGCCTGATGTTCTTCAGTTGGGTCTTCCTGATGCCAGCTTCAATGGTTCCTGCCCCACTACTCCCTATGGCTACAGCTTCTTTCTCCATTCGCTTCTGCGCTCCTTTCTTAGCACGCTGCAGCAGCTGTTTAGCGATGGTTGCATCGGTGCGTTTCGAAGGGGGGACAATTCTAACAGGCTTTCTATGGCGAGGGCTTTTTCTGAGGCCCACTGTCCTGCCTGGCTTGGAGGGAGATGGGGAGGCAGGTGGATTGGAAGAGTCCTGGTCCTCAGCTCCATCCACATTCCTCAGCATGGACTGCTGGGGAATGTGTGGTTCTGTGCCTCGGTCCCCCCCTCTGCTCCTAAAGGCCTTGTGTTTCCCTTCCCCACATTCAATGGAGGTAGACAGCTGTGCAGCAGCAGCTGCTGCCTCAGCTTTAAGCCGCTCAGCTGAGGGCGGTCGCCCACGTCTGCGTCGGGGTACACCAGGCAAAGTCTTGAGCCGTGACTTGAGAGGGGTGAGTTTAGTCTCTCTCAGCCTCTTCAGGTTGGCAACTTTGGATTCACCCCGCCCACCTTTGGGAAGCTTAGCCTCACTCTCATGAGGCTGAGCAGAGCCCAGTGGCGTCCTCTTGGCGCCCTTTCTATCCTTATCCTCTTCTGTGTCTATGCCCAACTCAGACCCAACCTGCCTACTGTCATCTCCTGCTGCATGGCTGCCTGTACTCCAAGCTTTCTTGCTACTTGAAGATGGGGGTCGACCTCTTCTCTTTTCCCCGGTGCCAGGTGGCCTCCCAGGCAGCCTTTTCACCTTCTCAGCTGGCCTTTCTGGGCCCTCAGGTTTCGCCTGTGTGGGGGAGGGAATTGTGGAGGGGGAAGGTAGACTTGCAGCAGCTTTCTGGGCAGTAAGGGCCCGTGGGGGTCGGCCTCTGGGCTTCTTCTCCTGTATGGGTGGGCCCACTGAAAACCAGCGAACAAAACAGATGACATTTAGTTACCATGGTATAGTATCAGATACGGATAACCTGTATAGGCATAGGAGTCTCGAGACAACTGTAAGGGCCCTGCCAGGCCAGTAGTGAGTTACTTTACCTGAAGAGGTTGTTGAAGGGCTCTGTACTCTTTTCTGCTCAACAACTGTTCCAAATCCTCCAAATGCTTCTTCCTACAAAAAACAAAAAAAAAAACAAATAAATCTTTTGTGACCGTACAATTTATGTAATGCTAAAATACAGCAAAGAAGCAATGGTTGGTAAACAGGTCAAATTTACAGCATCCATCATGCTACATAATTGTCAGCTGGCCTAGATGCGCAACACTTGAGTCAGTGTTGAAGTTTGACTCAGATGAAGACCAGGGCTTCAAGGCTATAATGCTCAATCTCACTTTCGCCTGCTGGCTTGCTGTGGTCCTCTCATGTTTCTCGGACTTTTGGGAGGACATGCCTGCAGTTGGAGAAGGCTCAAACCACAACAGACAGTTTGCATTGCAAACATCCAAATCCTACAGGGTAACTAACACATTGCACTAAGTTCCTGCTCCCTGAAGCAACTTTAAAATTCTAAGGTGGTTTGTCATACATATACAGCTGGAGAGACAGCCAGGACAAAGACACACTAAAAAAAAAAAGAGGCTATTGCCATTCAAGCAGCCCTGTGAGGCTGTAATGTACATTACACAGCTTCCATTCTTTACACATGAGAGTCGGGTAGTGTGACTTGATAGGTGCACCAGAGAAAAGCGCATGTTGTTACCTAAATGTAAAGGATTTATCCTCTGCACGGTGACTATTGCAGAACATCTCAGATGGAGCTTATCAGACACGGCTCTACATTAAAAGGCATCAAAGACATTTCATCTAATTCATTCATCAAATAGTGGGCAAGGTATTAACAAAAGACATTTTCGACTGGATATGCTAGACCAATAATTAAAGTATTGAATTTTTCCACATCTCACCATGTACCTTCATGTTGAGTCCTATTCTTCCATTGAAATACATGGAGTTCAAGGTTTTCCTCCTGAATATGTCTCTATGTAAATGGCCACTTAGGTGTTATTACCTTAGAGCAAGTATGATAACACATATTGAAGGGATGCCAACAAAGACTCCTTACCTATTTGCAAGACACTGGGTCTAAAGATGTATTGAAAAGCCTCTGAAAACATAATCTGATAGATCAAACAGACTATAATGGATGAAGTGCTGTGTTCTTGTCCAACAAAAACATATTATATTCCAGGAACAAATGCAAGCAAATTTATTGCAAGTTGAATTTGATATTTCACTTCCTGAATCACTTAGTTAAATGTGTTTTAATCTTCTCCATGACTTAATTTTGATGGTGGTGGTTTCAGAAAGGCAAATGTAATACACTGTAAGAACAGACATTAATCTTTCCTCTCATGCCTCAGTAGAGCCTTGAGATGTGCAACGGCAAAATCATCAGAGGATGATTAACATCTTCAGGATCCTGTGTGTGCCACTACTTCTTGCAATCAGTGTGTGTGGTTAAGAGTGGAGGTGAGTATGTCATTTCATCATGTTTATTTATAGCAGCGTGCAGGGATGCAGTTGAGGTCTTGTTGGCCCAGTTTGTAGAGCAGCTGCTATCCAAGTGTAGTCCAAGTGTGTGCACACGACTACATGCAAACTGATTTGCACCAGCCAAGAGTTACACACATCACAATGTGAATAACTGATAACTAAATGTGTCTGAAACACACCCACTGTGAAATCTAATTAAAAGATTTCAAAACCAGGAACGTATACTACAAAACTCTCTTTCATCTGTTCCGCATATAAACAAACAACAATAACAGACAGTCAATACTGCTGTTTATCCTGGCAGGCAATACTAATGTGGGCATCCTTCACTCCTCATAGAGTATTTGAGCATCTTTTTCTGTGTACGCGTCTCTCTCCATTTTCAGTCTGTCTCCTCACAGTAAAACCAGCATCCTCTCCTCTCTGTGCAAGCTGCTGCTCTAGGTTGGTGTTGTTGCAGAGCTGAGGGGGGCGGAGTACCAACGGACGGCTCTGACTCGCTGTGATAGTGCAAGTAGCAGTCAATGACATCACAGCACGCTTTTGTAGAGGCAAGTGCATAGAGGTTCATGATGCACATGCACACTCGTTCATGTGCACACGTACCTCCTGATTTTGAAAGCCACACAAACACCTCACACATGGACACATTTATAGAGAGAGAAAAAAAACACACCCCCTGCGCGTGAACTGCACAGCAAGATGTAAACAAGCAGAACACAGAAGTGAGGTTGCGGGGGAGGGGAGCACGGGCAAGGCAAGAAAGCACACCAGAGTGAAGAAAGGAGGAGGGCTGTGGGAGGAGGGAGAGGAGGAGAGAAAAAAGAGACAAGGAAGCAGCATCTTGACCACATGCACCATCAACAACAGAGGGAGCGCAGCCGTCTCCTGGGAGCAGAGGATGAAAGAGGTTTGGGGTTTCAACATGCTCATGCAGAAGCTTGCCAAATCCCAATCTAAACAGGCCTCCCACACACGACAAGGCACCCCTTTCCTCCCCCTTATTCCTGCTCTCTGCCATGCTCCCAAACACATATTCAGTCACTCACTCACTGCTCGCTCACTCGCTTCCCGCCCACTGGCTGCCGAGCACCGAGCAGCAGCGTGTGAAACACAAGGCTCACCATGAGCGCAATAGTAGGGCAGGCACAGGGAGGTAACTTCAAGAAGTAAACAAACACTGTAGTAGACTAGCGAGGTGAGGTTCATGTATTGCCTTGCCTTGCAACATGCAAGGGATGAAAAGGTTACTAAAAAGAGTTTCCTTTTTCTCTTTCCATTTTATCTCCTCAGCTGAAGAGTGCACAAGAACGTTTTTGAACATAACTGTTCAAGTTTTTCATCTTTGCTGGCTTCTTCTATCGCTGTCACCATGAAATCCTGAGCAGTTTGACTTCCTGCTGGTCTGTCACATCTCATGTAAATGATCAACACACAAATGACTTGTTATGAAATCACTGGATAGAGAAAAGAAAACTGATATGTATCATTGCGGAAGCAACATTATTATTTTCAGGAGGGGCAGGGGACAGTCCCTGACAGTTATGAGACGGATGTTAATTTGGTTTGAGTTATACTTCTCAGACTGAGAAAGCTAATGGGACTTTTACTGTCTTTCAAGACAGCATTTAGGAGAAATTACAATGATTCCAGACAATGGGTTTAGATGTAGATTAGGGACCAGTTTCCTGGGCATAGTATAAAGCAGGCTTTAATCTAGAAAAGTATTTCCTTGACTATGAAATCCTAGACTACGTCAAACATAGATTGATGTTAGCTACCTAGGTTAGTCCTCATTACTTAGAGTTGTGCACACAGCTTTAGCATGCAGGTGCTCATAAAAGTTGTATTGCATCACAAGAAGCCCATAACATTTCAAAATTCTTATTGTGGTCAGTCGACCGTTCCCCTATAAATTATCTTTACTTGATATGCTATTTGAAATAGCTATTTATATTCACATTAATAGCACTGCAAAAAGTTAGGGTGTGTATGTTGGGAGGGGTGTACAAAGGCTCAAAGTAGAAGCTAGTTCTAACAGTTGTAAAACATTCTTTTCCCTAACCTATAAGAAGTGATTTTAGACATATGAAGACATAGGTACTCAGGTTCTAATACATTATATTATGTTTTTTCAAAATGGTCCAACTTTTGCATACTTCTGCATTACCACTACAGCTGACACTGACACTGAAAGGTATTACTTTTCACTCTACATGTTAAACTGAAGTTGTAACCATATAACCAAACGCATGTTGCAAGTGGTAATATAATACAGTTGATCCCTTTGACACTTACCACTTCATATAAAACGATGTTTATGTGTTGATTTGACAACCATTTTCATGATTCAGTGTTAAAATAAACATTCATACTCCCTAAGTTTATGCTGGGAGAAAGCAAAGAACACAGTTGACAGAAATGCAGTTGAATTTTGCATTTAACTAGGGAAGACAGTGGATAACAAAGTACAGTATATATATTTTTTTATGACCATTTAGTTTTTCTTAAGACAGATACAAAGGACATTACCACAAAAGTGGTAACGTGCCAAGCTTGATTGAAACCCCAGATACTGCTGGTATGTGGCAAGATCCTCATCTCAGCTACCTAATTGTCTCACACCTTTACACATTACTCTCCTACATACTTAGATGAGTGAAACATTAAAACTAGAGACCATCAGGGATCACACAAGCCCTGATGTATTTCAATGCCCATCAACATGTTGATGTTCTGAACCATGAGTACTCAGTGGTCATTACTACATGAGTACTCAGTAGTCATTAAAAGTACTCAGTGCTCATGAATTTGGCGTTCATTTTGATCTCATCTACACACCTGTAAAGATTTGTGACTGCATGTTGCATGGTTGTGATGCTATCTCTGACAGAAATCTATCCACAGTCAGACAGACTAGTAAACACCTGCAGAAGTACTCAAAACCGCCTCTGTGGTAGTTCCCACTATAGTAGTTGTCTCCAGGACCACATTGTGCCATGATCTCTCTCTCTCTCACACACACACACACACACACACACACACACACACACGGCTGGTAATAAGCTTAAATCTCTCATCAACATTAAAAGCACACCTGCTTACAAATACAAGTATTAGAGCCATAGTGACCAGGCAATCATTGTTTGACACCCAAGTAACACAAGTTTAAAGTCAGAAGTTATCCACTTTAAAATAGGAAAACAGCAGAATGAGTAACGAGAAGGAGGAGGATAAGAATTTGGTTCAGACTGAGGGGAAGGATGTCAAATAGATGTTTAATTTTACAGGTTAAGACTCTCAGTCACTTTGATGCTCTTAAGAAGTCATCTCTCCCTACTATTCTGAGAAAAAAAAAAAAAAAAAAAACATTTTCTTGACACATTCCAGGAAGCTCTTGGATTTACTGTACAGTCACTATGCCTCATCCCTTCCTGGAATGTAAATTGGTGATGAGTTTATACTCCTATATGCCCTTCTGATGACACATCTCTTCCACAAGGCCACAGAGGAATTCAAATAATTGTGCCGACAGATATTATTAATTATACAAAGTAGCAAATATGAATAATATCAGAGGACATTTAAGTTTAAGATATACTCTTAGTCACTGCTTACAGCATTTCCTCCACCAAAGTGAATTGCACTGTGGTGGTACTGTTTTGTGACCCCTGTCAGCCCCAAGCAAAAGGTGGACATTTGTTTTTTCAAGTGTCCAAACACTAAGTGCAACTGTTTCACATTTGCTCGACAACAACTCAGACCAAAACAAACACTTTCCAGGACAAGATGCCTCCTCTTCCTACACCTCACACGTAGGAGATGAAGACAGCCAATGGACAAAGACAAACAGACTGATTGGCACGTGTGCATGGTGTCTCTCTTGCTCTAACAAACACACACACACACACACACACACACACACACACACACACACACACACACATTAACACTCAAACAGGCTGGCAGGCACCGACAGACACGCACCCCCTCCTACCCACCAAAGCAGGCAGCGTGAATTGAAGTTCTAATCAAAATAAAGACAAAGAAGACACGCCTACTCCTGAGTGCAATAAGGGACATAAAGTATGAGGGACACCCCTACCCCTACCACCACACACACAAAGAGTAAGAAAGACGACACAATTGCCGCCTTTCTCCCAGTCAGGCAACTCCTAAAGCAGAGGTGAAAGCTCCTTGCCCGCCTGCTGTAGCAGAATAAAGCCATGGATGGGAGGGTCTGTGACTAATTCTCCTCCCAGCGTTGTCCCGTTGAGAGGAGGGGGGTCGCCCCACACTCTTTGATATCCCTGCCTGCGCTCTTTCAGCCGCGCGCACTTTGTGAGAGCTAGAATAAAAGCAGACACAAAGCTTCCTGCTCCAATCCACACGCTGTCTCGGGGATGGGTAAGCGGGTGGGGGGTGGTGGAGGGTGTGGGGGGGGGGGTTATCTTCCATTTAAATAGGCCAAACACCTGCTGGACTGCAAACCCTTCCGCTCAAACACACCATTTCTCTCAAACCACTGAGGCAAAGGGACATTTGGGTTGATACATCTATTCAGCTGCACTTTTGTATGAATGATTAAACATTGGTAATAATATGTGAGTGGAATAGATGCAGCAGAAGGCAAGATATAATGGACCAAGAACAAAAGCGAAAATGATGCACGCTTAGGTAGACAGTGGGGTTGAGGTTGAGGGGGTGAGGGTGATAAGGTCATACAATTACAAAAAAAGTCAACATTGACTGCACTCAGCACCAAAACAAGAAACCACAATTTGGCTGGATCAAGAAAATGAATTCCCTACACACAAAAAGCTAACAAATGCCTTCATTTGGACAGCAACAGCCAACAAGCACCCTTTTGAGCCACCCCAATAGGCTTAATAATCCATTCCAAAGTGGCAGCTGTCAGAAGAAAAGTTGCTCTGCCTCTCAGACGGGGTTGTGTGTGTCTGAAGTGGATTTGGGTTTTTTCTGCCTGGATGGAGGAAGGAGGGGTGGCCAAGTGTCCGGCTGGCACTCTGTTCAGGGTCGCCCTGTGAGCTCAGCAGGCTGCAGTGAGCCTGAACAATCCTGCCCAGGTCTGGCCAGACAGACACTATACTGTTGCTCATTGAAATCACCATGCTGTGTCTGCATCTTCCATAGGTTTCAGATTCCATGGGGATTTAATGGTCCAGCCTGTCTCCACACATCCCAAATACTGCTATACTCTCATTCACTGGTGTAAGGAAAGAAGGGGCTCCTTATTACTTCTAACACCATTGGCTTATAAGGATGACGTTACACATAAAATAAATGTTTCTCCAGAATATCATAAAGCTGTGATGTAAAGCACAAATGTCACAATCACTATGCTGTGTCTGCAATTTTTATACAATTTAAGTTGCACTAGGATTTTATGGTCCAGTCTGCCTCTACACATCCCACTATTATACTCTCAGCATTGTCAGTCTATCAGAGTAGGGGTGGGGGAACTCAAAAAGCTTAAAAAGCCATTTGAACATGAAAATTATATTTGAAGTCACATTGGCATTGGTTTAAAGTGCAAAAATCAATTAAATCATCATGCTTTGAACACATCTTCCATATAATTTAATTTCCACAGGTATTTCATGGTCCAGTCTGTCTCTACAAATCCAAACACTGCTACACCCTCAATTATTGTCAGACTTTAGGACTAAGGGGTCAGAGGGACTCCAAGTTCTTTTAGAAACAATTTGCTCACAAAGATGTTATTTCAAATAAAATTCACATATCTTCAGGATATCATGTAAATCAGTTATTTTTCCAATATTCTACAAATTCTGACTGCTATACTATAATAATAGTTTTTACAATCTCCCAAACATCATCAATATTGTGTGTAAAAATCCAAGCATATTACGAGTTCGTCAAAAAAAACCATAGCTAAAAGCCTAAATAGTATGTATGCAAATGCCGCTGTGCTTCAACCAAATAAGACTAGAAGCACTGGAGCAAGTGGTAAACATCCCCACACAGTGTACTCCCACTGCAATGAACGCATGCTGCTCATCATGAAGAAGGAAGATGGTAGTTCGCTAAGGCGAACACACCCCCACATCACACGGTCCGTCAAGAAGGGGCTCGTTGTTATTGTAGCCAGCCCTGCATGCGCACTGTCACTAGCAAGTCTCATTTCCCTGATAAAACCAAACGAATTTAGACAACAAACCCCATCGATATACTCTTATTAGCACTTCAAAACTGAAGAGAGAGATTTTGAACGTGTAGTTCTGCCCTAGACTTCATCTCCGAGCATTATAAACCCGATATTATTTTGGTACTAGCTACGTAGTGGCTGTGTAGAGAAGGGGAAAACATGTCCACCTCCCATTTTCCTATGCATCAGCAATAGCCCCAGTGGCTAGCGTGGCGTAGTGCGTAGCATGGTAGCTGCCCTAGCTTAACACTAAAACAGCAATTGAAATTATTTAGTTTTGTGTATGAGCTCCGCCAACTTTAGCTACAATGCTTTAACCCGCTGGCTGGCACTATGCTGGCCGGAGGTAAACATAACAACCTCCCGAGTAAACCTGCAACTTTAACACCTCTTACGACGGGAGAGATAATGGTGTAGTTTTAGCTGTGAGGTGTAGACAGCTAGCCTGCGAGCTAACCAATCAGCTATGTTAGCCGAGCCTGGCTAGAAGGTTGACACCTCACTGCAAACAGTCAGCCCCTGAGCTCATGTTGTAAATAGTAAGTTATTTAGCTTGCAAAGATCATCTAATAGAGTTCTGGAAGCAAGTGACGTGAATAATGAACAGCCCTTTTCTCAGAGACGATGCAGACGGACGCTAAGTTCACGTTAGCTAGTTACATACCACAATTGTGTACTCTCGGCTCCTTCAAGTTGACATGTCTTGTTTTCAAACACATTACACGCTATCTTGAATGTCCCGGGTTATTACACTGCGAGGACACATCGTTATGATACACGTAGATGGTTACATACTATTTTACTGTACAATAATCATATTAACGCTAATACGGGACGATAACTTTTGCTGTGCGTTGATGTAACGTAAATTTGAAGGCTTCATATCAAGCTAATGTCAAGTAGCTAACTAGTAAACCAGTTGTAACGGCTTAGATACACAGGCTACGGTTAGTCACTAAATATGCCATTGTATGTGCTGTGTGTTATCTGTGCGGTGTGTTATAATTACCAAGACAACGCCAGGATTTCTCTAGTGTTTTGGTCGGGCTAGCAGACTAACGTTAGCACCAGTTCATCCAAACTGTGTGGATGTAGCCCGTCCTCACACTCCACTGAGGAGCAAACTTTCTGTCCAGTAGAACTATTGAGACCATAAATCTGATAACCATCAGGCGTTTGTGTTGTTTCTAACTAAAGTTAGCGTTATAACGCGTCACTGTGGACTTTAAGGCCACACAACCAACTCAAAGTTAACTGAGCATCCTGGCAATGACAAGTTTGCTCACAGCCCCACTGAGCGTTAGGGAGAGGAAAAGATGGTCAACGGTTGGGCAGAGAGTAACCGTTAGCTCTTAATTTGGAACGTGAGAAACGGCTCTCTGAGAGAACCGAGCCCTGCAGCGGTCCAGACGATGCTCCCGGGCTACCGTCAGACTGCTCCTGTCCTGTCCTGTGCTTACCTCCCCGCTGCTCGAGTCGCTCGATTCCCCCAAAACATCCCGAAATTTCTGCAGGTTGCTCCCGATAACCGAGGAGACCTGTAGTGCAGCATCAAACCCGGGTCCGAGCCCAGCTGCGTTGGGGTGGGCTCCCGAGACACTCCGCAGAGAGGCAGTAACCCTGATTCGGCCCGCTCTCCTCCCGGTACCGGAGTTGCTGCTCCCTCCGGGCCGAGCGGGGAACCGCCACCGACAGCTGTGCGCCATTTTACACTCTGCCTGTCTGCCCTGCGATCAGAGATACCTCGGTGGGCGGAACCCTAACCCAGCACTCCACATAAACAACCTCTACCACAGCGCTCCGCTCTCACTGGCCGACACATCGTTATGCATGTTGCGGGGCGGAACTGAAGAAACCCCGACAATGCATTTTCTCAGCGGCCCTATTCAGGCTCTGCATGGCTGAATCTAAATCAGGTTCAGGGGCTTTGCCCGGGAAATGAGCTTCGCACTTGAATCACAAGAAAGGATAAGACCGTTAGCTCGCAGTGCAATTTCTTAAACAAGAAAAGTGAGACGCTTTTTATAAACTGCAACCAAACTTCAAGATAACTCAAGACAGAGTACAACTGAAAAAAGCAAGGCAGTATATTGTAATAGTTAACTTTCCGTATTCATGTAGGCAGAGGCGCAGCAATGAATTGTGCTACCTATATTGCTGTATTGCCCCACTCCCAGCAGCACAACCTATACCAATTCCTTTTACAAGAAAAAATGTCTTTTAAAAAGCTACACGGATGTGAATTTTTCAGCTCTATGTTTTTTCTTTTTTAAAGACAATTTCTCATATCAACTGAGAAAGGTCTAGGCTGGGGCTTGGCCACCAGGTATTTCTCTGCAGGTTCTTCAGGTAAGGCAGGTAAAATCCTTATCAAAGCCACAAATCTACAGAGACCTTGGGATCACTTTCATTATGGTATCTTACTCTGGGTGTGTGGATCCATAGCCAGTATACTGATTTAATAAAATACTCTTGTTCTGAGAATCAATAGGATAGATGCAAAAAAAAAAAGTATTTCAATTTTAACTTCAAGTCAAAGTAGAGAAACTGGAAAAAAAATGGCAACTTGTCACACTCCTGCAAGAGTGATATTAGACTACATTCTGTTGTGTGCATTCATACTCCCCTCTCTTTGTCCAGGAAAGGTAATAGGAGCATCATTTGGAGTTATTTAACATGTATGTGATTAAGTAATTAAGACAAAATTATAAAAAGAAATACTTAATGTTTGGAAAATCAGTTAACTGTAATGAAAATCTATTTAGAAACAATTAAAATCAACAAATTAGTTTTAAATTAGATCATACTTAGGTCAAATTGTATATATATATATATGGCTACTTTTAGTCTCTATCCAAATAACGAAATACACAATCCAAAAAAGCGTAGTTCCTGTAGTTCACAGCTCTGAGAGGGGACAAAAAACTGGCCTGGGGATGCCTGCCTGACTCTCCAGGGGTGTATTGATTGCACATGTTTTAAGAGTTTGACATTGATGTATTGACTGATGTTGTTGGTAGCTGGATATCATATTGTGAAAATGTTGTTATTCTGGACAGTCATTAAGGTTTATCCTTACGGCAATATGTCTATCAAAGTAACTGGCACTGTAAAAAAAAAAAAAAAAAAAAAAGATCATTTAGAGAGGGGAACATCTTGGAGCTGCACAATCTGCAAAAAGGAATTCAGTTTTATGTGAGATTTGGTGTACATGATTTTAGTGACAAACACTGTGAGCTCAGAAATGGTCTCTTGTCACTCGCCCTCTTTAATCCCTTCTTTGATCAGCGCAGTGTGATCAAGTGTTTTTAAAGTTGTAGACCTAGGAAAAACCCAGACCCAGATTATTATTTGAGCAGATCAATTAGGCCGTATTTTCAATTACATCTTTCAACTGTCACTCACTCAGCAGAGGGTGCCATCTCTATGGAAGCGGCCCATTGTGATGCCCGTTGCCAAAGGTAACCAACCCAAAGCCCTTAATTACTTCAGGCCTGTTGCCTAAACCTCCTTGGTTATGAAGTTATAACCAAGGAGTTACGTTGGATACTAATTTATCTTAAACTGTTGTATGTTTTTGTGGTATTTTGTATGTTTTAATGTTTTGCTGTGTGTTTTTAATGCATACTGTATGTTTTTATGCTTGCTGCAGCAAAAACTGCATACTTGGGACAATAATAAACTTGACTTGATGTGACATTAGCAAATATACGTTACTGGTAAATAATCTACATTTAATCTACTTCTAAATTGATCTATTCTCCTCTTTTTCTGCTCGTTGTCCCTTTCATGACTGAACAGAAACACTGATTTTAGAAGTATATTGCAATGGACTGTAATCTGTCATATTTATGAAAGAGAACATAACAATGTCTTATATAACACACAGTTTTATTTCTTAATCATACTGTACATCCAAAGTAAACATTTTATAATCCCGATTAAAACTAAATATTGCATTATAATTTAACCCATATAATCCTTCAGGTGGTAGATATTCAACAGAACAGGATGAGGGCATGCCAACAAATACATCTTCATGTATGTCTTTCACATTTTCAAATTTTATACCACACAATTTTGAATTAAAACCCTTTAATTCAAAAAGCTACTCAAAAACAAGTTATCTTTTTCTGATTTTCTTTCTTTCATTTTCTACCAACATTTCCCCATATGTCCTAAAAAGCAAACTCATAATTATGTCTCTTGTGAGTATGAAACAAGTCAGATCCTCATTTGCTGTCATTTACTGCAAGGCTGTTGGTTTTAGGCACCAATTCTATTGATCAACTGTTTGCCCACATGTTAATACACTATGCTTTCACACAATAAAAACTCTGTTCAACATCAATTATAATCTGGTGAGTGGTAATTCAAAGTATGACAATGACTCTTATATGCACTGCCAGTCAAAATGATTGAACCCTATATTTCTGGCTTTTTTGGCTCCAGTTTTAAGAAATATGGCCACTGTTACAACATTAAAATTAAATCACATGAACAGATAATACAAATGAAATGAGAAAATATTATGATTTTTTTTTATCTTAAATCGGAAATAGCAACGAGATTTGAGTTTGAAACATCCACCTGAGAACCCATTCAGCTCAGTCAAAGATGTACTGGACAAATCGACAAACATTTAGAAAGCCGACTAGCAGACAGTTTTATTGAATCTTGTAGTTGTGGATATAAAATAAATCATGATTCTGCAGCTGTGTGGCTTATTTTTTACCCTAGATTTATTCAGTCTGATTTTGGTGGATAGTTCAGGAGAAATTCAGTGACATTTCCATACCCAACACTTCACCCCATTCACATCATTTACACATCATCACATCAATATACCAGGTTCTAATGTTCACAGTGAGCCAACTATTATACAAAAGAAATTAATGTTTTGTATTTTTAGCATTTTGCAGTAATTTGAAGTGATAATAAGGCATCAGACGAAACAAAGCTGCTATGAGAAAATTCTGACTTTGTCAAACTACAGCCAATTTCAGATTTAAAATCAATTTGTTACAAATTATAAGGAAAAAGGTTTTTACAAGGATGTAACACTGCCAAACACAAGTCTCCATCAATGCGACGCCAAACAATAGAGCAATTTTAGTGTGCATTCTGGCATTTTTTGGCAGAATTCATTTTATGTTTCTTGCATATGCATGTATATGTACTACATCCTAAAATATAGATCAAATTAGACTAATTATTGTACAGTAAATAAAAAAGTTATTTATTAATTAGCAAGCTGTCAGATCCTAATGAGGACGTTAATTAGTGCTTAATTAAATACAGGTGCACTTGAAGATCTGACAGTCATCCATACATGTTAAAATACACACAACTGTAAAACAAATACACGGTGTGGTTTTGTGCTACAGGTTTTGAATTTCTCCAGATGAGTCTAGATTGTTTCCAATAAAAATAAAAGTCACGCATTTCAATTCAGTTTTACTTCTGCCTTAATTTTAATTGCTAATTTTTATTTACAATGCTGCTTGAGATTTAACCAAAAGTGCTAAAATATAGGGTGTTCAAGACCTTTGAAAGGCAGTGTATGATGTATTCTTCATGAAGATGAAATCAAAGTTAAATAATAAATGACTCCATCCATGTTCTGCCTCATGGGTTCCCAAAAATACTTACCTTGCAGTATAAAATCTGGTTTTGGCCAGCTGGTCGGTCAGGAGTTCATACAGTACATTCAACAAGTCCTGTTGAAACTGATACTTCTGGCCACAGTTCTGACTGTAATAATAACTAATCAATACACAGTATTCAGGGGGAGAGAAACCAGAGGTTGTATCACCCTACTAATGTTTACCATAGGGCATCATGGGAGTCGAACAGCTACTGTGCATGGATTTTGAAGTTGTCACCAGCCGGTGGGCTACAGTTTGTCTGGAATCCACTGAGGATGAAGGCTGCATGGAAAGGCTGATGCAAAGTTAGAGGGACCAGAGCAGTCAGAAGAAATCCACAGAGGCAAGCACACCATGGATTAGCCAAGAAGCAGAGGAGCACATGAGATGTGGGCCAGGAGAGAAAACAAGGATGCAGCCATTGTTTGTTGAGGGATCATAGCTAGCCACTGGGTCCCAACTGCAGCCTCTCCTGCTTATGCTTATCCAGCCACTGTAAGATCTGCTGTTTAAGTTCCTCGTTTGGCCTGATCTGGTCCATGGTTAGAGGACTGCGGTTGAAAGGGTCTGTCTGGTCACTGCAAGGAGGACATAATCAACACATGGTTACTCATTTGAGCCCCGAACAAGAGACCAAGTCTTCATGTATACATTATGCTCCCAAGTTTGATTCTGATTAGCAATTAGTTCAATTATAATAGACTGCAGGAAGTAACTCACCTGAGGAGATGCCTTGCTATAGTTGAGCGGTCTACTGTTACATTGGAAGAAGGGAGAAGAACAGGATCCAGCATCAGAGTGGACATGATGGGATCCAAGAACTCATCTGGAGCATCTGCATATGTCTCCTCTTCCTGCTGCTGTCTGTCTGCATGGGACTAAATAACAGAGATACAATTGCAACAAATTGATTTTTTTCCATTTTTTATCAACACGTTTCATATAGTTTGTACAAAACTAAAGACTTTTCTACTATATCAGTAATCATCAGTCATCAGTACAGACTCATAAGACAAACATTCGTAAAAACTGAACACACATGCTCGAGTTTTATCTCTGCAAAAAGGATGTTAATGTTTTCAAAGTCAAGTAATACCTTTATTTTATCAGCAAGAACTCCAAAAGCTACAATCATGTCACCAGGCTTGTTGATCTTCTTTAGTACCCTAACAGTCTGGGAGAAGAGGGTAGGAGAGTATGATCGTCCATCCTTTGGGACTGTAGCACAGAAATTCTCCTCGTCCCTGCCAAAGACAAAAACAAACCTTTTTTTAAAATCAGGAACCACAATAGTAATTGTACTGTAGCATATAGTCAGCAAAGTGCCACTTTATTTCTTCCCCAGAGAATATGGCACCAGTAAAAAACATCAGATTATACAAAGAAGAAGAAATAAACAAAGACTGCTAAATGTTTTTTTTTTTTTTATTATTTCTTTTCTGTTGTTTTCAGTTCTCCCATGTATTCACTTTGTAAGTGTGTGTGTGACAACATACCCTAAGTTCAGGTAGATGGTGCAGATGTCAGAAACAAGCTGCTGTGGCTTGAAGTCGAACTCACTGAAGTCCTTGACCTTAAGGGCACCCATCTTAGGACCCACCAGGTGCTGCAAGAAGTAGTTCAGCATGGAGATGATCCTCTCAGCCAGGAAGGGGTGCACAAAGATCCCCTTGATATCTGGAGAGGGAAATGGTCAAATAAAAAACATGGGATGGATAAAGACAATGATTCCTCAATGTGCAGGGTCACATGTAACAGTCTTTTCTGCCTGACCTGAGGTGAGAAAGGCCAGTGTGCCGATGGTTTCGTTAGACATGATGTTGTGGAAGCGTCCCAGCTGTCCAAACATCTGCAGGCTCGACTCTTTCTCTCTTCGGGCATCAGGGGCCAGGCCCTCCCACTCCCCTCTATCCCGCTCCAGCTGCAGAACCTTGATTTTACTCAGGTACTATGAGAAAAGATGATGTATGAATTTTGTTTATTAAGCTCATGAAAAAAGTGTCAGAAACTGCAAACTTTGAGTCAAAGTCACCTAAGATAATAAATAAGCTATTTCTAAGGATTTCAATAATAATTTTCATAAATGTAAATTTTTGGATTACAGCTTTATATCACAAAAGTGCTACAAAATTACAAAATCTGGGCAACACTTTTTTTTTGTCTGTGTGCAGTATTTTGGGATTTCTGCTCATGCAAAACCTGTATTTACCATCAATTAAATCATAAGCAGCATCACAACAAACTGAATAAACATTAAAACAAAAAAGATGTGAAGACCTAATACTTCACGTTACATGTACTAATGTGATGGAAAAGATAACTTTTTTAAAAAATTGGTAAATATGTTTTGCATGTGTTGAACGTTGTGAACTCACCTGAATAGCCTCATCTAGTAGGAAGATGGCATCATTCATCAGTAAGTTGAGGAACCTGAGGAACAGAGGGGGGTTCATGGCCTCCAGGTTCTCTGATGCATAGTCGGCCAAATGCTGAAACGAGAGATGTTAATCTATATAAAGTATTGAAGAAGTTGCCCCATCATAAACTCCATAATACACATCATAACCCAAAAAGATTTGTATGTGCACCCACCACAAATTATTAACACCACATTTATATTTTTGCCTATACTGCCATCGTACTAGTCTAATACTAACACTGTGACACAGAATTTCAACAGTGCATGTATGGAATCTATGATTAAACCTTCAGTGGTGAGTGAATTGAGAGAATATTCTTTTAAAAGAGTTTTAAGTGTCTTATTGGGACAGCAAGCAACATGATACAGACAGGATTAAAGTTTTGATTTTTAGATTCACAGCCACCACATGAAAAACACATTAAACTCAGAGAGAATTCACAGAGAAAAATTAAACCTGAGGGCTTCTTTTTGAAAGACAAAAAAACATCATACCACCATCTTAACATCTGAAGATAGACTGTCAAAAACATTTATTTCTCATTACCTTGATGCTCTCTCTATAGTTATCTTTGCCCCACATGTACTTGAGGATGGGGTACATGGGTCTTCTGTAGTTGAATTTCTGTTCAAACTGATGAGGATCACCTGAAAGAAAAGAGAGTAAAACTAAATAAATTCAAACATGCTTCAGTGATGCCTTCTATTTGTTTTCACTTCATCCAGCTTCTCTCCTTATCTTGCTCTGCAGAACACACACAGGTGTGCACACAAAGTGCAACCTCTTTACAGTTTCACCAGACTGGAAAATTATACCAAGACTCTTCTTTTATTTCTTATTCGTACGTGACATTTTAATCAAAGATGTTTTTTAAATCAGCTTCTTTTTATTTAAACATGGCTTCATTAAAATTCTGCAGTTCCATTAAAAAGACGTGAGTTCAGTGCTGTCTCCATCTACAGCGAACACTAGTGAGTCAAAACACATTTATAAGGAACACAACTGTTTCACCTGTGAATTCAATGTCTACAAACACAGTGATGAGAGCCTCGGCCAGCTGAGGTGCATGTCTGTAGGAGCAGAAGACTCTCTCTCGCTGGAACACGATTGGCTGAGCAGCACCAGAAGCCACTGGCTCCATGTGTGGCATCACCGCCTCTAAGACCTCTGCAAGTTTTGCTCTCAAGTGTGGGTTCTTCATCCTGATGGAGATACAGGACAGGAGGGATTGGAGCAATATGTGAAAATTTTATTATATCAAATGGACCATATGAGCCCTCATAATTCTTTCTCTCAGCCTTGCCAGGCCACTGACTTCAATCACAGACATGATTTTATTACATTATTGAGAAACATACCTTTCTACGTTACCCATGAAGACAGTGATGAAGTGAAGAATCTGCTCCAGACTTTCTGCTGAAGTCTCCAAAACATCGTCTGCGAATCGCCGCAGAAAGATGAAAAAATCCCCCAAGTTTTCTGCAAAAAACTCTAACAAACATAGAAAGGCGCACTTTAGCCATGACTATCATGTGAAGGAATGTTCCGCATTAGTGAATGAATGTACTATGAGTGACTAACCACTGCTACCTGGCATGCATAACAACTGTAATTTTAAAAACATGTTGTAGTAGAGGCTGTGTATAACCCAACATTAGAGACATAAATATCAGGTCCAAAATTATTCAAACTGAAATTTTTCACTTGACCTGAGCCCGAAGCCTGTGACCTTTACATTATAAACTCAAACCATATCAATTTAGGAGGTAATAATGACAAAAAAATTAATAAACCTGCCCCAATTCAAGATGGAGAAAATTAAGAGAAATTAGAGACTCTCCTCACCCCTGTGGGTCAGTCTGACAATCAGAGCTAAAGTTGGGTGTTTCTGTTCCACTGTATTTGTAATGTAGTGAAAGGTCAGACCTACCTGGTACAAAGCACAGCATACTATTTTGCAGGGAAGGCAGGGGAAAACTGAGTGCTACATGTTCAGGCCCCTGGTTTCCAACACCAAGTTGAACCAGCAGAGCAGCGGTGGAAGCTTGGAGGTTAAGGCAGCATTGCAGCATGGCAGGCTGCATTGTGGCAGCTTTGGTTGACAAATAAACAATCATCAGACGCTCAAACTGCTCCAGGAGCTGCTCTGACATCGGGTTCCCGGTTCGCTGGGCCTCCTGCCACGTCACCTGGAGCCGATGGAGAGACTGGTTCATCTTCACCATCTGCTCATGGAGTCTGCACACAGGTGTATGGACACAAACAGAACAAGATAACATAGGTTAATGCTGACATATGGTGTAAACATGAGAGAAAACACAGTATGCTATGTTGCTGAGAGATCCGCGGCACTGTGAGGTCTTTAGTGCAGCTAAGTCTGCGTATGCTTTTTAACTGCATAGTGGAAGGTGCTTGTTTGAAGGCATGTACCTGTGGAAGCCGAGATGCAGGGTGAGTTGTGTGAGGATGAGGTTTTCAGTCAGAAGGCTGTAGGACTGTGCAGACTCCACCGGCTGCTGAGGGGGCATAGGGATCAGACAGGTTTCCTTGTCGAGACCTGGAATTAGTGAAAGAAGATCTTTAGTCAAACTTGGAAAATCCTTATGCTGTTAAAAAGGTGGTGTAAAGTGCTGCTATAAACAAAACAAATACCAGAGCTGCTGTATTAAAACTGATGTATTTAAACTGATAAAAGGGAAGTGTTATCGACACTCGTTTTCTCATATACAGTATTAACCTCTTGCATGCACGTTGCGATTGCGCCTCTCCTCTTCACTCAGCTCTTTGAGGGCGCAGTAGGTGGGGTTGAAGGTGAGCAGTTTGGGTGAACGAGGCCTGCAGAAGGGCTGGCACAGCTTCAGCAGAGCTGCACCCAAGTTTAAAAAGAATGCATCTGAAGCATACATCTGGAAGAAGATCTCTGGCATCTGATTGGCCCATATCTTGGCTCGGCCAGCGTTAGCCTGCAGACAGCTGCCCAGCCACGAGAGCAGCAGGTGCCGTGTCTCACCAGATCGCTGAAGCAAGTTTTTCAAGATCTGGTGCAACTTGTCGTGAAACTGTCCCATGAACTGTAACACAAGGGGAGTAACGGTCATCAGCCCTGATGCATTTGTAGCTTGAAAACCATGTAAAACAGTCTAAGATTATAATACAACCAACTAAAACTAATCTGTTTACCTGGTGGATGTTGGCCTCCTGGACCTTTGTCTCTTGGGCGCTGGAGCGGGAGGGGTTCAGGAAGTAGCCATGTCCCTCCACTACACCTGGGGTTTTTAACAAGCAGGAGATGCTCAACACTGCCCCCAATAGGCTCTTCTGGTACTGCAAACCATTAGCTGGGTCTTTGGGCTGAATGTGTTCCACCAATACCTGGGAAAACCGAAAAAAATAAGAAGAACTGTTGGAAGGATTTGAAAAGATCGGGCCCTGAAATAACAAACATGGAAGGTATGTAACATTGAAATGTTTTGGGATCACTGTCTATTGTTGTATATTATTTGATTAGTAGTGAGCGGGGAAATTATCTGTTGGTGTCAGAGGGTATATTATAATAACATTTGCAGATATACTGTCTCTGTGTGTCTCCTGACCTTGGCAATATCTTTATGGTGGCTGAAATAGAGGAGAACATCTAAGTAGGAGTAGAGGAGAGGCTGGCAGAGGTCCAAGTCTTTGATGCGTCCCTGGAAGATATCAAACACTGGTACTATCACCTCCTCGAAGGTACGCACCTCCTGGTCAGAGAGCAGGCCAGCAACGACCTCCTCCACAAACTCAACCACCTCCTCTGGCTCTGAAACACAGCGACTTTGTAAGTAGAGGGAACTAGAGGGAATACTTTACTGAGAACATGCAAAGACAAAAGTAGAAGTGAAAGGAAGAGAAAAAAGGGAACACAGGAAAGGAAAACGTCAAGCCTATACTGAACCTACGTGCTCCACTGAAACCTTCCAGCAGCAGGTCCAGAAGCTGTTCATAGACATTCTGGCTGATATAGATCTCTGGGGTGAGCAGAACTGTCCGTGTGTTTGATACCGTCAGATTCTTACAGCGAACAGCAAAGGGCAGTAACTTCTCTGGTACCTTCGTCACCTGGTGCACGAGTAATCAACAAAGTCACTGAATTATGAAAGAGAGTGGGTTATTTTTACGTTCCAATTACCAAGAATAGTCTATTAACAACTAGAAATCTCCAAAAATAGTTGCATTTAAGTACTGCAATTACAGTAATGTAGGCAAGTCTCGCACCTCTTCTTTGGCTCTCTGGTAACAAGCAAAAAGGTAAGGGATGGCACATTTCTCTCCAGCATCACGGTCTGCAGACAGGTTTACAGCGCTGCATGATGTCATGTAGATGAGGTGGTTCCCTGGCTCTAGTAGCAGCAGACGGTTAAACAGAGCCTGGAGTACAGAGGGAAACATCTCAAACACAAATCACACTGTGCAAAACACTTTCCACAACTGATTACACACCTAATATAGTAAAACCTTCATATGTTATGTGATTCCTAAAATTTCTGTATCCATTTCTCACATAATGCATACAACTTCCAAATGTGTCAGTTTCATGCATCTGATGGATTGTGAATGGTTTGTGCCAAAAGGCTGACCTCTCCCACTGTCTCAGATGTTTAGATGGTTATTGAGAGAAGAGGAACAAGACATGGCAACAAAAGGGTGGTGACACAGAAATACATTGTTGACTTCTGACCTGTTCTATGTTGTCCATATCCAGCCAGTCCTGTCCATCCAGATCTGCAGCCATCTCCTCCAGGTACACACAGCGAGGAGGGATTCCATTTCCTCCTCTTAAACTGGGGTCACCTACGGGTGAAAATAAAACCGGGGTCCATAAAATAAAGTCTGCTCAAATTATATGTTACAACCCACAAGGCTTAAACCAAACCATTCATGAATACTGGATTGAGTGTAGTTGAGAAATAAATCAACAGCCCAACATAAGAATAAATAAGACAGAGGAGGATTAAATGCACAGCATGTATTTACTCTGGTTTATTTCAGACTGAGGTGGCAGAAGAATTCATTAAAAGGGCTCTCTGTGAAAACAGGGGGGAATTTAGCCTGCATTTCCTGAACATCACGACTCATCTTTAAGCAGCCACAGTGTTGGAGGGATGCAGCCAGCTCACAGTAAGACTACACAGCGAGACTTCACAGTGTGCGAGGTCTTTGTATTGTCTTGAAGCATGGTGAGTCATTTGTTACTTACTGGAAACTTCAAATTTGACTTTCAAGACGGCCAGCACCATCCACCAACACCACTGAAAACAACATACTGTGCTACTATTTACAACTACCAATACAGTTACAGTGCATCATCATGCACCTGTTTGTCTGACTAAATTCCCTTTCAGATCAAAGCAAGAACCTCAAATAAAAAAATATAAAAGGTTTTTGCAGGTCACCATGGATTATGTGACACAACCTTCTCTCACAGACTTTTACACGGGCCTCGCTACAGGTTTATTATACAATCTACAGCTATTGCAGAACTGTAGATATTGTAAAAAGTACTCGTGCTTACTATTGCAAATAATGTCTTCAGCCATTACTGTGGAATTAAATTAAATTGTATTAACACTCTAGTGATACTTTTCATTGGTGTCAAAACATGAAAGCCCCGTCCAACTACAGTTGTGGAAATGGGTTGTGTGTAAGCAGTTGTTACTCCCAAGCAATTTACCTGTGACCAATCTTATGCAGGCTGAATGTGGGTAGTATGTTGACAATCTGATTCAGTTCAAAAAGCTACAACATGAGTGTTCAGAGTCAAAACAAATCTAATTTCAAAATAAAAGGTAGTGTGTACTCCACATTATCGCTCATGATTTATTACTTGATCATTTTTCCCCTTTTACTTACTGTTGTCCAGAGTGATGAGAAATATTCGCTGGATCATGTGATTGACATTGAGCTGTTCACACAGCTCCTGGCGGGACCGGAAAGAGCGGCTGATCTCTGCCACAGAGTCGTCATTATCATCGACGCTGTCTGACACAGAGTTTTCTGAGTCTGACTGGCTCTCTCCTGAGTCCTCCACTGTAATACCAGATACAGGGGTTAAGTATGAAACCATGTGATTAAATTTAAACCAGAAGTTACAAATAAAAGAAGCTGATGCTTCTCTAACACTGACATGATGTTGTGCATGTATTTATGCATTCTGATATTTGAGGACTGCAGTGGACCAGATAACCCTTCTTACATGGTGGTTCAGCAGACAGCTGTTGTGGTTTCTGGCCTGATGCAAACTGTTTGGCATCAGCCAGTGAGCTGAAGAGGGCAGCAAAGGGGTTGCAGGAGATGTTCTGGTTGTTGTTGCCCTGGTCAGTCATCTCACTGGGGCTCAACACTCACTCCATCCAAGATCCCAGCCTAAAGAAGCAATGCAGATATGACAAATAAGTGGAAGTGGAACAAGACCTAGAATTACCAAGTAAGAGATTAGTGAGCATGTACAGTATATTACCACATACACATAAAATTGTCATCATTTTTCATCACTGTGCCACTATAAATCAGCACCGCCTGATGATAAAATTAAGAGCTGCCTAACTTCTGCACCTGATCATTAACAGCTCATCTTCCTCTTCATTTTGAGGTTGTTAAGGTAGTCGTTCCTTCATGTGGCACCACTGTCCTTCTGGATTCAGGCCTTCTCATTGTCCAGTTGCTACAGTTGTCCAGTTGTCCTAAAAAATCTACTGCCCTCTCGACTACCTCCACACTCTCACTCTCTCCCATACTTTTTACACCAGTCAGTGCTCATCTCAGTAATTCTGTAATAATTTCCTGGGTTTGTATCTCATATTTTCTGCATGTTATAAGGGCTTGCTGTGTTTTATCTCGTTGACAATGATCCCAATAAACTGCCACATATTTTCCAATAATGCAAGGAGTAATGTTCAGATTACTGTTCTAATTTCATTGTAATCACTTTCTTTACTGTTTCTTTCTTGACCAACTCTACTTTGGATTGCCTCTTTCTGTTGCATAATCACAGTACCGTTTTTTTTTTTTCCACAATATGATTTTTCCCTCAGCTTTTGAAAGTTTAATACTGACTTTGGTCTTCTGATTGCTTGTTTAGCCAGACTGTCTACTTTCTTGTTCCCAAGAATGTAAACACATTCAGGGAGGCACAAGAATGTTGCATCTTTGCTGGTAACTATTTTTAGGTGAGTGAACAGAATTTCATACAGTAGATCATTGGATATAGCAGATTAAATACTATCGATACAAACCTGCACTTGATTTCAACCGTTCTGAATTTTCTAGCAACATACATCTCAGCGTTACTGGGTCATCATGTATCAAACTTAATATTCCTGCCAGATACTGGTCCCCTCAGAAGATAACACAGGACAGATAGGGTATGGTTTGTTGATTAGGAGAAACCATGTTACCGCTTTCTGATAAGGCGCCATTCATTAAGAGTTTATAAACTGAAATTAATGGCTTTAATGCGTTAGTAATTCTCTATACATCAGTCATAACCCATATAAAACAAGGTAGGTAATCCAGCCTTGGGTCCTACAATAATCCATCAAGTCTGTCAGCAGTTGTACATGTTAATAGGCAGTTTGTAAATGGTTTTTAATCTAGTTAGACAGTGACGCTGAAACCAGTTGTGACGAGGTTAGAAAGTTACTGTCATGACATTCAGAAAAAAAGAGGCTCAATAGACCAGTTTCCTCCTCAGTTTGACAACGATCACTGGACTCACTGAACAGACTGACGATCTGTACAGTTCACCAGACGTTTGCTTCGTGCTCACCACTTCAGCTTCACGTTACAGCATGTCACAGTTGCTCATCAGTTCAGTACCTCACAGCTATAACATGTGCATCTTTACGCGACTAGCTCCCCGACAAACCTTCAATACCCTGCGTGTAATAAGCAGCTTTAGCTTCGTACCGCTAGTTAGCTAACAAGCTAGTTAGCAAGCTAAGCTGTCATGGGGTCACCACGACTCTATTTCAACATCGATTTTACAAACTGTTACATGAATTTTACGTACAATCAGTCTAAATAAAGTATACAAAAGACAAAGAGTGCTGTCGTACCTGTTTGACGGGAAGAAATGTGCGTCTTTTATTTAAACAAATTGCTTCTACGAAACCAGTGGCAGTTCCTCAGTAAACAGATATTATAAACGTCATCAAACTGAGACGGAGCGTCGGCTTTGCTGAGTAACTTGTTCATAAAACATTCAAACGTGATGGAAAACTGTTTCATAAATAAAATAAAAACAACATCTCTGTTATAGCTTTAAATTTAATTAACTTATCTAATTATCTAAAGATTCCCCCATTTTAACAGTAAGTATTTGTGGGAATAATTTTTGACTTTTATGTTAAAAATAAAGAGCAGTTTTAGATCGAATACTTTTTGCGCTTTTTATGGAAAAAATGGGCAGAACAGCCTACTTCACTGCATTTTATCACATTATTAAATAATATTTTGGGAGAGCTAGACTTGAGCTATTTTGTTTAATTAAAAGGCATCATATATGTTGATGGATTAACCTCCCAGGACAAAAAAAAATTGCTGTATGGCGGTTTCATTATTTCCCAGGCACCCTGAACCCAACCTGTTGTCTAGAGATTAGAAGTTGATTGGTAGATTGACAGAAAATTGAACTTGCATCTATTGATTAATTCTTTAAGTCTATTTTTAAGCAAAAATGTAAAAAAAAAAAAAAAAAAATGTGTTTGTACTTCTTGAAATGTGAATATTTCAGTTTTCTATAGCAGTAAACTTGACATCTTTCTGTTGACTGACAAGCAATTTGAATATGTTAACTTGACAATAATAATGGGCATTTTTCACCATTTTCTGAAATTTTTATCAATCGATTATCAAATAAAATAACCTTCAGATTGATATTGATAACGAAAATTATTCTGGTTGCAGCTCTACAGTTCTCTAGTAGCTACATGTGCTAGGACTCATCTTTCTCTGAACTTTGTAGTGTTTGCTGACCATCAGCAGAGGGCAGCAGCGGACTGCAACTCTATCTCATGGTGCTCCATCCTGGTTGTTTGTCCAGGATGAGGCCTGTTGTGGGCCTGACCTCTGCTGTTCATTAAAAGTGTGTTTATGAAGTTTGGGTTTTTGCTTTTGGGAACAGACTTTGATGAAATGAAAGAAATGTTTGGAGATGTGAATACAGTCCCTGGCATCCTGGCCACTTACATTTGTAACATCTCATGTAATTTACTACAACTGCTCAACCATAAATTCTACCTTTAAAATCATACTTATGTTCAGGTTTGATTGACACTGTCAGAGGTGTTAATTTAACTAGGCTACATGTTTATTGTTGAGGTTGTAGGCTACTTTGCAGTGTTGATGAACAACATTATACTGAGAGGTGTTTCTACCCCATTAATAAACATGAAGAAGAACAATATTAGAAACAAATTTCAGCATAATGTTGTTCAGTATAAATACATTTGTTACTAGAACTGTCTTTTGTAATTGGACAAAAAGGTTTATAACACTTGTCCCCTTTAATTATTTTGTCTAATGCTTTTACTAAACAAAATTATTTGAAAAATTAAGTACGATGTTCTCAAAAACGATCTCTTGCTTGGCTCTCAGTCATGCAATCCTTTTCCATAACGCAACCAAACTTATTTTCCGCATAATTATGCACGGTTTCTCTGCTATCATCACTGAAAGGATTCAGAGAATATCTCCATTTCCCACAAATAAAATCTAAAATCACAATTAAACAAGCACTCAATGATAAGACTGTAACTATGTAAAACACAGCGAGGAGATTGGTCCATGTGAAATTCATCCTGTCAAAAGAATTCAAATCAATTTAAGGCCTATTTCTTTCCAAAATAGAGTTTGTGCATTTTGCAAGTCAGAATTTTCAGCACCTGGTGAAGTAATCATTGCATAATGATGTTTAACATTTCAATGTTGTGGCCATTTTATGCTACAGCGCAGTAAAAACTCTAATCTAGGTGTAAATGAGATTTCTGCAATTCATTTTCAATCACTTTGTCAAAATCTGTTTTTTAAGTTACTACATATGTTGGACAATATAATGACTTGTTTTCAGTTTATCAGTTGTCTGTTAAACAATCTCATGAATGGTCATCCTGGGGTCAGTGCTGCATTGTTATATTGTACAGGAGAAAATGAGTTTTAACTCTGGGAAATGAAGACATTTTTCAATTCTCTATTCTACAGATTTTCCCCTGTAGAAAAGAAACAGAGACTGATAAACTACTACTTTTCTAGGTCTAAGTTCACCTTGTGTAAATAAGTTGCTCCGAATCGAGTTGATTTTTAATAGAACATCTTTAGATGCCTCTTGTTGCTGATCAAGCAGCTGCCTGATTCGCCGGCTGTCAGTTTATCATAGTAATATTCTGAACACAAACACTCAGAGACACAAAAACCTGAAAGGATTATTTGTTGTTTTATGAAGACATCTGGCAATCATTCCAGATGTGGTCAGTAGGACAGCTTAGGAAACAACACAGTTTGAACTAAGCAGCTTCAACATTGAATACTGAGTCACAGAACATACAGATACAGTACGTGTGTCTGCCACACCAAGTTTTCATTCAGAGAAAATATTTGTTTGTTTGCTTTTTAATCAGAAACCAAAAAAATGAAATTATAGAAAAATAATAGCTTTCTCAGTGTACATGAAGACATACAATCAACATTTTTTTTACTTCTAACTTCTCACGTCCAACTTGGTATGATAAGACAAAGTTACAAATGAACTGTTTATTTCCTCACTTTACTTTGTGAAGTTAAATAATCCAAAGAAATGCTCTCTACCCATCTACACCTACAGTATTATGTATACCATATAAAGTCTCAGACAGTCAGACATTCACAATATTACAAAATAAGGCACAATATTTACAGTCTCAAGCAAACCTTCAAATGTAATTCTGTGAACATGTTAGTGCTCCAGGTTGTCACAGTTTAGTTTTCAGGAAGGCTCAGCCTCTCAGTGAAATGTGTTTTAGTCACTGTCTGTTTGACAAGTCTTTGTTCACTGTGGCTCTTTTGTTCGTCACTGTATTAAAAGTGTTTTTATGGCCTTTTTGCACCATACATGATGTACAGGGAGGTTTACTTGTGACTTCCCTCTGTCCTTTCCTCTCTCAGGAGGTCCTGTGGTAGAAACATTATTTGCCATACTGCACCCCTTTGCCGCGTCTTAACCAATCCCTCCAGGGGGATTGGGTTTTGTCCTGATTTGTGTCCGAACTCCAGGTTGAGGAGGAGGAGGAGGAGGAGGAGGAGGAGGAGGAAGAGGAGGAGGAGGGCTGGCGTGTCCAGGTGGAGGTCGTCTTGCTGGGCCTGCGGAAGAATGACATGCCGTTGGAGGTGGGCTTCTTCTGAGGCTGCTCCGACTGCTGCTGGGACCTGAGCTGCTGGTTGATGATGATCTGGATATCATCCTGAGGAAAGGTGGAGAGGAAGAGGAAATGAGCAGGAAGTCTGAGGGCCAGCAACTCAGTCTGGTGTCTCATGTCAGCACTGTCCTTATATCTTCCTAACTTCTACTGATTTACTTGATTCTTAACGATGTGTCGTTATTTTTGCGGTGACCTTTTTTGTCACTGCTCATTGGTAATGCTTTTTTTTTTTGTGACATCAAGTGCCATTTTTTGTCAGGTCACATTAAATATTTTTAAACTGTCAATAAATCCCACAGGAAAGCCAAAACCATCGATCAGTTTATCTGTGTCGCTAAAGTCTGATAATGCTTTGTTCTTTGTGCCATAGGCTCTATTGTTGTCCAAAAACTATTAAAAACATGTGACATGTTTTTTCAATACAATGAACATGGGCACTGTAGTTTATGTGAGTCAATCCCACATATACTGTCCTGCTGCTGTTATTACTCACTACAAGACTAACTGCGTATTAATACGCAACTGAAAATAGTCCCCAACAAATGCACTATTTTCTCCTGTTTGAGTAGCGTTTGTTAAAAACTACAGTACCCAGCTATATATTTGTTTTAAAAGTTTTTATTCTCCAGTCTGAAGCGACAAGCGAAGGGCTGAGTGCCACAGAGAGGCAGCAGAAGTTGGAAAGTTAAAGTTATCACCAGCTTTATCCTTTAACTGTCAAGAAGGTTTCGCTTCAGATCCTGATTGTGTTTTTGTCAGCCATCTAACAGAAAATTCAGCCAACATGGGCCAAGGAACAAGGATTTGATTAGTGGGTCTGAGCGAGTGGATGTAATATCGCTACCAAATGGCTGTGAAGCACTTCAGCTCGTGACTCCTGAGCAGTGACACATAAAGTAAAAACAAAAAGTTATGGATTACTTTGTTTAACATGAAGCTATGTAGTAAACATAGGCCATTCTTACATTTGCTCCCTGCTGATTTTTTTGCCCACTTAAGAAAATTGTGAAACACCACTTTGCCTCAGGTTGCGTGTGGGGAAAGAGCAATGTTCTGAGAATCTAATTATGGTATGATAATATGTACTGATGCCTAACCGCAATGTCTTCATAATTGACACTTAATTATTTTCTCTGTTCCTATGAACTATTCAGCTCAGTGTAGCTGATCTGGCATGCTGCACATTTCTGCATATTTAACAGTTTTTATTTCCTGACTTATGTCTGCACGTGTGCTTCTTCCAGCTGAATGAGTTTAGCTGTTCAGGAGGGAACAGAATACTACTGCTTTCAGCTAACAAACATGATTTCTCCAGAAAACTAATCAGTGTTTTGGTCTAAATATTATCTGCAGTATTGTCATCAAACCACAAGAGATCAGACCCTCCAGCAGATGGCTCAGCTTGGCATCGTGAGTCAGCAGCAGAAGGACTCATGGACAGAGACACCTGCCGTTTATATCCTTTCAGACTGACACGGCTGAGAGGGATATGGCTGTGTCTGTCCCTGACCTCCCACTGAGGATAGACTGAGACACATTCATCTCCTGTCTTTCATCTATCACTGAAACTGTAGTCAACATGCCTCAAAGTGATTTTTAATCTGGGGTGTTTTAGAACTTAAATGTGTAAGATTTCATGAAGCAGGAATTGTGCTGAAAGTTTGAAGACAGTAAGACAGTGTGACAAAGCGACAGCATGAGAGATGAGCGAGGGAGCTGTAGGATACAGTCGACTAGATGTGATGGGCAAAAAGCATTATGGGTAAATAGGGACCTCACCTGCCAGGCCTCCAGCTCCTGTGACAGTTCCAGTTTACGTTGGATGGCTTCTAATAACTGGTTGTTCAGAGACATCATATCATTTTTACTTCTCACCAATTCGACCTCCATCAGGTTTTTCCTGCCAAGAAATGAAGACACATCACAGTCATATACTAGAAAATTTCACTCTTGTGATATTCACCCTCACCACAGGTAAAAACTCATTATTATGGCTGCAGGAGTAGCTTTCTACGGGAACTATAAATTACTTCTGTGTTTTTGTTTAGAAACCTAGTAAATGCATTCATGCAAAAGTAATTTTTTTAAGTATTCAACCAAAAAATATTTGATTTATTCAAGATTAGATTCATTAATAACTGTTGTAAAAGTGGAATCTGAATATATTTGATATTACAAATTGCAGTGAGAATATTGAGAAATAATGAGCTTCTCACTTGGCTATGGCTTCATCTCGGTCTTTGATGGCCTGCTGGACGACTTCAGCTTGTTCCTGTACGCTCTGCAGCTTCTGTCTCAGATCAGTGTTTTCCAGCTGCAGCCGGATGTTCTGCAAAGCGACATGAGTTATGTTGCAGTTTATTATGAAAATAATAAAAATGTGATGTGATAAAATGAAAACTTAAGACAAATTTGAATTTGTGAAGTTAACTAAACTAATTCAGTTGTTAAAATTTGTGACAAAAAACTATCTACCTCTAACCCTGTAAAAACGCTCTCAAAGGTCACTCAATCTGTATATGACACTAAGATACAGCGACTGTAACAGAGTCAGTACTGGCACAGCCAAATCCTCAAATAATAGGTTGCCACAGGTGCTGCCCCTCCCTGACAGGCGTGTTTGTTCAACACTTGGTTACCTGATCTCTCAGCTCCTCTGCTGCGCTCGTATTCCCACACTGATCACCCGTCCTGTCGACAAAAGCCTGATTCAGCTCCTGGGACAGAGACATTAACAAAGAGATCAGGTGTCGGCCCAGCATTTCACACACGTTTACACCAAAAGTAGTTTCTGTGCTGTTGCCCTATATGCATGGTGCTCCAAGGGAGGAAGAGGCTGGGCACAAATATTTAGTTACAGCGGTAAACGCATGTTACTGGTCTGAAAGGTCTACAAACGCCACGAGACACAGCTGGACAATTGTACACGCTCGCTCACGGCAAATAGAGGTTTAGCAGAGCATGTAAGATATCGATTGCAACAATTCATCAGGCATCTTTTAGATAAACAAGGCCACAGTTCCTCAGCGTGGTTCAGGATGACGACACTATAGTGCCACTAACAGCCACTGGAGGGCAAACAGGCCAACTGTGAATACATTAATGAATGAATATGTGGGTAGGTTGCTTTCTGGATCTTTAAATCCTAGAGCTGGTAGTTTTGCATAAATACTCTGTACATCTGTATATTGAAATGATATATGATTCATATATGTCCTATATACTGTATGTGTCATATTCCCATCCTCTATGATTACAACCAAGGTCGGCCTTTTCTTTGAATTTCCTCTCCTGCCCTACTTGTTGCTTTTGTGTGGCTCTCGCTCACCTGAGGGCTGGATCCCTGTGCCAGGGTTTGGGCGACCCCCTTCAGCCGGTGCAGCATGGCCTGCAGGTCCTCCTGTTGATCCAGGACCTCTGACCTCCCTGAGCTGTTCAGTTCCTGGGTCAGTGGGAGCAGTAACTGAAGGATGGAGCCCATTTCTTGCATTATCTAAGTGGAATCAGAGGTGAGGCGTGTTAATTTATGTTAATTCTGATTTTCAAAAACGCTATACATTTTGAACTTAACTATTAACTGAGGTTTTGAGTTACTTCCACAACACAATTGGTGTAGCTTGGAGGCTGACACTGTATAGCTGGCCTACATGAAGAGAGCTAATGTTTCGGATGTTTTAATGAAAAATAAGAAATTCCTGACAAAGAAACTGGATCAAAACAAGGTGTTTCTTTTCCTGTTTTCCCTTCAGCATGCAATTCATTCTCTTCACATACCACATCTTGAGTGACATCAAGTATTTACACACTGGGAGGTGCAAGCATTATCTCATTACTTTATTTACCTTCCTTGAGTCAAATGCATCACATGATTATACTGATTATGCGGTTACCCGCACAGGTTCATTTTGGTAGAGCAGGTTAATTTTGTAAAGGTTACACACACACGTGTGTAGATGTGCTGAAAGCTGTGAAATGAGGAAACTCAACTCAAACAATGTGGCCATGACAAACAGGAAATGTGGCGAATGAGTCACAAGCGCAGTTATATATCACATTTTCCTGCTGGAACAAAACAATAACAGCAGACACCCGGAGTGAGACCTGGCTTCACTGTCAGTCAGTTTTCCTGCTCTCTCGCAGGCATCACTCAAACTTGTGTCTTTCTGCTACAAGCCCCCTCGGATATTTCTTGGTGGTGTCTCCACTTTGAAAACCAGGGTTCTTTCACACCTTCTTCTCGCAGAGTGTGTTCGTGCATCAAACAAACAAGTCACACTGTTACAGAGAACTTGCACAAAATGTTCTGTCAGCTCATTCCTCTCTGCAGAGAAAGTTACTGTACTTGTCACTACGACAACGTTCATACATGTTTCCTAAAATTCAACTTGTAGATGTTGTTGCCTTGGTGCCATTATTGTGTGATCTCACTGTACATGTCTTTCAGGACACCTACTGTATATTATATATAAATATATACTGTACAGATCTTAAAGTTCTTGTTTCCAGTCATCACAGCAACACAATTTCCCCTCAGAACAGATGTGAATCATTGTGGGCAGGACTACAATAGAGTAAGCCCAAAAGTAACATTTGCCAACCACAATATGGAGGAGAGGTTAGTGCAGCCGGTCCCACAGTGAACTATCTGCGGTCTTCTGTCAGTTACAGCACATGTTTGAATTTATAGCCTCTCTGCCTCATAGTAAAGCCAAGTTGTGTTTTTTGTATTGTTCAGATAATCTGAAATGTCCTCCTTTTGTTTTTGAATTTGAAAGTTTTTCTCAAGCTCACCTACTGCTAAGAGTATCTGTAAGGATAAAATCATAATTTTGATATATTATAATATTGTGCATTTTCTGGAAAATCAAGTGCTGCTGCTTCAGTACCTCTTCTTTGCTGACTCCCAGCCCTGCCGTCTCCAGGCTGCTCTCCAGCTCGGACAGCAGGGAGGCGTCTCCATAGCTCCTGGCTTCCTGCAGGGACACCTCCTGAAGTTCCTCCACCTGGGCCTGCAGCTGCTGTGAGCGGCTCCGTGCCACCTCCACCTCCTGCCAGGCCTCGGATAGCTGAAAACACGAGCAGGAACACACACATGGATGATCACACATATAAACATATACAGAACCCCTCCGGGCAAAAAACGTGAGTTAGTTGTACTTGTGAACATCAGTCTCACGTCTAAGTACAAGTACAACTAATGACAGCAATTAAGATGACATTCTGAATTCTTATAGACTATACCTGACAGAGGGAGATGCATGTGATCACACCAAAATGATTTTACGCTGGGCCACGTGTGCTTTGTAAAAAGCTGTCATGAGACACTCGTGCAAAAACTCTGCTAATGCGAGAGAAATCCTGACGTGCCAGATTCCAGCCTCCAGCTCAACATGAAACTAAATGAACAAGAGTGGAATCCAGAATTGCAAGTGAAAGTTACAATGACGGGGATGAGGTGATTGTTTAGCAATGCTTTCCACAATCCCGCCGAAACCCAGGCCGCCAGGCAGGGAGCAGAAAATCCCTTTGTCATTGAGGCTCTTTCATTCATACACCAATCGCACTGAACTTGTTTCCTGCTGCTACAATGAACACTAATCAGTGTGTATTTACTTTAAAGAAAGTATGAACCTCCGGGTGTGTCTGCGTTGGCTTGCAAGTGTTACTTCAGTATGTAATGAATTTGTATATGTACCTGCTGGCTGTGCTGCTGATTTTGCTGGTCGTGCAGAGCTAGACGTGTCTGTAAAGAATCCAAACTCGCCCTCAGCTCAGCGTTTTCTTGACACACACTCTCCAAACGCTGCTCCAGCACCTGTTCCTTCTGGGTGAGACGCAACACCTGGAAAAACACACAAAACGCAGATATTAAATATGACAACAACAAAAAAAAAAAAAAAAAAAAAAAAAGGAAAAATGTTCACTCTTCTCTGAGAGGAAAACTCGCACTAACTCCCACTGTTCCCTGGCATCACAACCATTCAATCCATCAATGCTTCTATCTGGGAGTGTTTGGAGAGCGCTGAAAATATTTTATCTGACTTTATTTTCCCTAGGGAAAAAAAAGAAAACTATTAGGAACTATCTGTCATATAATAGAGAAATGTCCTTTTTGTATTAAAGTTTGGTTGCATAAATCCTTGAATCCTCCCATTGGCAGGCTTTATTGCTGCTTGAAGGACAGTTCTCCACCACTGGAAAAGCCTGAGCAGTTAAAATCAATTACAGATCTTTTGATCTGTAATTGAAAGGATTATCAATAATTCTCAAAGGAAATTCTGTCAAGTTTAGTGTCACAGAGTCAGAGTCAGCCACTGCGGAACAGAGTCACAGAGTAATTTCCATCATAGCGGTTACATTTTGGATTAGCGTTGGTTTGGTTTCAGCATTCAGTGGGACATGTGAAATGTTTTTGCATAGTAGTCACCTGCTCCCTCATGGCACTGATCAGCTCCTCATCCTGCGGCCTGTTGAGGCTTCCTTTCTGTTGAAGCTCCTGTTTTAGAGCCTGCAACTCGCTGGACATGGCCCTCTCCACCTCCATCGCCTACACGCAGACACACACACACACACACACACACACACACACACACACACACACACACATCAGAGGGAAAACACAGACACAAGATTCATAAATGGAGCGACAGAAAATAGACATGTAGCTTTTGAATTTGCAGGTCCACTTTTTGACACGAGGAGGGGTTTACAGACAGATTTAAACACAGAAAAAAAATTCACTCAGCCAGAAATCAAACCATGACCAAAGAAAAGTGAAATCATGTTGTGTCAACTTGAAACTCCAGAACAAAGCTTGCCTGAGGCATGAGCTTTAAGAAAATTGAGCCCACAATCTTGGATCTAAAAATAACCAAATATATAGCAGGAGGTCTCTCTGAGATAAAGTCCTGTAATCTAGACTCAAATGAGAAGAAACATAATATGATACCTGCCTGAAAGGTGGGGATTAGGTGCCTGGAATTAAATACGTGTTTTGTATTGCTTTTGCTGTGGGCCCAGCAGCAAATGGAAAATGAGAAATGGTTTTCTTTACTGCCTTCAAAGGAACTGCAAGTGTTTCTGTAACCCAGTGGTTCCCAAGATAGATCCCAGTGGGGTACAAAGATAAAAATCTGGGTGGGCACAATAAGGAGATTAAAGAGGTATGAAAGACAAAAATATGTTTTGCTTTTATTCTTGTAAAAGACTGGCTATTTTCAACCTCTCCAGACCGCGAGAAGGAAAAATATTATCTTTGTTGAGCTGCACAGGACTCATGTCCACAGATTAAGATGATATTGGCTAATTTTAAAAGGTACATTGTGGAGTTTTTGACTAATAGGGCTATGGAGCATTGTTTTTACATGTGGTGTCCCTGTTTTGAGCCATTTACAGTTCTGACGATGGTTTCACTGATTGAACAGTTGACAACAGCAACAGGCCAAGAAGCTTAACCGCTAGAAAACGTGGATATAAAGAATGTAATATTTAGACTGAAAACAAAAAAGCTTTTGCAATTGTTTCATGAGGAAGGAAATGTATTCATCATGTTTGTTTGCCCACACACACAATGTGCTGTGAGAAAGGCTGAATGTCAACATAAGTTTAGAGAAAGAAAACTCCACAGGCCACCTTTAACAGGTCATTAGTTAAAAAGACAGAGAACCACCGCTGTAACTGAACAAAAAGCAACATGGCTCCTGAGATCACTGATCCATCAAAAGAACAGGGAAACATTAGCCAGGCACTGACGAACTGCGCTCTTATTGCTGATGATGATAAATCAGTTACTCATCTGTTTTTCTGGGGCTTCTCTCTGAAGCAGACAATGATTTCAAAACACAAAAACGAAGGGATCTCTGGAGCGCTGCTGTGCAAGTTCTGAAGCCACAGTCAACAACCCATCGCCCTCCCACCAACCCCTTTCCTCCCCCGTCCTGGTCTCAGACCCTCAGTTCCCCTTACTCAGCAGTTCGGCAGGCCCCTGTCAGGTCCCATCACTGCCACATAATACAAGATGAAAGAATGGGTCTCTGCGGCAGATGGAGCAGAGGGCATCTTGGTCTTGCCTGTGACATCATCATGCCACATTAGACAACAATGTGGCGGAGGGTAAACTTGGACATCAGGAGGGTAAAGTTGGGGGGGGGGGCAGCTTGTGTGGATGTGTTTATATGAGTGCACAGAGGAAGTGAGGGCTAAAATTAGTGGGAAGTGTGTGTGTGTGTGTGTGTGTATGTGTGTGTGTGTGTCTGAGAGTAAAGCATGCACTGATGGACAAAAACAAAACATAGCATGTAGACACACTAGGAGGAGGAGAAGGGCGACCTTAAACATGAATGTTTGCGTCCACGGGTCGTCATTACCGCTGCCTCGTCTCGTCAACACGGGTCTCCTCCACAATAGAGGCAGCGACCCACTGAGAATCACCAAAACACAAGTGGAAGGAGGACGCTCCATTTGGTAGAGACACAAAGATGACATCCCCTCACATGGCCCCCGAGCCTCAGGCCTTCACCAGTACAAACACTGGGGTATCTAACAGCTGACTACCCCAGCTATAGCCGGGCCCCTCAGGGAGCACACAGAAAAGATGGCTTTCCCCTGGGATGATGGGATGTTGGGGAATGAGGAGCAACATCAAAGGAGCAAATGAAAGATTTATATCTCTCTGCATTGTGTATTGTCTTTTCCTTTTTTGTTTATGAGCTGGGTGATGCTGCCAGAGAGAGCAGAGGTCACGGGGGCTCGCCTCAATTTGGGCGTCTCCTTTTACAATAACGGAAATCCACAGTGAGGGATTTGTCACAGTTGTCTAATAACGCACTGTGATCCACGGGCGGGGAAGGTGATCATGTATCACTGGGTGAAAAGCAGGAGGTGAAAAGTTGACCTGACACAGAAAAAGACCAAATGACCACATATTTTGTTTATGCCCAGTCTACCGTTATTGATTAAAAAAAATGTGGATGAAATATTTGAGCTGCAACTAATGAGTATTTTCATTATTAACTAATCTGCTGCTTCTTTTTTCAATGAATCAATGGATCATTTCAACAATGAAATGTCAAAAAACAGCAGCACTTCAACAGTTAGTCGATTAAGTGATTAGTTCATCAACAGAAAACTGAACGGCAACTGTTTCGGTGATCTGATATTTTATGCTTTTGGATGCAGCATGATAGTAAATAGTGAAACGACACTCTATCACAATTTCTCACTCTCTTGTCAAGAAAACCAAAACCCAAAGAAATTCAGTTTACCATCATGTTTCATTTGAAAAGCGTCAAACCCTCACAGAGGGTTGAGAAGCTGAACCCAATACCAAAAATAACAATATTTGGTATTTTTTCTTGAAGAAATATCACTGTAAAGACAAAAGATAATCACAATACTTTGACTTTCAATCTTCTCAGCTCCTAAAATATTGAAAACAACTTTTAATGTACAGCAATACAATCTAAGAGCACCACAAACTGCAGCCTCCAAAATGATTCTAAAATTGAATCAAAACTGCTTCAGTAAAAACTGAACATTACAACCTTAATGCAGGAGGATTTATTGCAGGACTGTTGTATTAGACTTAGATAGGTGTCCCTAACAAACTGGTAAGTGAAGCGTTTGTTATTTGGCTCTCCTGTCCGACTGTTTTCATCTTGAAAAGTCAAACCACATATATAATGTTTTCACTCGTGTCAGCAGGGTGACACAAGAAGAACCTGAACTGGGTCAGAGAAGTTCAGAGAAGAACCCACTCAGTTTTGGGCAGATCTGCAGATTATTTTACAATGAGTTTTAATTTTATTTCTCTTGCGTCTGGTTTATGTTGACTGACATTGGCCTTGGTGAACCTGTCTAAGCGCCATTCTAGTTGAAGAACCGTGATAATTTAGATTCAATACTGACTGTAGCTTATTGTAGCCTCTGTAAACATGAACCATGATAACCAAAACTGTGAGTGACTAATGGTTACTTTTAGTGTAACTTGACACAGGTCCAAAACAATGTCCTGATCTTACCTTCAGGGATATATTATTCATTTCTTGAGTAAATGACTCTGCCAGGTAAACAAACCCAGTTTAATCAGAATTTCCAGCTTATCGTCCTCTAATCATACTCCCTTTCCAATCTGGTATTTCTTCTTCAGTAGATCTGCTTCTAATACACTGATAATGTTCATTTGTGAAACATTTTTTTGCACATGAGTGAAACTAAATCAGCAAAACATGTCAATCTCATTTTTCTTTCTATCAGTGTAAATAATGTCAAGTACATTCTGGCTCAGCAGAATCAGATTTCATGGTTTTCTGTGTTAAAAATTTCGAGATTGCCTGGAAATACACTCCTCAAACTGACTCAAGTAACAAATTAACAAACTGATGCATCAGACACAAGAAAAACTCATTAATGATTGATTGAAGTGTTCTCAGCGACAGGAATGATCACATTTACAATGTGATCAGAAGAAAAACACCCTGACATGGTTCATCACTCTCCTGGACCTTAGCTACTCTTTAAACAGCCAGCATGTGACGACCTGGAACACGCCAACATCGCGTCTGCGCAGCCGCTTCCTCAAAAGCACCGGGACTGAGAGTCGCAGCAAATCTTTCCTCTCACATCAGAGCTTTGCTTTGCTGTTGCCGGTTCACACAATGAATTCTCTCCCTCTGTCAGGTTTCTGTCCTGAGATACTGTGGTCCTGCTCCAGATTCCTGTCAGGCTCCGGTTACACTCTCACAATTAGGATATAGAGTTTCAAGCTCTTTGAAACCTGCTAGTTCATCATTATGTGTGGACATCTGCAAAAACTCAGCTCCAAAAACTCCACTGAAGCCAGGAGCAGAAACGATTAGTCATAAATAAAATAAATTACTCAGCAACTCATCATTTGAGTAAATAAAAAGAGACAAAATTTACTGGTTCCAATATTGTCCTCTGGTCCTAAATTTGCTGATTTTCTTCGGCTTTGATGATAGAAAACTAAATCTCTTAGGGTTTTGGACTGTTGGTCGGACACTTAAAGACTCTGGGAACTTGTCACAGGCATTTTTCACTACTTTTATTTTATTTCTGACATTTTTGTAGGCAAACGATCGATTTATTTGTTGAGAAAATGATCAACGGATTCCCTGATAATGAAACTATTAAGCAGTTGCAGCGATACTGAGACATGTCGAGGACATACAGAACAAAATGTCATGCTTCAGTCAATGTCCCAAACACGCTCACAGACTCGCAGAAATACAAACACAACTCACCACACCAGGTAAGGACACATCAGACATGGAGCTTCTTCACGCTCTTTCTTTTCTTTAACACATTCACTCTCGTCTCTGACTTTTTTTTTTACAACCACACAGAATCCAGAGTTACCCATGTCTGATGCTGGACAGCCAAATCAAACATTTTTTCTTCCTTCCTCTCCTTGAACAGCCCAAACAGAGATAGCACCTTTTATCTAAATTGACTTTTTCCTGAACTTCTAGGGAGTCGGTTTCCTCCAGTGAAAATCCTACAGCCTGGCAACAGAGGAAGAGCTCTTCATAGCTCTTTATTCTGTGGACCTTGACTTGTGGGAGGGTGCACACTGTTGTTTGGATTCATTTTTAACTTAGCGAGCTCAGGTTTGACGATCACAACGCAGGGAATTGCTCTGCTAAGTGATCGGTGGAGTGTACAGTAACACGTCACGACTCTAAAACAATCGCTACTTTCTCAGGCTGGAAAAATACTCAAGGTTGTCCAGCTGTGTGATGTAATCAGCTCTCGCGTGTTAGCTGATAAGAAGCTGTAAAACATGTCACCAGTTTGATTTTGCTCCCAGTGTATATTGTTTTCTTTGGATCAAACACTGAGGATCATAAGTATTTCACCTCAACACATATGCGCTGATTATGAGACAGGTCGGCTATGTGTTGCCACTGCTCTTGTCCATTACTTCATTCAAGTACACCTGTCTAAGCTAAAAGCTAATTTCATGTTGCTAAATAAACTGGATCTGGTTAAATAGATTTTAAAAAATGCTCTATAGGGCTGCAGCTAATCATTATTTTCACTATTGATTAATCGGCCCATTTTTTCCCTGATTAATTGATTAATGGTTTGGTCTATAAAATGTCAGAAAATCCTCAACATTTTCATATTGCTTATTACTCACATTTATTATTATTTATTATTTATCTTGGTTTCTTTAAATACCTTCAACCAACCAAGATATTCAGCTGAAATCAGAATTTTCTGCACGTTTGGTCAAAGAGTGACTGAAAAAGGCCACAATTAACAATTTTTAAAGCTTGTTCCAGCTCTATCTTCATGCGATAAATACTTCCACCAAAATAACAAACATGAGCTGGAAGTGAGCAAAGTGAAACCCGCATCTTCCAGAACCTCTCTATGGTTTCCTCCCTCTGTCCTAGATCTGAAATCAAGTTGAGGTATTACCTAAAACTCCCCCTCTTGTTTACATATCGTTTCCATCCTGCTCCACACTGGCACAGATCATTTGCCTCAGGCCGACAGCTCAGACTTTGCTTCATAGCTTTCCCGACTAAACAACAACTTCCACCTCTGTCTCTCCTGCTCAGATGAAAACTTGTATCTGTGCCGTAAGCATTTTGCTATGGCTTCGCTCTGAGGCTATAAACAGTCTGAGTCTGGCCTTGCTCTAGAACAGATTAGACTGAGTCAGACTGATACCTGAGTGGTTTGTATGGAACACTGAGTTTCAGCGTGTGGATTGGGTGACAGCCCACCTTATCTGGTTTGACTCAGGAGGCCTGCAGCAGGTGGTTGTTTCCATTCCCCGAGGCTCAGTTACCTGTCCCAGTCAGACAGTTTCTTTGCACCCAGCTCTATAATTCACCCTCATTTCATGTGATGCAGACAGAATTAGATTAAATTTACTCACACTCGACCATCCACTTCCACTAAAATAAAAACTACTATCCGTGGCACTCACTGTATTCAGCTCCTCTCTGAGTCGCTGTGTGTGCTCGCTGTGCTCCAGCTGGGCTCGACTCTTGTCCCTCTCGGCTTCGCCCAGCGCCCGGGTGAGCCGCTCCACCTGGGCGCTCAGCTCCCTCGCATCCCTCTCCAGGTCCCCCACCTGGCTCTCCCACTGGGACTGGCAGCCCTCCAGCTTCAGCCGCAGCTCATGCCTGCCCTGCTCCAGCTCCTAAACAGAGGTGGAAAAGACCAATGTCTTAATAGGTGGCAGTGGGAATATCACTGAGGGACAACAAAAGTCAAGCATGTCAAACTATAAATGCAGTTCATTCATGGTTTGAAACTACAGTGCCAATAAATGATCCTTGTTGGCAATAGGATGTGACAATAACATATTGTTTTGGAAAGAATCAACAATGAGCCTCATCTAGGGGAAATGTGATCACAGGAAACTTGTGACAGCTGTAATCTGAATTGAGTCGCAAAAAAACAATTTGTCCTACTACAGACAAATACCCAACCTGTTATTTATTCCATTAGAGCTGAAATGTGGATTAGTCAATCAACAGAAACTTAATCTACAACTACTCTGATAACTGATTAATTATCTTCTCAATTGTTTCATGTGATGGAATAGATAATAGATAGATAGATAAAAGGGTTTTGGACCGTCAATCAAACAATAAAGCTAATTTGCATATCTGCAATTAATTGACAAAATAATCAGGAGATGAATTGATGATGAAAATAAATGCTTGTTGAGCCTTATATTCAATCATACCTCATATTGCAGATTGTATCAGAAAAAGCTTCAGACATACTGTATCTTCATGTCACTTTGTAAAGTACTTTTGTCACATTTCCACCTCATCTGTTTGTCCTTCATGTGATTTAAGTGAGAGTCACACCTGATAAGATTTAAGACTGAACTTCTGAAGGACACATCAGCATTCACCCTGAGAATTGCAGTGAGCCCATTATTAAGTCTGTCCTAACCACTCAGGTGTGTAATGTTGTGCCGCAGACATCAGCTTCACGATAAAGACAAACACGGGTAGCCTAATAGACAGCTTGATTTCAGCTGCTGCCTTTAACTTTGCTGCTGTTGGGCTGGATTCATCCGTTGTTTTGTAGACATTTATTAAATGTGGAGAATCCTCACTAAGTCATTTCAGGGTGCTTAAAGTGTGTGAGCGTTGAGGGGGACGCCAGGAAATCTGTGGATATCGCTGCTGACCATGTAACTGCAGTTCTCTCCCTGTGTTAGAAGCAGAAGTTAATGGCTCATGCCTCATTAGGAGCTGGTGTCGTAACATGGGAGACTTATCCGAAATACTGTTTGGAGTTTGATCTTTTCAGAGGGAAAAGACAGAGGGCACAATGAGATTACAAAGGCATGAGGCCGATCAGACACAGCAAAGTTTAGTGATGTAACAATCTGAAGAGAAACCATTCTGCCTGTTTACACTGTAGTAGCCTTTGTGAGTGGCAGCTGCTTTGGTAATGATAATGCAAAGTCCTTGATACATTTACAGTGTTTGCTATGAATTTTTAATATATCTCACTAACTTATGAAAAAAAAAAAAAAAAAAAGCATTACAAAGCATTTAAGAGTATAACCTACTGAATGATGCTCATGTTGTTTCTCAGCACATTAATAGTAGTTTTTCCATTATCTTTTCAAACTGAAAGTCATATATTGGATCAAAGTTGAATATTTAAAGTTGTCATTTGGACACACAACCACAAAGAAACTGCCAACTAGGTGTAATTTTCTTGGTGCATATTTACCACATATATCTCAACAAAAATAACCGTATAATCTATGGTCAGTATAATTTATGATACATTCGTTAAGAAAAGTCCAAGATAGATGTGGAGTATATTATCTATACTGGATTTAGTCAGCCTGTGCCAACAGAATGGAGTTAACAAAAATCAGGAAACTTCATTTCATTTTAATCCGCCCACGTCAGACATCATCAGCTAAAACCGAGTCGGCAAAACTTTGAAACAATCTTTCTCTGAACACCGCCATTAAGCTGTATTTATTTAGTAAGTAGTCTTACCTCCAGCTTGTCTGCGTACTGTTCATGAAGTTTTTCGCTCTGCTCTTTCAACTGACGGTTTTCCAGGAGCAATGCGTTTCCCAGCTGGGCTGCCAAAATAACCTCTTCCTCCTTTTGTTTCAAAGCAGCCAGAAGTTCATTGGGGTCTTGATAATCTGTTATTTCCTCCGCTCCGTAGTCGAAGCAGAAATCCTCCTCCTCGTCCATTTTCTTGGACTTGAAGCTCCATTCATCCAGTCGATCCATGACAGAGTTAATTCAGAGTCAGTCACAGTGTTTTGTTTTGGGTTTTTTTTTATGGTGAAAATACAAAATCACGCTGTTCATGTGTGAACAAGATGTCCATCCATAACACCTGACTGCTGCTGTTGTTGTCTCAGTGAGCGTCTGCGTGTACGGTGAAAGTAAGCTGTTGCTGCTGTCTCTGACACCGGCAGATGACTGCTTGTCTCCAGGGGGCGTTGGCTTCAGTCACCTGAGCAACTGTAACCACCCCACTGACAACAACCACACTGACACCTGTCTTGACTCAAGGTTCAAAGTCGCTGTGTGTCACAGAGGGAAAATGACATAAACACCTGTATGATGGGATTCAATTCAATAAATGCTACTTCACTTCAGAAGTCCCCTCGTTAGTGTGTGTCTACTTCATAAACATCACCGTAAAGTACTGATTAGAAATGTGCTGTAGAGCTGAATCAAACCTTCACTGAAGTTTCAGAAAATGCAGAAGCCTACTGATTGTAGGACTGATGTGTTGTTAGATTACTTTGGGGTCTCTGTTGTTGTGGTCATGTGACAGTAGAGTAGATTGACATGTACCATGAATGCACAGTATCACGTCTTTGTTCCTCCTTGACGTTTTCCCTTGTTATAATATACCATTGATATTCTTTACTGTGTGTATTTTTACCTCCGTATTTGTCCTAACAGTAAAATGCCCTTTACATTTAAATACAATTAAAATGAAGTTCAGCCCACTCAGACAATATACTGAATATGTTGTATACTATGGGCCTAAATGTATGTTTTCAAGTATTGTGCCTATAAAACGTATTCATCCCCATTAAATGTCATGTTTTATTGCCTCACAACACTGAATCAAAGTAGATTTAGAGAAAAAGACGCTTTAATGTCAATGTGAAATCAGATCTCTACAATGTGGTCTAAATACATTTCACATCTAAAATGGAAAATGCATGTTGGCGTAATTATTCACCCCCTCTCGGCCAGTATCTAGTACATGCAATTACAGTTATGACAGTCCTTGCAGGGTGTCACTGTGTTACTTCATCCAACAAGTGCTCAACAAGTCCACCATGCATGATCACTGCTTCCAAAGAGGGGGAGTGTCTGCTTGCTTTGTCTGGCCACTTGCCAGAGGTCAAAGGTCAGCCCCCACAAGAATTCATGGAGCTGGGGGCAGTGTCAGGGGAATAAAAGACGAAGCATCCTGACGCATGGTGAGGCTTTTGTTGTCGGGGAGGCCACGGCTTCTGTACATATGGCAGCAGGGACCAAGCAAACGTGGAAGCACTGTATGAGGGGCTCAGTATGCCTTGCCGCCATTGTCCTCATTGTTCCTGTTAAGTTCATAGGCTGCTGATGGAGGGGCTTGTGCCGTAAGCGTGGTGAGGTGTCTCACATAGCCTACCGCCTGCAGTGAAGTCTACATGTGGTCAAACAGTGGTCACAGAGAGAGGGGAGGCCTTTTAGAGAGAGACATCAGTGGAAGGGACAGTCTTATTAGGCATTAGGCAAGAGCAGGCGGCTGCCCCAGCCTAACAAAAGATAAATATCAACTGTTTTCCGCACTTATTACAATAAAAAAAACAACACCTTCTTATACTGACTATCCCACTTTGCTTTCCCAGAGTGATGGTGCTGCCTAAGTTCAAGGCTTTCTGCTGAAAGAGCTACAGCAGCAGGTGTGCAGAAATTGACCTGAAGCTACCCAAGCAGAGCTGACAACCATAAAAGCCTGGTTGATGTTTTAAATCAAAAGATGCCAGTGCTCCCTGACAGCAATAATACTCTTTATAACACTCTCGGTGTTCTCAACCAGCTCTAGTGAAGCAAATATCAGCTGCACTTGCCTGCATCAGCAAGACCTGTGACAGTGTGCAGAGTGCTGAGTGTGCCAAATGAGGCTCGGAGAAAAGGCCACATAAATGTGAGGAGGACTGATCATAATAAAGATGAGGAGAACACTGTAGCAGAGCCAGGACGCGGTGAGTGATGCTATATATCATGATTCTCAGAAGAGAGAGAGAGAGTTCATGCTCAGCATTATTTGCTTCTCTGAGCTCTGACTAGGTAAAATAGATTGAAAGGGGCGAGTGTTGGGATTCAGAGAGGATGAAGTTTGTGTTTGACTGCAGCTAGTATGTTCATTTCATTTATCCATATGTTCACATGACCAAGGAGAGCTGTATTAAAAGTAAACAGAGGCTGATTTTACTTACAGCAAATTCACATGATGTCTCAGAGAAGCTCCTTAAAATGAGTTACAGTCATGTCTATGTGCTATTATTGGATTGTTATTATTGAAGCATTAACATTTTAATGTTGATTGAGATGAAGCAAATTTTAATACTTTTTATACACTGCTCGATCATGTCTTTTAAGTTGGTCACGTGTTTTGTAGGTAAAATCTCCAGAGTAACTAGTGACTAAAACTCTCAAAGAAATATAGTACAGTAAAAAAAAAATACAATGTTTAGACCTGAAATGTAATGGAATAAAAGTATTAAGAAGCATTAAATAGAAATACTTGAGGAAATGTCTGAAGTGCAATATATTCTCTATTTCCACCTTTGAAGGCCACCACAAACCTCTAGTGGCATCTAGTGGATAAAAATGTAAATGAGACAAAAACAGTGTCAACAGAGTCTGTACAATGTAAATCTTGTAAACAGGGACGACTTTCTCCTCTCTGGAGGGAGAGTGTGTTTGGAGTCAAGTGGGTGTACACATTTGGGTGCTTAGATTTACAATCTAAATCCAAAATATAGAAATGTCTTTGGATTATGTAAACAGATGGTATGTTGTATATATACCAATTTTCCGATTCCCTTTTTACCATATAGTTGTTTTATCATTTTTTATAGACTGGTGTTTTTTTTATGAATCTCCTGTTTTCTGTTTTATATATTTTCTACACATTTTGATTCATTTTTTGGTAATTTTATTTTATTAAATTTTTCAAATGCTTCATGTATTTATTTACACTACACGTTGCTGTACACACTCCGGCCTGCAGGTGGCACTCTGCATCACGCCATTAAACACTGTAAAAAAAGAGGAAGCACACGAGCAGAGAACAACTTGTAAACACGGTGAAACTCTCTGTAGTTAAGTAGAGCTGACTTACAGGAGCGGACGTTTACAGGTGTATTCGCTGTTTACTGTTACAGTGACCATGGAGAGGAGCGTAGAGACGGTTTCAGCCATTAAAGCTTTAGGGTAAGTAACCTTTAACTGCTTTGTTTTTCCTGCGTAGTCACCGTGCCTCACCTGTTCATTTACTGCCTTTACTCTGGTCTGTATCAACTCACCTGTCGGCGTTACTTCCTGTACAGGTACCCGGGCCGGTCCTGCCTCACACGGTGTAAATGTGACGAGCTTCCCTGTCCGCTGCTCACCTGGCTGTCTGCAGAGCTGAGGACAGCCTGTCCAGAGCTGCAAGGTGAAACAGTGAGCTGTAATCCAGTTTCACTAACAGCAGAGTAATATCCAGATTTATTGAGGCTTTTTTTTTCTCTGAAACAAACTGCCACATGACCTGAGGTCTGTTTAAAAGTTGAATGAAAAGTTTTCTATTTTCTTAAGGTTTGCAATTAGTTACTCTGTGTCTGACAAATGTGTGTGCTTGTCAGTTTTAGTGGTTTTTGTGTGTGGAGCGGTTGTAAGTTTTTTTTCCCCTTTGGTATAATTGTATTTTCTTATTTATTATAGTTTCCTGTACATTTGTTGCTGTATGCGTTTTATTAGAACAGCAACTAACAGTTATTATTATTATCAATTCACCGGTTCATTATCGGATATCATTATTGCACGATTAACTGATTAATTATTTGGCCCATTCAATTTATGAAAGTAACATGAAATCTCAGCACAGTTTCTCAAAGCCTAAGGTGATTTATTCATTTTGTTTTTTCCAACTCACTGTCCAAATCCAAATATATTCAGGGAAGAAGTATTTACATTCATGGAGCTGGAACAAGTGAATGATTAATCTGCCAATATAGTCTTGATTAATTAATCAATTATGCAAGAAATTATCAGAAATGCCCATCAGAATTTTCCGTTTACCACCATGTGAAATAGATAAAGCAACAAATCCTCAGGTTTGAGAAGCTGGAACCAGAAAATGTTTGACAGTTCTGCTTGAAAAATGACTCCATTTTCAATGACGCAATTCATTGGTTAACAAAATAGCTGCTTATCCTGGTTCTATCTACCCTTGCTTTTCCCTTTCGTTAGACTTAGGTGGGACAGGCGACGTCTTTCTCGTGGGAGAGCTGAGAATTTTATTATCAAACATGGTCTCCCCGCCCACGTTTCTGACCTCAGAGGTGCTGGAGCCATCCATCCTCAACAAAATCATCGGTGAGAAATAATAAATAATAGGAGTCTAATGTATTCTGTTGTAGAGTTGTGCACTTAAGGTCATAAGAAATGATTGTAGTGCTAATGGACTGGTACATTTTTATTGCACATAATTTTTAAATGAAGGGTGTATTGTCCTAAAAAATCCCTCAGATTTCCTGGTATCAGAATTACAAGCAGCTCACATGATCCAGCATAAGGAATTACATCCTGAGGAGAAGACGACAGGAGAGGAATCTGAAAAAGAGCAGCGAGTGGTAGATCAGAGCCAAGAGTTTTGTCAGGAGCATGAGGAGGATGATGTTTATGACAAAGACAGAAGGAAGGCTGAGATGCAGGCAGAGTGGATATTACTGCTGCGCGCCCTCGACATGGACGCTTCCACTCAACTTGCAGATGTGTTGAGTGAGGTAAGGCTAACAAAAGAGAGACTGACCTATGTGTAAGTCATGATTACACACTTTAGATTCACTTATTTTCTGTTATTTTAATACAGGTGGAGTCCAGGCTTGCTCGTCTACCATGCGGGGGCATGATGGACCCCCTTCTTAACAACAGCCTCAGCTCACAGCAGTGGGTAAGTTGACAGGACTGTTATCAGTTCATTAAACATCAGGTGTAACTCTAACATCAGCATTTCAACCTTTTTTCGTTTCTGTTTCTCAGACACAAGTTAAAGAGATCAGTCATTTTCTGTCAAAGGACTATCAGTGTCGGTGGCAGATGATGATCAAACGCTTCCAGGTTACACTTGAGTCATTTGCATGGGGAGAAAAACAAAAGGTAGGCATGTTAAATCACAAACTCAATGATGGTGATTCATAAAAAGTTGAAATAAAAACAAGAGTTTCTTCAAAGGTAGCGTAAAAATAACTATATATATAGTAAGAGGAAAACTGGATTCACATTTGACAGCTATTATAGACTAACTGTCAAAATCAGTAAGAATGAAGAAGTCACAATAGGAAGCATTACACAATAATTAATCTAATTGATTAATGATTGTTTACATTAGTTCCTTAATTAATTGAGTGATTTATTTTGTTTCTAAAACATAAGGTAACAGTGAAAAATGCAGATCACATTTTCATACAGCGCAAGGTGATGTCATTAGCTTCCTATCATGTACAACAAAGATATGCTGGAACCTCCAAATATTTGAAATCAGCTCAATCATTCCCGTATTTGCAGGAGCGCAGTGAAGCGCTGGCCTCAGTGCCCCCTCTTGAATCCCTCACCAGTTCCTCTCGAGTGTCCCTGTCTCATCTGCTTGCTGCCAGAGAGGATCAGTCCTTCATTGAGCCAATCAAGGCTGGAACAAGCACAGCCGTGTACAAGGTACAGCTGTGAACAGTTATAAACTATGCCTGTGAGCCTGAATGAAGACACTTCTAGCTCAGAATACAGATGGTTTCTAATCTCTCTTTGATCTCACTAGACACGGATGGGCAGCGTACCTGACAGAGGAGGACGACCAGGGGAAATTGAGCCACCTATGCCAGTGTGGGAAGAGCGAAGAGCGAAAGGAAATCGATCAGGACGAGGAAGTGGACACCATCAACGGCGTAAATTTTCAGATAAGAAGAAAGGGAAAAAAGAGTAACATGTCTTTTTCTTTGGCTTTACAGCTTAATATGAGAAAAAATTGATCATTTTCTTTTATGTAAGCACTTAGTATCAAATAAAACATGGCTGTGGAATGCTACATATGATTTAATTTTATAATTATAAATTTGTGTATAATTTTTAGTACATAGACTTACCTGTCTGCACATTTGTAAAAAATAGCTTGTCATAATGCACTAGTATGTGATGAAATATTTTTGTTTATGAAAGAACAAAGCAGAAAAATAATTTAACTAGATTTTTTTTATACACGTTGGCTTTGCACATTTATAGATTTAGGTTTGTTTGTTTGAATAAAGTTATTAAACAAATTTATTGTAATTTTGTGTGTAATGTAGGCTTTGGTGATATCCATCCATATCTTGGCTTTATTGATATAATTATATTATTGTATTTTATGTTTCAGGCATAAGAAATGCAACCAATTCGATATTATTGAATATTTGCCCAGGCCTAGTGTAATATTGATATGCTTTTATGCTTAATACAGCCTGACAATGACTGTTAAATTACCAATTATTATGTAGTGAGAAAACATATAACTGATATAAATGATATTTAAACTGTTATTACAAAACTTGGTTTAGCTGTGATCAATCGACCTCCCCAATATTCATTAAGCCTCCCTGCCTCAGGTAAATTTAGGTGCTGAATGAGGTACATATTTTGTGTCAGTCTGATAGAAAGCCTGATCAGAGATGGCTGTAAGGCATGGGTGCTTAGTTATAATGGGGTAAATATGGGGCAACCAGATAGCCAAGTGCTTAGGTCACATACCACATGAGTGCAGATGCTCCCAGACTGACTCCTGGGTGGCTGGAGTCTTTGCTGCATGTCATTCCCTGTTTCTCTGTCCCTCAATTACCTGTCTCCCTACACTGCATGAAATGCCCAAAAAATAAATAACTTTATAATGAGGTACACATGTCCCACAGGCAGAGGGACATTGCAACATTGCAGTTTTGCAATTGCACATTTTTTTTCAACACAGTCGTCGCTCGCAATATACATTTACTGAGCGTATTAGGAACATCATACTAATACTGGGAAAGGCCTCCTTTTGTTCACAAAAAAGTCTCAATGATCTCAATTTTTCATGGCTTTGATTCCACAAGATGTTGGAAACATCTCTGAGATTCTGCTACATGTTGACAGGATTGCATCACATAATTTCTGCAGATTTGTCAGATGCACATTTATGTTGCTAATCTCCTGTTTTACCACATCCCAAATGAAATGAAAATTGAAAAAACAACAAAAACTGTAGAAGCATTTTGTGAAACACACAAACACATTTGACTTTAAAAAAAATAATTTTATTGTAATGTCAGACAAAAACAGGGGAAAACAACAGTTTAAGTTTAAGCTTAAAAAGACACTAAGGGAGTTAACGAGTTATATAACTGTAATGCATGCACCGTCACCATGGTTCCGCCATACCGGAAGTTAACCGATAGACAAATGATGTAACACATCGAAATTTCCGGACTAGCTAAAGGTCGAGTTAACGTGATAACAGCTCAACATTGTGTCTCTGTATATCAGCCAGAAAACCAATAACTACTCGAATAATTCAAAAATGCCAAGAGGAAGCAGAAGCCGGACATCCAGGATGCCCCCTCCAGCCAGGTAACATTTAGCATTTAGTGCCATTTGTTAGTTAAAGTGTTTGAAACGTAGTGAGGATAGTGTGTGGTTTAGGAAACATGCTAGCGACTTAAGGTAACGAACGTACGAAACTAACGTTTGTTAGCCAATGACCTGGGATTCACAACTGCAATCATTTTATAGTTATTATTTTTGTACATTAAAGTGTCTTGAAACTGCTGTTTCATAAAAGTCATTGATAAAAGGAATTAAGGTCACCGGTTTTAATCAGTGTTTATCTGATGAGTGGCATTAAACATTTTTAAGCAATCTATTATGAACTTACAGGCAGTATTACATGAGAGCTTTGGACTTGAGATAGTCGGTCCCACAAATGATTTTAATGCCAAACTAACCACAGAAAATCTCATAAGTGACCTAAAGTGACCCCAAGTGCCTCTGCCACATACAGTTCACACTGCCTTGTTAAAGCATTGATATGTTCTACAGTTGTATCACATTGTACAGGACTTGTATTGTTTTTATTTATCATTTGTGAGTGCTGATGTCCTCTCAAAAGTATGAAATGAATCTACAAGTTAACTTGATGTTTGCAGTTGACAGAGTCAGAGTCATGAGTAAGAAAGTTTGAATACCAACAAATTTGGGGAAAAAAATGGTATCGGTAAATACAGGTGGTTCCAATTGCTGATTGTGTTTGGATTGAGCTTTAAAACATCTTTTCTCTTTACAGCCGGGCACCACCATCACCACCACCGATGGCCAGGGCTCCACCACCGATGGCCAGGGCTGCACCCCCTCCCTCTCATGCCCCGGCTCCAATGCAAGCCCCTCCGTCTGCTGTGGGTGCTCCAGCTGCAGCACCCAGGCAGCCAGGTATGTTTGCACAGATGGCGACTACAGCCGCCGGTGTGGCAGTGGGCTCTGCAGTAGGACATACCATCGGCCACGCTATGACTGGAGGCTTCGGTGGAGGAAACTCAGAGTCTGCCAAGCCTGATGTCACATACCAGGTAAATAAACTGTGATCAAGGACTGGAATAGCATCGGGGCAGATTAGTGTGTCTGACATATGGTAGGTAGGTCACCAGGAACAAAGGAAGTGTGTGTGTGAATTTGGGGGTTGGAGAAGGAGGCAAAGTAGTGATGATAAGTAATCCATAGATCGGTGCATGCAATTGCATCCACTGTAATAATTGAGGTTAATAAACAATAACCAGGTTAAGGCAACGTCATGATTATTGCGACTGGTGTACACACTTAAACTAGGTTATCTTTATCTTTAAGTAAGATTGTACATGGAGTTAGCAGTACTTTATTAGAGATGGAGGATGAAACAGTTATTATCCTAACTAAAATACAAGTAGTAGTAGTAGTTGTAATAAAAGTAGTTAACTGGGTGTAATTGAGTCATTTAATGTACTGATGTAAAAGAAATGTCAATGAAGTTTCACGAATTTAACCGTTAACCATGTACATAAGGATTTCTCTAAAGTGTATATCCACAGAGATATTGAGGTATTTGTGTGCTGACTGATTCCACTTCCTTCTCTGTATCTAATAAACAACTTTAAATCAAACACATGTAAGCCTTAACCATAAGTCATATCTTGGCATGTGGCAAATTTTGACACTTGCCTGATGTATTGCTGTGTTTGGTCTTGCAGTATTTTTTGACTAGAAGTGTTACATCCTCTGTTTTGGGGAAACTGCACTTGTTTGCTTATTAGTTGCACGAACATGCTCTTAAAATATGACATGTACAGTAGATATGTGAATAATTCCATCAACTGCGTCCTGTCTTTCAGGAGCCATACCAGGCTCAGCAGCCACAGTCCATGTACCAGCAGGAGGCCCCTCAGCAGCATCAGGCCTGCTCTTATGAGCTCAAACAGTTTGTTGATTGTGCCCAAAACCAGAGCGACCTCAAACTGTGCGAGGGCTTCAGTGAAGTGCTCAAACAGTGCAGGTTCGCTAATGGTAAGTGAAATTAATTAAATTACATTAGCTGAGGATTTATATGTGATAAGTGCATCCTGGGCCACTAATGGAATTATATCATTATAATTTTTCATTATTTGTTTTTGAAAGTCACAACACACTTTAGGTTTTATCCTTGCTCTTATTTTATACCAGATCAAAACATTGTCTCTGCAGTTTAGGTCTTGCTGTTTCTTGTACTTATAAGGAGGCTTTTCATAAGCTGTTAGTCATCCAGACGTCACAGCCAAATGACTTTGCACTGTGCTGGACATGGTGCTGATGTAATGTGTTGCAGTACCCCGCATGGCCATAGGGAGGAGTAGCATTAAAGGTTTTCTGAATGCATCATTCAACCAGCTTTTTTTTCCTTGTATTATTATTTTTAAAATAGGACAAATCAGTTATTACAAATGATTGGCAGTATGAAAACCTCATTAAACTTTTCCTTTCTCCACAGGTATGTCATGAGACAGAGGAAAACCTGAAGAGTGAAGTACATGCAAAAACTGCAATAAGCAACTATACTGGATACAAAGAGTGTGTGATTCACAAGAGATCAATAAACATATTTTATTTTGACAGTTGATTATCATCAGACAACATTATTGTATTCATTTCTCAGGAGAGCACCATAGCGCTTGTAATCATAGTCTTATAAATAATGTTTATATATTTTGGTGTGGCATGTTTTGAGTTGATTTCAGTTGTCAGTGTTTCCATCAGCTTCATTGCTTTTGATTTAAATTTCATCACATACTCAAAAGTGAACTGCACTAGTTGCAGATCATGATAACTTGTGAAACCACCACTTTCCATTTTCTGGAGCATAGATATGCACAGTTTTGTTGTAACAAACTTAGGTTTAAAAATAATAAAGCACTTGGAACATGAATGCACTGTGATGTGTGATGATTTATTACGCTGCCTGCCCAGACAGAGCACATTATTACGTTGGACTCTTCAAGAAACATTTCTATTATTACACGCCATTTCTTTAATTAGACTTTAAGAGCGACAAAGCAGGGAACACCTAACACCTGTCATGTCATTACAGCCTCATTGCAAATCCACAAAGTGAAAGTTGCATGTGAAGTAATATAGTAATATAGTAATATGTAGGGTCTCCAAATATCTATAACTGTCTCCTGGTGAGAGCAAGAGCTGCGGGGTGTTATTTCATGGATCTGGATTTTGTGTGGGCACACGTTCAGAGTGTGTAACTGCTGCTCCTGTTCCTTCTGCTGCTGTGGAAGCAACAATTTATTTTTGGCATCTGACATTAGAGCTCACCCTTTGCAATGGCAGGAGCAGCCCCACAAAGCCGCGACAGCACCGGCGTTTGGCTGGACCTCTTTGTCCGTCCTCTTAACACTTTGTGAACAGACCCAGTATTGATGATGGATAACCTTCGTATCAGGGACTGACCGGCACGGTGAGTGATCCAGCGTTTTTTTTTTTTTAAATCTTTTTTTGTTTTTTTATGTGTTGCTTTGTTGGAGCCCTCTAAAGGTCAAATAGTGAGAGCGGATGAGAGGGCGATCCAGTTCACACACTGTGGCACATTGCTGTATTAGTCTACATGCTGCAGTGTGTCGAGTGTGACACGAAGTCTGGGACGATAACTTGTCTTGGTCCAAAACAGCTTGTTCGCTCGTTAGATCCCATGACAAGAAACATGCGTGAAACAGAGCTGAAATTACTATTCAAACATGTCACTGTAATTTCATAAAAATCTGTGGAAGTACCGATACTGACTAAGGCAACACAAACCCCTGATAATGCATCTTGAAACCCTCTTAAAACTCTCATTATAATAAGAAGAACGTGAAATGTGCATGAAATTAGTTCAATCAAGTTCAATCCATGGGCCAAAGGAAAGTGGATAGCTTTCCATCTATCTTTCTAGTCTGAAGATTTGGTTTAATTTTGTTTTTAGAATTAATTTGGCTTGAAAATTAGCTCATAAATATTCAGATCAGAACTCTGCCACGTGAGTACAATTTAGCCCCTGGTCTGAATGACAGTGTGAAATAAGAGTAGAGCAGTACATTGACACTTGAACTTTACTTGAGTTGAGGAACATATTGTACTTCTTTCTCCGCTACAAACGTTGATAGTTATTAGTTACTGTGCAGATAAACATAAAGAAACCTAATATATTGTTACAGATTAATCCACCCAAAAGTATAAAAAGTAGCCTAGAGCTACGATCAGTGATTATATCCATTCATCATTTAGTCTGCAAATTATTTTCTCATTCATTCAATAAATGGTTTAGTATATGAAATGTAAAAAAAAAAAGAAAAAAAAAAAGAAATAGGGAAAAAATGTCCTTCAGTTCAGAGCAATGAGAGGTGATGTCTTCAAATGGCTTGTTTGGTCCAACCAGCATCGAAAACCCATTCAATTCAATTTACATATTGTGATATTATTATTATTACAGAGCAATGCAGCAAATCATCATATTTGAGGATCTGCAACCAGAAAATGTTTGTCATTTCTGCATAAAACAATTAATTATAATCATAGTTCCTGATTGTTCTGTCAGTTAATTAATGGAATAATCGACAATCATTTCAGCTCAATAGTTTCATCATGAGCAAGTGCTGCTGATGAATGCATATATTAACACAATATATAACAATATAAACACTGTCAGGGCTTGTTATGCTGTATATTGTGTGCTGTTACTCTTGATTACACTGTACATTTTGCTGATGATACCTAAGTCATTTTACTTTTGTGAGATTTTAGATCTAGAACTTGTATTTACTTGTAATTGAATTGAAATATGTTTATATTACATGAAGTAAATCTCCTGAATACTCTTTCCACCAATAATCATCTGCAGACGTGTTACTTTACATCTAGCTCTGATGAAACTGTCTCAACTAAAGCAGCGCTGTGTCAATGGAAAGGTACGTTTCACTGCTACTGTTTTCTGTCAGCAGCCTGTTGTGAGCTGTAAGAGGAGAGCAGTTTAGTACCTTTTGGTGGTGAACCAGCATCACTCCATCATGACCAAAGATGAGGAGATACCGGACTGGGTCGGAGCTCAGGAGTTCTACGGCAAGTATGAGCCCAAGGAGATTCTGGGAAGGTACGTTCACAAAGCACACGTCCATAATATAACCTGAAAGTGGGGGTTGGGACCCCCACAAGGGTCATAAGCCTTTGTGAGTTTTATTACTTTAGGACTCTAAAAATATTCAAATGAAGCAAAGAAAATCACAATCTTTCAACTGGTCATAACCAGTAAACATTTGTGACCTTTGGTGAGGGAGTGCCAATAGATTTAATATATTAACTTGCTTCATTTTAAAGGAATAGTTCAACATTTTGGGAAATATGCTTTTTCACTTTATTGCTGAGAGTTTAACGAGAAGATTGATGCTGCTCTCATAGTTATGTTTAACATGATGCTACACACTCAACACATTATCATTATTATATTTACTCGACTAAGACTTCAGTTTGAGAAAACGATCTATTTTGGTGTGGACAGTACAAAAATAAGCTGAATGGTTTCCCTGAAGTTTCCCAGAAGTCCCTGAGAAATGTCAACAACGCCAGAGCCTGCTCATTGTCATTCCCCACCATCTGTCAGACGGTGGTGCTGTTACGTAAAGCACAGTGTTCGAGGAAGCTGCATTCATTAACTTCAGCATGTTTTGGACAAAGAGTTTAGTGTTGCGAGTGGCCCGGGATTGGCCAGCGCGCTGATAGATTATGTAATTTCACTCCCTTTCTCACATGCAGGTCACGAGGTCACTGGATGTGGACAATGTGTTCAGCTGCTAGTATTCTTCACGTGGCTCAGTCAGCTTCACACACAGGGGACAGAGATAGTTAGATGAGTTTCTGTGTATTAGTCACTTCAGGTTTCTGTTATAAAATCATAGTGTATATACATGAGAAAAGATGGACAATCACAGTGATGAGGTTAGAATTCATTTGACTTGATGTTTTGACAGTTTTTTCTGGAAGTTAATGATAAACAAGACCAGTGTTTTGCATGAATACATTATCTATTACCCTGAATGACACAGTCCTCACTGTTTATACTTACTAAACATCTGGATGGATACTTTTCCTTAGTTTGAGTATGTGAAACATTTGGTTTTCATTTTGTCATCCATAAAGAGCGGTACTGATATACTGGATAAAAAAAGGATTTAAAGGATAAAACCTCTGACAGTTCTCACAGAAACTTTGAGTTTGTTGTCGAAATTCCTGACTGAAGCACACAAACATGTGTCCTTTAAGTCCAGCTGTCCAAACAGAAACTTCTGAAGATATCAGCCATCTAGGCTGTAGATAAGAAGGTTGATGTGTTTTTCTCTTCCTCAGGGGAGTGAGCAGTGTGGTGCGTCGCTGCATCGACAAACACTCGTCTCAGGAGTATGCGGTGAAGATCATCGACATCACCCCCTCAGACAAGATGACTCCGCAGGAGATCGAGGAGCTCAGAGAGGCAACAGTGAAGGAGATTGACATCCTCAAGAAAGTCTATGGACGTGACAACATCAGTAAGCACATTCCCCAGACAGAGCTGAATTAAAACTGTGTGCATCAGCACAGGAGTCCTACTATTGCTTCCACAAAGCAAAAAGACTTTGTGTGGCCTTTGTCCCACTAACCTGCTGAGGAGGTCAGCTGTGAAGGGGCATTTGTTTCCAAGTGATCCACATTATCTACTGATTTAAGACCTTTTTGTTTTACCTGCTTTGATTAAATACTGAATGTGTCTCAAACGTTTCTCTCTCTCTCCAGTACAGCTCAAAGACTGCTTTGAGTCCAAAGCCTTCTTCTTCTTGGTTTTTGACCTGTAAGTGTCAGATCTCAAGTTTTACATGGCTATGTTTTAAACTAAAAAGCAACAGCTGTTCAAAAGTTTTATTTTCTTTCTCTCCAGGATGAAGAGGGGTGAACTTTTTGACTACCTCACAGAGAAAGTTACTCTGAGTGAGAAGGAAACCAGGTCAGTGAGCGTGTTGTTTTCATTGTTGGAGGCAGGAGACACAAGCTTCATCTTTTAAAGATCTTGAAAGAGTCTGGCATGTGTTGCTTTTAGGAATATCATGCGTTCTCTGCTGGAGGTGGTCCAGTTTCTCCACAGCCAGAACATCGTCCACCGGGACCTGAAGCCTGAGAACATCCTTTTAGACGACGACATGAACATCAAACTCACTGACTTTGGCTTCTCTGTGCAAATACAGCCGGAAGAGAAGCTCAAAGGTTAGTTAGAGCATTTAAACATTATTACAGTATGTTTCTGGATTGTTGATAAATTTAAGGTCATGTCAGACAGACAAGTTGACCTCTACATAGTCCAAATCACTCACTGAAACCACTCATCAGTATCAAGGTAGACAGACACTTAAACACAGATTCAGCAGAAATTAATTCTTCAGCATATTCAGGCGAGGATCATTAAGTGTCCTGCACCAGTAAAGTCCCAGCCCACAGTGTACTTCTTAGTACGCCAGCTGCTGGTGGTTGATGGAGAATCTGGGTCTGGTTGCACAACGCGCTCCCGTCTCTCGTAGCTGCTCTTACAAAGGTTAAGGTGCAACAGGACACTCTATTTGGTGTGGTCCCAGACACTCGGAGCACACTGACCTTTCCAAATAGGCTACCGAGAAAGCAGCAGATCATTAGCAGTGGGAACTGGCAAGACACACGTCTAATGGGCCGGTACATCATCTTATCTTTTTGCTTAGTTGGTAAATACACTATGTGAAGTGCATGTTAAATTACTTCCATATCTACAGTGACCCTCACCATCAAAATGCACAGTGAAGGTGAATCATTTCAGCACATCTTCTCAAATGGGATTAAAAGATGTTATAGCTGTTATATAAACTGTTTTCTAGTTAGGCTGAACCCACTAGAAGATGTGGAAATTAACTCATTATTAGTCCTTTATTTAAGTCATTATTTGATTTACTAACTAGCCAAACTACTTTTTCTTTTAAAGGAATCAAAGACCAGCCTCTTTTTGTGCTTTTACAATAAGCTTGGCTCATCCACATGGGATAAACAGTTTATTGTGAGGACAGTCCACAGTCTTGAGAGCATTGTTGTTGTTGCATGTTGTTTTTCCTTTTTTCCCCTTGAAAAACACTTTGTAATCTCTGGTTATATAGAGTTGATATGATAGTTGATGCAGCATTACAGCATTAGCATTAGCATTAGCATTCTGTCTGAGTGAGAGATTGTATTGCTCTTTTCGCCCCTGCTTGATCTCTGTGGGATAGTTTACACAATGACACAACATGGTGACCACGCATGTATATCCCTTTATAATTTTCACTGTCAGAGCCCGGATTGTTTCACAGCTCATTAAAAAGGTTTGAATCATACATTGTGTTTTACAGTAAATGAACATTTTGATTTTGACCCGTCTGTATTGCAGAGGTGTGTGGGACCCCTGGTTACCTGGCTCCTGAGATCATCGAGTGCTCCATGGATGCAGGACACGCAGGATATGGGACTGCTGTGGACATGTGAGTGTCCTGAGGCTAACACCTCAGTGGAAAGGCATCTGAACATCACACATATAAACTGAATTATTTACAAGCAACGATAAACACACTTTCTGAGCTTGGTTGTCTTCTGGTTTGTGTTTGCAGATGGAGTTCAGGGGTGATCATGTTCACTCTGCTCGCAGGTTCTCCACCCTTCTGGCACAGGAAACAGATGATGATGCTGCGTATGATCTTGGCTGGCAGCTACGACTTTGCGTCTCCAGAATGGGAGGACCGCTCAGACACTGTTAAAGATTTGGTAGGCTTTTTTTTATGTAAAATGAAAGAATCAAATGATCAAAGACAGCTTGTCTCTTTCAGCCTTAACTAAGTATTGGTAATATTTTTACAGTTGGTGTTGTCAAAATTTGAAGTTTCCGTAAGGTTTTAATGAACAAAACTCTCCATGTGGTTTCCTCAGATCTCTCGGATGCTGGTGGTGGACCCAAAGCAGCGTTTCACCGCCACAGATGCTCTCAACCACTCGTTCTTCTCACAGTATGTGGTGGATGAAGTACGGCAGTTCAGTCCATACAGGCGGTTCAAGGTGAGATGAAAGAGATTTTGGGAAACATGTTTTTCTTGTTCTCAGTTACAATCAGCAATTATCAAAAAGTACACCATAGACCCTGCTCTTAACCTTCCATCATGCAGGTCTGATTTTTTGGCTTGACCCTTGAATGCAACACTATTTGAGAGTTGACACTCAAACGTTTTTGAACACAGAGACAAAAGAGAGTAAAATGTATGAAATAACCCCCCCAAAAAAATCTTTTTTTAAATGCCCCCTTTCCAAGTCTTTCATAGGGGAATTTTTCCTCCCTTTTGTATAATTTCCATTTTCATTAATGTTAACGTCATCAATCCCATTATGATTAATATTTCATATATGTATTTTTACAATGTATTGACTAATTTATGTTTTATTTATTCATATAATTATACTGTTTATTAGTGCACTTATTTTATATCTGTTGATTTTGGCTATTTTGGACATTGTGTATTGAGATCCAAAACTTGTGGTACACTTTGAAAAATGGTCATCTGTATATAAATATAAAAAATTTTCAGTTAATGAGCCAAAGCGTGAAAAGCTACCAGTACGGCCTTTAAATTCCAAGAGATCATGATTGTTCTCCACAATTTATACGTATAAACAACAACCAGTGACCTCTACTGAACTTTCTCCATCAGGTCATTTGCATGACTGTGCTCGCCACCATGAGGATCTACTGCAACTACCGCCGTGCCAAGCCTGTCACCAAGGATGTGATCCAGAGCGACCCATACGCTGTCAAGCCCATCCGCAAGCTCATTGACGCCTGTGCGTTCAAGATCTACGGCCACTGGGTCAAGAAGGGCCAAACTCAGAACAGAGCAGCACTTTTCGAGAACACTCCCAAAGCCATCCTGCTGTCGATAGGGGGAGAGGCAGATGAGCCGGCCCACCACATCTGGTAACAAGCACTTGTTCCTCAGGGCAGATCTGCTGAGGCTTATCGGGGATACACTTGTACTCTGTGTGGCTTTTTGTACCTTTCCCCATCGTATGAAAGAAACGAACTGGTAAAAAGTAACCGACTACTACCAGACAAGGTTCACAAGTATGTCTTTAATGGGTGCAGCATTCTCTAATGAAAAGCAGTATTTATTACCACAGTGCTATTGTGCCAAGTGTGGCAACCAAGACATGTGGAACACTACCAGTGAGAAGATGTGTCACTGTTCAACAGTTTGCTTGCTGTCGTAAAGGTAGAAAAAAATGAATGTAAAATAACAGATTTGCTCGTAAAAAAAAAAAGAAAAAAAAAGCTAGAGACACTATTTAATTTGAAATGAGCCCATGCTTAACTGTATATGCCGTTTCAATTGTGAGGTTTTTTTGCGCTTGTTTAAAACAAATGGAGCCAGCAGCCATTCTGTATTGTCAGAGACAGACTGTTTCTTCAACACTATGCAACAATCTCCATATCCCAAAAGTAGACTCATTGTTTCCACCTCATCTTTTACTGTATGAAATAGACACTGATATAAATGTGCTGTTCAACATTAGAATATAAATGTCAAATGTTAATGATCATGTTCATATAGATCCGATTGATTTCTGGGCGTGTAAATGATGCCCTGGAGCAACATGTTACTCTTTTCATTCACACGTTTTATTAGAACTGTGAAACCAGGGTTTAGCAGCTAATGCAAAACTTGTGAAAATCACTTGCATAATTGACAGTGAACCTGCATACTTGAAATGCCATTGACTTACATTTATGTTTGGCTATTTGATCATTATGCAGGATGTATTATACTGGTTACCAGCTTCAAGGGAAGTTTATAGATGATGGCACTTGAAATGTATGCTATGAATTTATTTATTAAAACTTGCATTTAATTTTAAGTCTTGCTATTGTAAAGGTGTCAACTTTGTGATGCTTTTGAATTGTAATGCTCTTCCTCCAACAATTCTAAGCCCAATTACACAAGACCCGTTCTGAACAGTTATAAGAAGTTTATTATAAAAGAGTGAGGTACATTCACATCCACAACATCTTTAATAAAACTCATCCAAGGGCAGGGAGGGGGTTATTTTCTTGTACAAGATGCACCTTCCCATTATGGAGCTACGGGTGAAAAAGCAAAAACATTAGAGTTTTAAAAAGATCTCACAGCATGATAACAATTACTTTGATTTAACATTTTCATGTTCTTACCATGAGCGGAGGAGTTGACAAAGCTTTTCGACAGCCCTGCTTCAAAAGCAGACAGTGGTTGTGCTGCAGAATCTAGCAAAACAGAAGACAAATCAATCTAAAACCAAGAGGCAGAGCAGCAGCACCTGCAGTTCCCGAGTGCATCATTGTACTCATTCCTGCACAGCTGGAGGAGGCTCAGAGCAGCACTCCTCCTGTCATTTAGCAGAAATGAGACGAGACTTTTGCATGGTGTCTGACTGTATCCACCACTGACCGGATGGAACAGAATTCGGCCATGCCTCAACTCCAACTCCAAACACATTGCGTGTCATTGTGTAACAGTGTGACTGCACAAACGTACCATCACCGGGCCATTCTTCACAGACTGGGCGTCAGTCGTAGAAACCTTGTCTCTTTGGGCCAGTGTGCGATGACCGGCAGTTTGACTGAGTGTCATACAGCCTGCACTTCTCCAGAGATAAACGTTTCAAAACATGCTGGAACAAAAAAAGACAACAGAACAGAGGCTAGGAGATAATACATCGTTTACACACACACACATGAAATCACTCATTGTTCAACTAAATTATCAACTGAATAAGATAACTAAATACATGTTGCAGCCTTGGACATACAGACTATCATATTCAAGCTAATAACATGTTGCTGTAGTCACTCTGACATAAGAATGAGGCACATGAACAGCACTATTCTCCTGTTGTTGAGTCAGTGTGTGAAACCAATAATTTAGCATGGTGTCTGACTGCATTTACTATTTCAAGAGTAACACAGAATTCAGCCATGCATTCAAAAACATGATATTTATTTATTTATTTTTTTTACTAACGATGAGTTACCTCTCCATGTTTCTCCTCCCGGCTCTATAAGGATCAACAATCCCATCTTCACCTAAGGATCATCTGCAACAGGAACCAGTTCCATGTAAGCAGCCGACACACCAGCTCCATGGCAGACAGCAGGTTGATTTTACACATTAAGCCCATATTTATAGTGTTGAGCTCTATGACTAATAATGTGGATGTCACAGACATGTGTAGGACTGTTTGGCCTCAGTGGAGGTATGCGCTCCACTGGGTGCCATTGTAGCTGCTGCTATGAAAACATAATGGAAGCTGAAGAGCTGACAAAGACCAGAGGCCACATTTGGGCTGAAGAGATCTGTGTCCATACAAAACATGCAAAGAGTGGTTTTGACTCAAGAGCTGAACAGCTCAAAAGCAAGACAATGGCCAAAGATTTATACTATTGCAAGCACTGGTGGTGTGGCTACAGAAAAGTCCATAGACCATATTCTTAGCTCGACAGCCTGGGAAGCAGGCAAGATGCCACAATTACTTTCTATGAAATGTAGCTTTGCTTTGTCATTAACCTTTCTGTCTCCACAAACACTAAGCACACTTCCCCCTCTATGTAATGATAGAGTGACTGTCTGCTCCTCCTCACCTCTGCCACATGGTCTGTATGTTTGAGGATTGGGGCTCCTCCATGATGAGTAGGTTGGAGGTAATTTCCTCCGAAGTGATCCTGTGATTTCACCACAAAACAGATGAACAAATATTTAACACAACTGTGAGCATAATCTTATTTATGTACACATTCAGAATGGCTGTCTAAGTTTCCCCGCAGACACTGGGGCCTTGAGCTATTCTTAGAATATGTTGCACTGGCTGCACGACACTTATGATTCACAGACGCTTGATTTCCTAGCACACACGTGGGCATTTTACGGCCCGC